TTAAGGTCTTTCGGATTTCTCAAATCCAAGTGCACTGTTCATCTTTTGACCCACTTTTTCATATTTTCGGAAATAAATAAATTATATAATTTTTTATTATATTTTATTATTTCGGATTTGGAAAATCCGAGAGCCCGTTTAATTAAGCTCTCGGATTTGCCAAATCTAGAATAATTATTTATGTTCAAAAAAAAAATATTTTTGTCTACATCAATTCTTTTAAATTTTTTTTGGCTGAAGCACTCTAGATTATGCCACGATTTCAGGAGAAAAAAAAAAAGGGCCTATCCAATTTGTTTTAATTATATCAATCCAAATATCCAATGGGACGAAAAATCCTTTTGATATGCACATTGGTTGCATCGGGGGAAAAACCACCCTTTTTGTAACGTGGAAACAGTTTGTGAATTGCCAAACCAAAACACTATAACATGACATTGACCAAATCGAATAAGCCATTGCTGTCCTTACCGTGGACAAAAGAAAAGTATAAGAACATTCAACTTAATTAAAATTTTCTTTTGTGATTTTATTTTATTAAAAAAAAATCGAGATACAACATGTTAAACAAATGTGGTTGGTCAAATGTCAACGGTCGAGTAAGAATAAATCTAAGCTGAAATGTTAGACTTTTTTTTGGAGTTGAAAAAATCATCAAGTTGGAACATGATGAATTGTAATAATGTTTGTTCGTCGGCCATGATATGTGCTGCTAAACTACTAATTAACAGATGGACCGCAGTGTTCCATTATGTGTAGTCGTACATGTATACTTACGTTTGTATCATCTCATGAACAAGGTTTTCGTTTTCGAATCCTAATATTTGTAACAATGTATATAACAGATTCAAAATATTTTTACTTATAGCCGATAATAAATCTTGATATTTAAATTTGAGCGGAGAAGTGAATTGCTTTTTTTTTTTCCTTAAAAAATTATATTTATTCCAAAAAAACAGCATAACAAACATGATTTTTTTTTTCTTTAGATTGGAGGGGTATAAAACACTAATGTACAAGGCACTAAATCATTATACTTCTACCACTAGGGCATTAATGAAGGTAGCCATGCATTTTGTTGGCAGTAATTACTCCTTACCTAGAATTGTAGCTTATTAATCGTAATGCATATTCCCTCCATTTCACAATGTAAGTCACTTTAGCCTTTGCATGTATACTAAGGAGACAATCATCTAATAATTAATTTATGTATTAAATATCTGTTTTAGCACTCATTAATTACATTAAAACTATAAACAAGACTAATTGAATACATATTGACATCATTTATTGATGGTAAAATTGGAAAAATAGTCATTAATTTACCTCGAATTTGTAAAACGACATTTTAAAAAATCTCTGCAAAGTTAAAACGACCTACAAATTGAAATGGAGGGAATATAATTTAAAATGATGCATCAAAATGTCAAATTACTTAAGAACATAAACAAAGGTTTATAGCAGTAATTTAAGCTATAAAGATTTTGAACAAGATTGGCATGAGACATGGGGAACGAAAGAAGCATCCACAGGTTTACGGCTTGGTCCCATTTCATCAAATCCCACTTGCAGGTCGAAACTGAAGTAATTGAAGATTTAAAATCTACATTTAATTTTGTAATATAAATGGCTGAAAAAAGATTCTGGGGATCCCTTTTATAAAACTATGGTCCATAGACGAAACACATAACTTGTGTACTCAATAATGAGAATGGCCCTTCTTTATTCGTGACCAACAAAGAAAAACTGGACTCCAGTATGGGGCTATACATTCAATTATCTTGTTTTCATAAAGTTTGGGGGTGGTTGTGGCTAGTTAATTTAGACATTTTGTAACAAGAATTTCCCAAATCAAACAAACAAAGAAACTTCAAATACAGAAGTAAACTTCCAGTTAAAAGTCTAGTAAACTCCCATAAGTCTAACTGGTCATATGGTGGGTAGTTGTGTAGCAATTTAATCACTATTTAAGATGATTGTGTCCCAGGCCTAGCCGCAAGTAGTTGGGACTTTTTTCAGTACTGAAAATGGAAGCATTCATAGACCAACAATTTGATTTACTCTAGTATATCAAATTACCAGGTATGTGGTAAAAAGTAATGGTTTTACTTTACGTGGTTGGAGCATAAGCAACGTAAACCATTTACTCTAACTTTAACTTACTCTAAATGATTACTATTATTCAAGTGATAAAGACTTGGACACTCATTAAAAAGTTTTTTTTTTTTTTTGGTACAAAAAAGAAGGCAAGATACTTAAAACAATTAAATTAAAATGTTTCGGTAGTAAAAATTCCCAATAATATCGTGCTCTAACTAACGGTTTATTCCAGTATGCGTAACATCCAGTTGATGCAATGCAATCCTAGTGAATACTACACCACTTAAGATTAGCAATCTGGCGCAAAATTAGGCTCTCACAAAAAAATAAAAAATATATATAAAATTAATGAACTAGTGATGTTAGGTAAAGTTTAGTTCCCCTTAAACAGCATCTGAATTGAAAAATAATTGTCTGAGAAATCTTTGTTCCTTGAAAGAGTTCATCTGTTGAAGATGAATTGGTTCGTCTATATACGTATAATGTGATGTGTTCACTCAGAAATATATCAACGCTGGTAAAAAAAAATTTTAAAAAAAACGTTTATATATTTTATGTAATCCAGTAAACATTCCGAAGAATGGTTAAAGCAAAAACAAGTTGATAACTTTAAATTAGAACCGTTTCTACATATGGACAAATTTTAAGCGGTTGAGCAACAAACATATTATAAAGTAGAATATTGTTTAATTTATCCTATTTCCCTATCAAGGAGAAGGACAGCTCAGTTTAATATACGCAATTTTCTCATTTTTTTAATTTTTTTTTTTAGGAGAAGGAAAACGGGTAAACCAAAAAGTTATCCGTTTCAACGTTCAAACCGTGGTATCATTTGAACCATCATGATGGAGAGAGACATGTTAAATTGAAGTCAAAGTGATTACTAATGTTGTTTAATACTAGTACATATTAATGTTCAAATATTTATTAAGAAAAATGGATGAAAAAACAAAAATGACTTCATTTCAAATTTCAATCATGATGAAAATGAAAAAAAAAAAAAAAGGTGTAAGAATGTGGTTTGATCGTGCTGTTGTGGGATATCTCATCTCAAAAAAAATGTGCTAATCTACGCCTCTTTTATTATTTAATAAAAAAAAGATTTACAAAATATAATCATCTTAGTACTCCCTCATCAAAATTTATAACATTTCAAAATATGAAAAGAAAAGTCTTTCTATTTTGACAATAAGGACAATTAGTGAGACAATATTTCACATCACTAAGTGTGGATAAGAAAGCGTATGTTATTCAGCAAATGTCCTTACATAAATCATGGGATTGGAGATTAGAAAAGCATATAAACGTTAGCTAATTGGTCTACTCTATTTGGGTTTTCAACAAATACTCATCAAATATTTTATACAATAATCTTTTTTTATTTAAAACCTAATTTTATTACAATGGATGTCACACTCGCCTAATTTTAGAATAGTTGTTGCATTTGTTAAAAATAATATATAACAGACATGAAATATACTCCCTCCATTCCAAAATAAGTGTCGTTTTGGCAAAATAGAGAAATTCCAAAATAAGTGTCGTTTTCAGATTTTAATGCATTTTTTGTCAAAAATTTCCAAACATACCCTCAAAAGAAATAATATTATTGGTGAGCATTTATTTTAATGGGGTTGGTTGAGGATATTCTAGTAATTTAGTTACCTTATTTAATGTTTTCTTAAACTATGTGCAAATTCTAGAATGACACTTATTTTGGAACGGAGAGAGTAATTAGTTTAAGATCAAGGGATTACGATGCTTTCTTAGTTAGAATTGAACAGTCAAAACTTAGCAGAGTTGAGTTACGGTCATGACAATTGATTCTTATTTTATTTTGGATTATCTTATTATTTGTTCGCAAAATAATTAGTTAATTCTTCAGCTTTAGAGAAAAAGTGCATACAACTAATTAATTCAACTCAATATTTTGTTCAAACAAACGCGCAAGTTGACATTGATACTTGTGAAGGTATTGATGCGCTAATTGATTCGTATTTCTGAAAGATTATTGTCTAACATTTGTATGGAGAGTCAACTAAAGTATCAACCTGCCCCAAACAGAAAATACATAATTGAAGAAATCCAAAAAGAGAAAAATTAAAAAAAAAAAATCATGTGTTTAAATGCTAACAAACTAGTGGTACTGATCATTCTGATCTCATTTGTTTGGTGATTGAAAGGTTAAATGCTTTAAATTAATACATTTCATTTCAATTTTAGAGTTTATTTATTAAAGACTACAACAATGTATTAGTACATTTGACACTAATGAATACTAAGCAGGGAAATATTTACAAAAGATAGATAGAGAGAGAAAGCATGATATAGAGTAAATCATACTAACCTTCAATCGATACTTTCCTTTTTAAGATTTATCAAGTTAAGATTATATGGACAGTTTAGATTTAAGTCACACTGTCCCTTGTGAAAGATCTTTGTAATTTGGTTTATACTTGGATCAGCACTTAACTCTTATTTGATTAGTGTTCTAAAAAACTCTTATTTTGATTTATATCACAACTCTCTATCAAAAAGTTTATAAAGTTTAGAGATTCTGGTCATAATTTACAAAATCACAATCTTGACTATAATCATAGACCTAAAATAGTTCATAAAAAAAATCTCAAAGACTTATACTCGGTTACGTGATTAATTTAGAATCTGATAAATATTGCTCACGATATGATTACCTTCAAATCCGTCTCGATTTAATAGTGACCAAAAGAAACTAATTTAGTTGTGTTGCGACCATACATACATATCATAAGTAGTTGATTAAGGTAGAGAAATTTAGACCACCATTAACTTTTGTTACAAGTTTACCTGCTAAAACCAACTTTGATTCTGACTAGAAAACAGATGGAAAAATCCAAAATTCTTACCAATCTCACTCAACCAAAAACAAACAAGCCAAGATATAACAGAAAAGCGTAGAGTCATTTCTGTAAATTACACAGCAAATGAAGGGCAATTACGAAACGTGGAAAACTAGAAAAGTGATAAAGTCGCAGTATATCCATAGACAGGTCAAAACCACATTCCCTATCTCGTAGCCGCCAATCCCAAGAAAATCATTCCAAAATTTCCCAAACTATCCCTACCCCTTTTTTTTTTCAATTTATAAATATAAAAACAAAATGAAGGGGATTGGTTTCGTGTAGACGTAAAAGCTATCGATTTCCGTGTTCAAAGATTTCCCTTATTACATCATCACCAAAGCCAAGAAAGAGTATTAATTGGAGAAACCTCCTACTGTGTGACTCTGTGTAAAACAGGATTTGAGAAATTTCACAAAATCTTATTACAGATTCTTCTTTTCCTCTTTTTTTTTTTAATTTTATTTTTTTGGTTGATTTGATTGAGAGATAAATTGTCGTATGTTTGGCTGTATGCTGTGGAGGGAGAATCAATGGGGAGCAAATGGAGGAAAGCAAAGATGGCATTGCAAATGAAAATGTGCCTGACTGTGCCGAGGAGTTCTGAAGAATCATCTCCGGGACAATCTTCATCGACGAGATTTTCCGATGCCGGCGTTTCTCTATCTCCGGCGACCCCGCGGAGACACTCCGGCGGTGGCCGCCTTGATATGCCCACCACGCCTGTTCCTTCTTCCTCCGGCCTTCGTCTCCCCAAACATTCCTCCAAATCTTCTTCCAAGGTCAGAATCTTTAATTCACATTTCCTGAAAATTGAATGAATTTCCGGATTTTTTTTTTTATATCTCGTGCCTATAGTAATTTCAATATCTGTGTTGTTGATCAAATTTATTAGTCGTTCCCAACAAAGCTTAATTGTAATCTGATTTGGTATTGTTTATTTCTTTGTTGTCTTTTGCATGGAATCTCGCGATCTTTTGGTTCATAGAAGATATGATCCAATCATAAGTTTTTTTTTTCTTTTTGTTTTTACGGCGAGGGAGTTACGGAGGAGGAGCGGTGGCCGGAGGTAATACCAACCAAATGTGCAATATAGACAGTGGATCCTTGATTGGAATGTTTTAGCTAATATCAATTTCAATATTAATTAAACTGAAGACTAATAAGATCTTGTGAAGAATAGTCTGTATGAAATTCATGTTCTTTATTTTTTTATTTACTTTTACAATGAGGTTGTTGACTGAAGGTGAGTTGTTGTGGGTTGTGTTTATCACGTGGGGTAGAGGAGGTATAAGGGCATGATGAATGATTCTAATAATGGTGATAATGGCTATTCTGGTAAAACTGGAAGCAAATGTGATAGAGATAGAATAATGAAGCTGTGGTGGGGATAAAGTAGAGGAGAGGAGTATCTTTTAAGGGACCATTGTCCTACTGTTGTTGGCCTTAAATTTTTTTATAAAGGGTAGTAATAGTGGTAATCTTTTTTTTCATTCCATCTTCTACCTCTTGGAAGGGAAAGTGCTTTGTCTGGTCAGCAAAAAACTCTGCATTATGTCACACACACACTCACTCACATGATGATCATTCAACCAATTTTGTTTGCCATTTTTTTCATCATCTCTTTTGAGGGTTTACAGTATTATTGTACCAACCCAAGGAAAAAAAAAAGCCCTCTTGTGGACTGTTGATTTTTTAACTTTTTTATTTTTCTACCCTGTCTGAGTTTAACTTTTTTACAAATAATTAGATGAAAAGTGTAGTACTGATTTCTTGTTTTGACTAATGGTTTCTCTCACTTCTTTGAGAACATGTGCTTTAAATCATTTTTTTGACTAATCTGCTTTTATTATTTGCCTTGGAATTTGGAAGCTCACTCACATTCAGTCAGAATCTTAGAATTTGCTTCGTTGGTCGTAGACAATTACTTTAAAAGTCATTCCTTTTCTGGGCTTTGTACAGCATTTCTTCTTCCTTTCTTTTAATTTTATCCTTATGAAAATTGAAGCTGCATTTTACTCTCTGGTGCATCAGTTCAGGCCCTTCTCATTGGACATGATATATTTGGTTTCTTAATATGAAATTTTGTTGCTAAACAGTATCTGAAGCTATTTTTATTTCCTATTCGCATTCTGCAATGGTTAGGACAATTTATTTTCCTGTTAGGTTATGTGTTCATATAAAATATCTTGGTTTAAACAAATTTTAGCATTTAAGTTTTGATTAACAGGTCACTTAGTGAAGTAAATATCTTGGTTTTCCATTTTGCATTAGCAGTCCTTTTTTCAGTGAGTTGATATTTCAGTGGGGCTCCAGGATTATCTTTAGCTATCTTTTACAACTATGGTTCGATGGTGAATACCGAGTACCACTCCATAGTCTGTGTTAATTGTGCCTGTTTGCTGCTGGTTTTTGAAACGGCAGTGAGGATATTTAGTCGTGCAAATGATACTCTTTTATATTCTATGTTATGTTTTTTTACCAGAGATACTTCTTTTAAAGTTCTTTCCAGTATTGTTTAATTTATTTTTATGTTTATTGCAGAAAACTTGTGCAATATGCCTAAACACGATGAAACCAGGCCATGGCCATGCTATTTTTACTGCAGAATGCTCTCACTCTTTTCACTTCCATTGTATCACCTCGAATGTGAAGCATGGAAACCAAATGTGTCCTATTTGCAGAGCTAAGTGGAAAGAAATTCCTTTCCAGAGTCCTGCTAATGATATCACCCGTGGAAGGGCAAGAAATAGTAATGGTTCATGGCCTCAAGATGATCCATGGGTGACGGTTCTGAGACGGCTTCCTGCTCCAAGATTGGAGACCCCGCGGCACACGTCTTCGTCTTTTCTTGTTGCTGAACCTAGTGTCTTCAATGATGATGATGAGCTCATCAGTTGTGAGCCTGAAAGAAGGGAGAACTCATCTGATCTTGGACATGGTCATATAGCTGGAAAACTTGATCTTAAAGCATACCCCGAGGTTTCTGCTGTTTCTAAATCTGCAAGCCACAATGATTTCACAATTCTGATTCATCTTAAAGCTCCCAATACTGGTCGCCATGGGCATTTTATGACAGATCAATCTGGTTCATTAGTGACATCTCATCAATCTCGAGTGCCTGTTGATCTTGTTACAGTGCTTGATGTTAGTGGCAGCATGGCAGGTACAAAGCTCGCCTTACTTAAAAGAGCCATGGGATTTGTGATTCAAAATTTGGGGCCATCTGACAGGCTATCAGTTATTGCCTTTTCGTCCACTGCACGGCGTCTCTTTTCACTTCGCAGGATGACAGATGTAGGAAAAGAAGAAGCGTTACAAGCAGTCAATTCATTAAGCTCTAGTGGTGGGACAAACATCGCAGAGGGTTTGAAGAAAGGTGCAAAGGTAATGACTGACCGCAAATCAAGAAATCCTGTGAGCAGTATAATATTGTTGTCTGATGGGCAAGACACTTATTCTATTAGTCCTGGTTCTACAAATAGGCAAAGTGATTACCAATCTTTGCTCCCAGTGTCCATGCATCGCGGTAACAATGCAAATATCCATATTCCTGTCCATAGTTTTGGATTTGGTGCAGATCATGATTCCATCTCAATGCATTCTATCTCTGAAAATTCTGGAGGAACGTTCTCTTTTATTGAGGCGGAAAGTGTTATTCAAGACGCTTTTGCACAATGTATTGGTGGACTTTTGAGTGTTGTAGTGCAAGAATTGACAGTTAACATAGAATGCCTGCACCCTGGATTACAACTGAAGTCAATAAAAGCAGGAAGTTATAAAACCAAATTGATGTCTGATAGCAGAATGGGCTCTATTGAAGTTGGAGATTTGTATGCTGAAGAAGAAAGAGATTTTCTTATAACCTTGGACATTCCAGTTGAAAGATCAAGTAATGAGATGCCAATACTAAATGCCAAGTGTGCTTATAAGGACCCTGTTTCCAAAGAACCCATGACCTTGAATCAGGCTATTGAAGTTAAAATTCTTAGGCCTGAAGTAACCGCTGAGCTTGTGGTGTCAATGGAAGTGGACAGGCAGCGTAATAGGCTTCGATCGGCAGAAGCAATGGCGGAAGCACGAGCTGCTGCTGAGCGTGGTGATCTAGCATCTGCAGTATCTGTGTTGGAGGAGTGTCGTAATCAATTAGTTGAATCTGTGTCCCATAGAACTGGAGATAAGTTGTCTACGGCATTAGATGCTGAGCTAAAGGAAATGCAAGAGAGGATGGCAAGTCGCCAAACTTATGAAACATCCGGTAGGGCATATGTTCTGTCAGGATTGAGTTCACATTCGTGGCAAAGGGCTACGGCTCGTGGGGATTCCACCGACAGTACTAGCCTAGTGCAGGCTTACCAAACACCTTCCATGGTGGACATGGTTAGTAGATCTCAAACAATGATCCTTGGCAGCCCATCTCCCCGCCGGACACTCAGGCCAGCGCTATCATTTCCAGCTCGTCCACAGCCAAGGTGATTAGTCTTTTTTGTATTATATCTAGCAGCCGTAACCGTCCATTAAGGCGTTGATTTTTGCAACGCATTGTGATTTTGGTTTTGGATGAGTTATAGTTTTGGGGGTAGTGTGAGCTAACTTTGAAGAGATTGGAACAGTTTTTGGGTGCTTTTTCTTTAGTCTGGATGGGGTATACTACAAAGTTGGTTGTACATGAATAAATAGAATATCGAGGGTGTTGGTATATTTGGGTTTTAAAAGGTTTATGGGAAAGGGGAAAAGGCGACGATTTGACAAGAATGAATTCCATTGTGTATATACAGAAGATTTTGTAGCTTCTTTGTTTGAGAAGAGATGGTGGTTGGGGTATAGCTGTTTTTCGACTCAATAGAAGACCAATGGCGTCAAAATTCATTTGGACTATTATTATTTCTTTATGTTTCAGTTTCTTTTTTTTCTTTTTTTTCCTTTCCTGTGACGTCTTTTAAAGTTGAAAAAAAGCATGTTCTTACTTGCACTTGCATACATATTTGGAACAAACCAACGTCAAACCTCAACTGCATCGAATGAAATATGAGAAAATTTCAACACGATGTGCGAAACATGTCTAAGAACGTAACGTTTTCTTTTCCTTTTTATGGGGTCTAGAAACGAAGTGACATCTTTTTCATGTAAAGATTTTTAGGGCTACGGATATCTCTACTTGTCAACACACAATATCAAGCAAGTATACATAAATTAAGTCCATACCACAAAACAGGACGTTGCCACTTCCATAGCTTAGGAGGATTATCATATCATAAGTTGCTAATAAATTGAGAAACTACCCCATCTCTCCATAACTTGGAGCTTGAAACTGAAGCCATACATGCCCATTAATTTCTTAATCTTGAAAGTCCATTCAAAATATTATGGGTCTGCTGGGCTGCAGTAAAAAAATCCTCGACTGCAAATCCCACTTCGGCACAACAAAAGAACCTAGTACGCTATATATATATATATATATATATATATATATATATATATATATATATATATATATATATATATATATATAGACTAAAATGTTCAAATGGTCCCTTATATTTGGGTCTACTTGAATTTACGTCTCTAACATTAACATTTCAATATCGTAGTCTCAAATATTATGTTTTCAAACTTTTTTGGTCCCATTTTACTGTTTACAAACTTTTTTGGTCCCATTTTACTGTTTCCGGCCGTTGACATACCGGAATCAGGGGTATTTTTGTCTTTTAATTTAATTTTAATTTCTATTAAAATTTAAATCATTAAAAATATTTTAAAATTCAAATTTCATTATTTAATTATTCAAATATTATTTATTAATTAAAAATATTATTATAAAATTTGAAAATATATATTATTTTCAAAATTAATTTTTTTACTATAGCAGTTAAAAGTGCAACATAATTACCATTTAGGGTTTACTATAACGGTCAGAGTTAAAAAAATCTTGGTTTTTCTTTTTCTTTTTTTTTAAAAAAATAAATTGAATTTTGAATTATTTACTGTAATTCGGTAAATTTTTTAAGTTACAATGAGCCCAAGCTTAAAAGTGTAATATAATTACCATTTAGGGGTTACTGTAACGGTCAAAGTAAAAAAAATCTTTGTTTTGCTTTTTCTTTTTTTTTTAAAAAAAAAATTGAATTTTGAATTATTTACTGTAACTCGGTAAATTTTTTAAGTTACAGTGGACTCAAGGTTAAAAGTGCAATATAATTACCATTTAGGGTTTACTGTAGCGGTCAAGTAAAAATAACTTAGTTTTGCTTTTTTTTTTAAAAAAAAATTGAATTTGAATTATTTACTGTAACTTGATAAATTTTGTAAGTTACAGTGGGATCAAATTTAAAAGTGCAACATAATTATCATTTACTGTGTATTTAAAGTAAATAGTAAATGAAAAAAGTAATTTAGAAAATAATGATAATTTTAAAATTGTATAATAATATTTTTAATTAATAAATAATATTTTAACAATTAAATAATGAAATTTTAATTTTAAAATATTTTTAATGAATTAAATTTTAATAAAAATTCAAATTAAATTAAAAGACAAAAATACCCCTGATTCCGGCATGTCAACGGCCGGAAACAGTGAAATGGGACTAAAAAAGTGCGAAAATATAATGTTAGGACTACGATATTGAAATGTTAATGTAAGAGACGTAAATTCAAGTAGGCCGAAATATAAGAGACCATTTGGATATTTTAGTATATATATACATATATATATATATATATATATATATATATATATATGCGGGAGAAGCTGCAACATATTGTCCCTTCGGGGACATCCGATACAGATAAGATTAGCATGGTTCCTGCGCAAGGATGACACGCACAAATTGAGAAATGGTCCAAAAAAAAAATTTTTTTGATATTTTTTTATCCGTGTTAATCTTCTCATCTGTCCAAATTATCCTCCCAATTTTCCCCCGCCTTCTTAAGTTCCAGGAATAAGTTTTCTAATGACAGAGTGTCTATCCTAAGTCAGCGAGTGATTGATGTAATTTTGTCTTTTCATAACGGTTAATAAAAATATTTTGCTGGTGGTCCGCTCTTTATAGGATTCTCCGAAAAAGTAAATGAAATCAGAAACACAAACAGTTGGCAAGATTTTGTTTTGGACACGGTAACTGAAACTGAATCTTATAAATCATCATCATCATCATCATCATCACCGATCTTAAACTGAGGTTCTTCGTTCTGATTCTGGTCAAAACTCTGTAGTAATTTGAGTATGAATCCCAGTATGTCAGATTTGTTGTAACTTTTTGGGGTTGACGTTATTATCAATTTACAATTCAAGCTTAAACAAAAATCAATAGTTAGGTAATATCAGAAGCTTAAAATGGCAAATATACGAATCAAACCACCATTGTCACGTCCCTAAAGTTGCCGTAAAGTCGAAACTATTTGAATAATTTGTTTTTTTTTTCACCAAACGTGATAAACATATAAATTAGATCGCTAGAGTTACAAAGTTACCATTACTGTAACACACTGATCGCTTTGGACAACTATTCGTTGGCCGGAAACTCTTGAGTATCCTTTTGTTTAAACCTCTAGTGGAAACTCTTATAATCGTTAGACATCATAAGATAGTAGTTACGAACATTTTTTATTTTTTACCACTAACTTACTTACTAGACTTGCTACAAAAAATACTGCCTCCGTCCCAAAAAATAGTCCACATTAAGTTTTTAAATTTGTATTAAAAATAATATAAAATTTAAAACTCAATGTGAATTATTTTTGTAATGCGGATCATTTGCAAATCAAGCTGACGAGCAACAACTAACAAATTACTTGTGGCAAGCAGCTGAGGATTTAGGGGATTGAGGGAGTTGGGGGCCAGTGTTATTGGGAAAAAGACAACTGACTCATTTTTTGACCGTACCAAAAAAGGATAAAAAAGGGGAAGAGGAAACAAACAAATCGAACAAATCCTAATGACAGTATGACCCAATTTCTTTTTACCTGGGTCAATTACATCACGATTCTCAAGGTTTCGCAATAAACGAGTTCTTTTTTTACTTCATTCTTTTTCTACTAAACAAAATTGTTTTCGATCATTACGATACATCTAAAGAATATTTACGACTTTTCTTGCAAAAGTACCACTTCCAAACTAATACTCCCTTTATTCCAAATTAAGTGTCGTTTTAGCAAAATAGAGAAATTTCAAAATAAGTGTCGTTCTCACATTTCAATGTATCTTTTGTCAAAAGTTCTCAAAATTACCTTTAAAAAAGTTGATGTTATTGGGAGACAATTTTATAATGGGGTTGATTAAGGATATTAAAATAATTTTATTACCCTATTTAAGAGTTTTTTAAACTATGTGCAAAGTGTAGGACGATACTTATTTTGGAATGGAAGGAGTACTATTCAGTTGTTAATTGGACAATGTTTGGTAATTAGAGTAAAAATGGTTAGAAATCAAATGAGAAATGCGGTGCTACAATGAAATCTGCCTGAATTGTTTCATTTGTGCGCCCCCCCTCCGATTGTATTTAGAAGTTACAAATTAAGAAAATTTTAGTCTATCATCTTTTGTCCCGCGTAATGTAATGTTGTGACTTTTCCGTTTTTATTTGTGCGACTCCAAACATCTATTTCTATAAATCATTACAATAGATATACACAAAATTAATCCAAGAAGGAATAATAAAACCCTGTAGCCTCAAGTAACTACTACTACTACTTTTTTCTTTTTCTTTTTTTTTTTTGGATAAAACAGCAACTACTTCTTTGTTTGTTCTAAAGAAATATTCATATTGCACTTTTAAATTTGTGTTAATAAATCTCACGATCCTCAAACACTCCTTTCAAATTCCTGTTGATATATTCAATACTTGAATAGAACTTGGAAGAAGAGAAGATAACAAATTACAGTAACAAATATTTAAAAATTCTCTCTGTTTCGAAATTATTATTCAATTTGAATTGTTATTCAGAGATACGTAATAATTTTTGAGATATGTTAATTTTTTTTTTTCTGGACATTGTTAAAAAAAAAATTGAAAAAGCTGCGAAATTCCGAAGCATCAGGTCCACGTGGGACATGGGGCCCCGGGCGCAGGAAATTCGGCCCGCTCAAACCAAGATTGAAAATAAAGTGTGATTCCCCTGTTCGCGACGTTACTCTTACGACGTTATTTTCTCTTGTCTCCTCTTTCCGGATTTCTTCTTCTTCGCTCGAAGTACTACATTCAAAAAAAAGAAAAACCTTATTAGAAACATCGGATTGCCACGTGGTGTGAAGAAACCCCAGTGGGAAAACCGGTGCATTTTAGTACTACCCACTCAATATTACGTTTTAGCTCCAGTCCTTACTGTGTGACTGTGTGCTCTGTATTTCCCTCTGTTTTTTTCACTTCCGTCTCTTTCTTCATCTCTGTTTTTCAGTTCTTCTGGTTTTGGGAAACTCTAAATTCTGCACACAGTCACCCACTGACCTAAATTGAAGAAAGAACCTCTTCCTGCCACATTGTCGTTTCGTTAAAAGGTTCAGGAGAATTGAGAAAGAAGAGATTTTGAAGAAGGGCTTCCCAGCTGGGTTTTTCCTTCACATTCATTTTCACTGAAAAAGTATGTATTTTTACATGGCTATTTTTGTTGCTAATTTGGTTAAATGGTTGTTATAAGAGCCAAAAGAAAGAAAAGAAAAAAAAAAGATCGAAACTTTCTTAGGAAGCTGTAACCGGTGGACCTGCCGGTGGATTTTTGAGTGTTACTAATCTAGCTTTGATTATCTTATGTTTCCGTTACTTAAAATCATTTTTGACCAAATATTAATGGAGATTGTTATTATCATAACGAATTTTGGCTCTTTTTTTTTTTTTTTTTGGTTGAAATTGAATTAGCGCCATTGTCAATTGGTCATGTAATTACTTTTGTTCACGTTCTTTTTCCCCTTTGAATCATGGGTTGGGAAGGTCCATAGTTGCAGGGTTTTCTAATCATTTACTCCTTCTCGCGAGTTGGGTGTGACCCCTCCAAAAATAGTGTTAGTCATCTACTTTCTCCATTTTCAATTGATGATATTATTAATTATGACAGTTATGAATTAAAATTCAGTAGATTATTATTCATATATAAATGAATGGACTAAAAAATTAGATAGCCGTTGTCAAACCATTGCATTTTCATGCTGCCGACAGTGGTAATTATTGAATAAAATTTGGAGTATTGGACCCTTTCTATAAACAAACAATTTAAAGTCATTTTCACGCTTTATCAATCTGAAAGATTTGAAACCTGAAATGAGGGAAAGTCCAAAAAAGATTGTTGTTTGATCTTTCCTCTGTATATTATGTCTTCCAAGCTAAGTCTTTCCTAGCCGTTAAGCTGGGACGTACTACTTGTAATAACCTATATAACCTTTTTCTAGCATTTTCGGATCAGGAAGTTTTGATGGGGTCTTTTTATTTTTAATGGTTATGTGCTTGGTTCAAAGTTTTGATTGATGAAATGTCCTTTTCTGGGTGGGAGAAAGGTGCCTTTCAGAACACTTGATTATTTGGAGAAAACGGTGCATTAACTCATTAAATCCTCAAATCAAGTAGTTTTCATTTTTTAAGTGTATATATGGAAAACTCGCTTGTCTCTGTCTTTACATAAACATGTGTTTTTTAATTCCCCATGTAATCTTACAGTTAATACATATCTTCCTGTTCTCAGTGGGTTTGCTGATGCTTTATGTCCATTGTATTTTTTGCTTTCAGTTTACATCCCAATCTACCTATTGGTGAGACTGCAAGCTTTACTTTTCTGCTTCATATGTGGCTTTTTCTTGGTGCTCATTGCAGTACCGCTGATCACGTTACTATTACTCATTTCAAAGCCGAACATTGCAGAATCTGGTACAGGTTTTGCAGTTTCTGTTTGTGTATGTAAATTCTATAAGTCTTTAGGCTGAAAAAGGCTACTTGATTTGTACCCTTTTGTGTCTAATGTTTGATTCTTGTTATATGTTGACTACCTAGCTTTGTGCATGTTTAATGAGATGCAGATTAAATAAGACCACTTTCAATTAAATTCCAATTAAAAACAATGTTCATATCTGCAGAGATTTGGTGGCCAACTTTGATAATTCATTATCATATGTGGTACCAAACTTATGCTTTGACTGTTTGTTTTTTTTATGCTCTTGACATAATCTTTTCGCTGGTCAAAACCAATTATATCCAACTTGCGAGTTGCGTCTGATTCTTTATCTGAAGAACTTATGATCTTTAACTAGATTATGTAATTTACTTTTTGAAGCCTTCATCCACCTCCAACATCCAGAATTGCTGTATGTACCTCAATTCATGGTTCCAGTTTTATAATTCTGTATGTTACCATGGTCATATTGTACTTTGTTAGGCTTAAAATTATCTTTGAGAGTATTCATATTTCCTCTCTCTCTCTCTCTCACACATTCACTCACATTACATCATATGATTTTTTAACCGTATTTCTTATTGCATGCATGATGACTGATGTTGTATTTGGTGCAGCCTTGACATTGAAAAGTGGAGGTGTCTATTGTGAAAAGCTGGTGTTAGATATCCTTCTTGAGCATTATGATCTTATGTCCGTTCAGAACAGCAAAAATAGGTTTCATGTTTATTTAGCAGTGGAGAGATTGACTCAAAATTAATTGAATGGCATCTGGATGTAAGTTTTGCTCTTGAACATTTTGAACAATATGAATCCATTCATCAGTCTTAAAACTGCTCCAATTAGTGTTTAACAGTTTGTAGTTAATGTGTTCTTCTATTGATAACATTTTTTTTTTCTTCTTAATTTGCTCCTTCCTGAAGAATAAATATGTAAGCATATTGCTGCAATTGAACCTGAAAATGAAACAACTGATGGAGAGAGTTCTAGTTTGTCTTCTTACTCTGGGCTGGATTGAGCAATGTCTTTCTGGTGAGTATCATAATCCTTTTACTACTACTATATGCTTCCTAAATTTTGCTCAGTGTGTCATCCTCTATAATTTAATCCACAAGAACCTATTATATTTATCTATATAGTTTTTTTTTTCCCCATTAAGATTTTGAATGGAATCATTATGAGCATTTGGCTCTTTTGATGTCACTGTGGTTGGTGTAGATTGGTCATTTAGCTGTAATTTGTGCCTACATGACAGATGTGAAGATTTAATATTTCTTCACTGTTTGTTTTAAGCAGTGGTTGATGGACGCTCGAATTCATCTGAGACTGATCCGTGGACATGCACCTGTTTCACTTCTGATCAAAGGAATCTGAGTGTAGCTGTCCCAGCAAGCTGTTATGCATCTTGTGACTGCAATCCAGGTATTCTGCTCATTCTATCAGCAGGAACCATTTTGCCTTTGTTAACTTCTTCCTCTTTGGGCTGCCAATTTCTATGTTAAAGCATTTGTTTCTCAATTTCATTGCTTTTATAACTCCGGTTGGGGTGTCATGTTTTGGATGACTCAGATTGTTTCGACCAGTAGTACATCTAATTCTGCTAGGAACATGATTCAGGCTATGTTTTCTTCATTGCAGCTACAGGAGGCTCCAGTGAAAACTCATGGACATGTGGATGTTTGGCTGATGGTTTGCCTAAAGTGGCTTCAGGAAATAATTACACGAGCTGTTTTACCAATTGTGACTGCAAATCAGGTAGTTCTCTTTTATCAGTCGTAATCAAGAATTCAAATAGTCAATAGCCAAGGTTTTCCTAGGTGTTCAGCCAAAACCAATTGTCTAGCTTGGCCAAAATGAGTACTTCCTTTATGCATGGAAACTTATTTCCATTACGCTGTCCTTGATTTTGAAAAGCGTATGCAAGACTCATACACACAAAAGGAATCAATGCACAAGAGGAACCATGCCTACTTTTTACATCTTTAAGCTTTCAGTTCGAATGAATAATTCTTCCAGCTTATTATGCTAATGGTTATTTTTTTCTGGTACAAGGTACTGCAATTGAAATGCAATCTTCAAGGAAGCAGATCAGAAGCAAGATTATTGTAATTGTTCTCGTGATATGTATTACTTTGTTAACACTTGCATTCATAGCTTCCTTGCTATGCTTTATCTACCGAAAGCATAAATGGCCTATCAAACGGCCATTGTTCTTCTCTGACAAGGAAACAAGTTGGAGCAGCGCTACCAGCTTAATTAGCAAAGGAGTGATAGATAAAGCATCTGCACATGCACCAATCCTACCTATTTCAGGTACTCCTGTCCCATTTTGGGGTTTGATCATTGATGATCTTAAGTTTACCATACAGAAAATAGTACCTTTGTTGGTTTTGCTTCTGAAATAAGCTTAGTCATCTCAGGACACGTTAGCAATTTTCCATGTGCTTCCGCATGGTTCCCCATTAAGTTTTGATAAAGATGAAGTATATTGGTGGAGTTTATGTTCTTCCTGTATTAAGGGTCCACGGATCTCTCTGAATGTTTCATTCTCTGTAGGGTGCTTTCCGAAGGTGGCGTTCATATTCAGAAACAAGACAGGAACATTTAAAGGAATGATCATAGAGTTCTCTTATTTTGAATTGGAAATGGCAACGAACAAGTTTGCTGATTCTAACTTGATTGGTGTCGGGGGAAGCAGTCAAGTTTACCGTGGGCATCTCAAAGATGGAAAAGTTGTGGCAATAAAGCGAATGAAAACCCTAGCAGGATCAGATGCTGAATCCATTTTCCTGAAAGAGGTAAGACTTCCTACTGATAATATTATGCACACATAGTAAAGAGGCTTGGTTCTTGCATAAATTGATAGTATGAACCACGAAATATCTAGCAAAATAGAGCATTTTTATTGAAAACATTTTCCCCTGCTCAGATTGAACTAATAGCAAGACTCCATCATTGTCACGTGGTTCCTCTTCTCGGCTTCTGCTCAATACGGCAAGGAAAACAAGCTGAATGGCTGCTTGTGTTTGAATTCATGTCTAATGGTAATCTGAGAGAGTGCTTAGATGGGGCTTCTGAGAAATGTTTGGATTGGGGAACTCGTGTGACAATTGCACTTGGAGCTGCAAGGGGCTTGGAGTATCTTCATGAAGCGGCTGCACCAAGAATTTTGCATAGAGATGTCAAATCTACAAATGTACTCTTGGATGAAAACTGGAGAGCTAAGGTGAGTATAACTCTATTGTTCATGCTGGAACCAGTAGCGCTCATGGATGCTAATGAAATGATATTTCTAATCTCTGCAAAATCTTCTGTATATTTCATTTTGTTACCTGATGACATTCTTGTGTGCAACAGATTACTGATCTTGGTATGGCAAAACATCTGCAAAATGATGGCATTCCCAGCTGTCCCAGTTCGCCAGCTAGAATGCAGGGTACTTTTGGGTATTTTGCACCAGAGTACGCAATTGTTGGAAGAGCTTCTCTGAAGTCAGATGTTTTCAGCTTTGGGGTGGTTCTTCTTGAACTGATTTCTGGGCGAAAACCTATCCAGACATCTGATGGTAAAGGAGAAGAGAGCCTTGTGATATGGGTATGACATCACAAACTAACTTTACTTTTAATTTATTGTTTGGAAAGGGTTAAAACTAACTTGAAAATGGTTTAGCAAAATGATCCTTCTCACTGCAACATTTGAAAAAACTTAGCCTCACTGCTCCAGTTTTTGGCTGATTTTTCTTTTTGTATTGGGAATAGATGATTGCGTCCATCCTAGAAAAGATAGTCCACGTTGTTGAACTAAAGTAGAACAACAAAGTGGACTATTAAAGAGGGATGGAGCTGTCGTTGTAACTTCTTTCACTGCAAGAATAAGTTCTAGCTCATACTTAATTGTTTTACCCGATTACAGGCAACACCTCGACTGCAAGACAGTAGGCGGGTGATTTCAGAGTTGCCAGATCCAAAGTTGAGAGGAAATTTCCATGTAGAAGAGATGCAGGTGATGGCTTATTTAGCGAAAGAATGTCTATTGTTGGATCCTGAATCTCGACCCACAATGAGTGAAGTGGTTCAAGTTCTTTCAACTATTACACCTGAGACATCAAGGAGGAAAAACATGTCTGTCCACTTGTTCCAGGTAATAATCTCAGAAGTTGCCGTTTTGTTTATTTATTATTCAAGCATAATATTCAGCAGAGTTTGTGTTCTTACTTTTTACACAATTCAATATAATATTTTGACCTGCTACTCGCAATACTCATGTTTCATGCAGAGCTCATGCAGTGATATCCAAGAAAGTATAGACAGATTGTTACTTGATCCTGTTGAAGATGAAGAGCTAAAACACATGACATTGGATGGAACTTCTGACGAAGATTCATTTGTATTGAACATCAGAACGAACGATTGCCAAAAAATGAATGACAAAGAAGTTAATTCTGTTTCCGTCGATTCCATGGAGAGCTTGATCCTCCTTGCCTCGAATGCTAGGAGCTGGCGTTCTCAAGAAGATGAAGCTGTAGACTTAACTGAACCCCGGTTTGAAAAATTCTGTGTGTCAAACGTCACTGCAATTTCATGAATGGGGTAGAAACTGCAACAAAATAGCTTATGTAATATGCTAATCCAAGTCGCTTCATGCATGATGATCATTCTCCAGGTTTAACTTTATGATTCAAGAGGAATTAGCAAGCCCTGATTTTCATTTTTAGGTTAGAAAATCAGAGATTTGTTTGATGATCTTAGTGATTTTTTTAATTTCTTTAATTTTTTCACCTCATGAAATCCGGTGTACATTACCATTATAGAAAGTTCTGTATCGTCTATAGTTGGATGAAAAACCAAGTATCACATAGTTCCTTTTCATAGCCACGTATGTGTTTCTGGTTTAGAATTCAAGTTGCAGAAACAGGTTTATCGTGTAGAAATTTAAGGCAGATTATGATGTATCTTGCACAGTAATGGTCCGAGGACCGACTCTTCCTTAACTGCAGCCTCAGTTGTGTATTGACTGGTAGCTGTAGGATCATCTTTTTTTTTTTTTTTTTTTTGAGGAAAACTGTAGGATCATTGAAGCAAACTCAACTAATCTGATGTTAGGTCAGTTTGAGCAGATGAAAAAGCCTAACAAATGCAAACTCTGCAGCAATTAACTTCATCTAACTTCCTCTGAGTTTCTCCTTACTTTCTGTGAAGAGAAAAAAGTTATTGTCATTGTTAATGTCCATATTGGCAAAAGGGTTTTCCCTATATTAGTTGTTTATATGATCAGACTTGCAACTGCCAGTTCCCCCTTGAATGGTAGCTGGATGGAAGGCCTCTTTGAGTTAAGAAAAGACATATAATACACTCAAGCTTTGCTAAATCGCTCCTCTTTAAGTTACATTTCACTTGCATAGCTATGAATCCACCAACCGCTGCTCCACCGCCTCAAATACCGCTGCTGTCGCCGCCATGTACATGGCCAAAATCGGGTGGATGTCTTCTTGGCTCAACAATGTAAGTGTGTGTTCAGCCCTTTTGTCAAAAGAATGAGAGAAATGGAAACAAGAAATTGACTTGGATTTTTTTTTTTTTTTTCCTTCATGAAGCTTATGGTTCTTATCCTGCTGTGGTTTGATTTCATGCTGCTGCATTACTCCTCCACTGTTTGAGCCAGGGCCTGAACCTCCATAAGATTGCTTGCAGTTGTTCCCGCAATGCGGATTAAAGAATTTAGACAGTCTTAATATCGATTTGTTCAAGTTTGCAAGTTTGATCTCCAGCAACAATCTCTTGTCTTATAAATGATCAGTGTTACTTTCTCTCTATCTCTCTATATTGGCTGTTTTGGAAGCATAATCTGAATTCATTTTTAAAATGAAGCTCGAATACTGTCTATCGTCAAAAACATCAAACTTTCCTTGTTGAGCAAAACATATATATATATATTGGAACAATAAAGGAGGCTTGTTGAGCAAAATTTTGGGTGCAGTACTGAAAATGGAGATGGAAAAGGGAGCTGTTATTTAGAGTATTATTTTCCATGGTGTAATAAATCGGAGGAAAAAAGAAAGTGTCAAACTATGAAGAACACAAAACAAATATGACACATTGATATGCGATCCACTTGATATTTTAGGCCAATAATGAAAAGCCAAACGCAATTAAAAATGATTTTAAAAGGGAACATTTTCAAGGAAAAAAAAAAGATTTTAAAAGGGAAAAATTATCTTTACTCTTTTTTTTTTTAATACAATGAGAGAGGCAAAAGTATATTTTTGAGAGATTACAACTTTATATGGATATACTTCCTCTGTCCTTATTATAAGGTATTTTGATTTCGTCTTAAGTTTCACCTAAAAAATTCCTTTTATTTGGAATAAAAATCTTAAAAACGTTTCATAATAATTAGGAGAACACAACGAATGTGAAAATATATATTTTAAAGTTTTTTTTTCAATTAAAAAGACATTCTAGATTAAACGTATAACGAAATCAAAATGTTTTATAATAAAGACCGGGGGAGTAAGAAATATCGTCAAAATCTTATTTCAATCAGGGTCTAACCTCAGTATACATATACGTCCAAGAAATTAGTCTCACAGCCCACATTATGCAATCTAACAACTTAAGATCTACCCAAAAAATTCCGAATGCTACGGATAAACAATAGGGGTTGATTGTTGCGTTTATGAGAAGAAAGAACAATAGGGGGGATTTTGTATTCAACGCTTTGTTGAGGGGGGTTATTTATAAATTACAAACACTGTTTTTCCAACTTGGGCCTACGTTTTAAAAAAAAATAACTTCTTTTAGTCAAGCCCATTACCTATTAAGGAGCCCATAAAGAGAGAGAGAGCTTAGATTACAAATTACAAATTGAGCGATGACTGTAACTGCGTTTCGCCCGCCCTCTGTTTCTCCGGCGCTGTAACTCCGGCCTTTTGTCCTTAGCATTCAGCTCCATTCTACTCATTGACGACTCTGTGTTTCTTCTTCCCTCTTCTTTTTTCTGTCTAATTCATCGGAAACATTGTTGTTTTTCTATCGGATATAAGGTTTGATTCTACATTAAGAGATGGCGGCGAAAGGGGGAGCCGCACCGGCGACGTACTCGCCGTCGTTAACGACGAGCAAGGAAAAGAGAAGGGCACCCCTTTTCAGTGAAGCTGATTGGGTTCGCCCTGACGGCCGTGGGTTTCACCAGTGCAGGCTTGCATGTATGTTTTTATGTTCTTTTGCGCCATTTTTTTTTTATTGGGGGTTTAATGTTTTCCACAATTTGTGATGTGATTTTCATCGCATTTGGGGTTTTTTTTTCATATTCAGTGGCTTCTTACTGATTATTTATCCGGTATGCTAAGAATTTTCTCTGAAAGTGTTTTTGCAAACTTGATTTGTTGTTGGTGATGTTGTCTCTTCAATTGATGGTTCTGTTTCTATTACATTTTGATAGCAATGTGCCTTATCAAATATCTGTTGCGATCATGCATAACATCCAAAATATTCAGCTCCAACTAAAGACAGATTTTTATCAAGTTGTTTTTTTTTCCTGCAAGAAGGGATTTGCATGAAATAGATTACAATTACCTTCTTTCTTTGATATTTTGGGTTTTCGTTTATGATGAGATGTTAACTACTGCTGATTATTGTAGTGCGTGTTGCATATGGTACAGAAATTCTGTTTAGCTTGTTACTTCCTTAATAAAAGTAATGAATATGCTTCTTTCACTAGTGGTTCAAAGGAACCATCTTTCTCTGTTGGAGGTAATTTGCGATATGAATTGTGGAGATTATGTGAAGTGATAACCTTTTTTCATGTATGGAAATAAGTAATGAGCTCAAAATGGTGATTTGGGAAATGCCACCAGCTGTGACTACTCATTTAAGACCATTTTATCAAGAAACATCACCTTTATCTCGTGAACACTCCAGTCAGCAATGCGTGCTTATCTTGATGCACTTATGGTAGTTGCATTAGAGTGGTTACTGTCTTAGTTCAGTTAAACTTATTATTCATCCTTGAAAGGCATTATGCGCTTACCTAGTTTAAGCCTTTACTTTCATGTTTTTTTCCTTTGTGATCTTATATTATGGGATTAGGTTATTTCCTAGTGACAAAAGAGGACTTTCAGAGCATATGGTAAAGTCTTGCAATTTCCATTTAATTTTGCAAGTATCGACTATGGAGTATGCAAACTCTATTAGGCAACATCACTCATCAGTAGCTAGTTTCCTAAGCAACGTGTGTGCCAGATGCTCTGTAAACTTGAAACTCCTATTATATAGTTGTGCTACTTAAGTTGGTGGTATCGTACAAGCTGTGGTAATCTTATGTCACAAATATGAGTCCCGAAACTGCATCTTACAAGATTTTAATGTGAGGTTGGGTACATTTGGCCTTAATGGATCGATCTTCTCTGACCCCGTACATGCTGCAGCTGTATCCAGTGGGATGTCTTACAGAAGTTGGTGCAACCTTATGTTAACATTCTTGAAGATTTAGTATTGATAAATGACCTTGATTCTCACTGACTTTGTCAACGATATCCACCACAAGTTCCCTTTGCATTGCTATTAGCGTTAGCCTATTTTTGCTCGAAATAAAATTTAAAGGGTTTTTTGGTCATCCAGTTGGCCTTTCCAGGATAGTAACGTTTGGACAAGGTCATATACTGTGTATTGTTCACTTCGTTTTTTTTTTTGGTTGACTTGTAGTTAAGTTCATTTCAACTGTACTCCTGCAGGGAAGTATAGTTTAGTTAGAATGCATGCACTTAATAGGCGTTAATTTTCAAAGATAACATAAATCAGATTTTTTTCTCTTCCTGGGTGATTTCAATTAGTCAGTTTTCTGAATATCTTGCTTTAAGGTTTTAAATACTTGTAGAAATGAATTCTCTTGTCACCTTAGATTTGACTACAGTTTGTGGTTATAGTATTGTTTTCAATTAATACGTAATAATGTAATTGCAGTTATGAGGACCGCTGCAGTGAATTCTGCCTCTGGATCAGCTTATGCAGAGTTTGGAAATACCAAGGTCATGGTGTCAGTGTGAGTTTATGCTCTTTATATAGAAATCATTTTTCTTGATAATTTTCCTTTTCTGGTTCGTTATATAATCTCTATTATGATGTTTTGCTTCAGTTTTTTTCGCCTCGTAAAAATTGTGGCCCTGAAGATAATAAATGTATGCATATTTACATTTTTGCTTTTGACACTTCAACATTATCATGTCTATATCTTGCTATGTCCGAGTGCAACACGCGGAACTATAAACCTTCATTTATAGTTCAGTGTTGCAGAAGAGATTTCAAATGAATTAATCTATTAAAACGGAAAAGATTTCTTTGGCTTTCCCTAGTTTATTATTTGTACATTTCTCGTCCTCATTTCCTGTAGTGTTTTTCCCCTTTTCAATCAAATAAAACACTGTATTTTCTCAAATTTCTTTTTGCCTGCTGTGACTCAGATATCACCTTTCTTTCCATGAATTTCTTACTTTTTAAAGCATAAAATCAACCTCCTCTTTCTTGCTAAATTTATCTCTAAATGCTTGTACATGAAAACCACACAGAGGACTCTTTAGTACTGTGCTTTGTTTCAGTTTGCTGACACATTTATCTTTGAATAGCAAGTTTCAGTGTCGGTGAAAAAATGCAGTTGCACATTTAACTATAACTTACTCCTTTTAAGTCTTTAGCTTCTGTTGTTTGGTAGAACTATCAGTATTTTGTGGAACGGATGGAGTCTTGTTGGATTAGTGTAGGATAGTTCCTCGAACATCTACTACAAAGCTGCTTTTTATGGTTTAACCTGCTATCTTTCCTTGCAAAAGAAACACACAAAAAGTATGAACCAATGGCTTCCTTTTTGAACAGAAATTTAAATGGTCTGGTCTGTAAGATAAATCATGAAACCCCATTGCGCTAGATCTATTAGATCAATTTCAAGAATCTTCTCCTATCCTGGAAAATCTTTATCTTGCTCTTCTACTGTGATTCCTGAAGGTTATTTGTACTGTAAGTTTTGGAACTAGAAAAACGTTAACTCTTAAAGAATGAACCCAGGGGAAAAAAAAATTATGACTGAGAGATACCTGATCACATGATGATTCACTGAACTGAGATTGTTTAACATTGCTTTTACTTGAAATGAAGTAATTCGTAGCATGTTCTTGCATGTTGTTCATCTTTGAAGTTTGGTATGCTATGAAAGGGTAATTAATTTGATTCTCCTCAACCTTCTTAGGTTTGGACCAAGGGAAAGTAAGAAAGCAATGATGTACAGTGATGTTGGTCGGTTGAATTGTAACGTCAGTTATACAACATTTGCCACTGCATCCCGTGGTCAGGTTAGTGGAAGCAATCTGTGTCTTAGATGCCCTGGTTTTCAAATGTATTTTCTTTTGCATGTGTTTATAGTTTTATGCTATGAACCTGAGATTCTGAGATGAGGCTTTCTTTGTTGAAGGTTTCTGATAATAAAGACTTTTCGGCAATGCTACATAAAGCTCTGGAGGGCTCTATAATTCTGGAATCCTTTCCTAAAACGACTGTAGATGTTTTTGCTCTGGTGATGGAATCTGGTGGCAGTAAGTTCAAACTTTAGAAGTTTACAGAAAATATCATCATGATGCTTGGAGCTAATTAGAGTTTTGTGTGCTTAGGTGATCTTCCTGTGATTATATCGTGCGCCAGTCTTGCACTTGCAGATGCCGGGATCATGCTGTATGATTTGGTTGCCTCTGCTTCTGTGGTATGACCTGAGACATTGTTATTTACCTAGTACACATGTTTCCGATCTTGGTAGATTAAATCATTGTTATTAACCCTGTTTCCAAGCATTTTATTTGAGAATGATCTTAGGTTTGTAAGGGTTTGCATAATTTGAAGATTTTTTTCGAAACAATTCTCTTGCCATCATGGATAGCTATCTAGAAAATGGGATAGGGAAATCAGGATGGGGAAACTGTATCCTTGTTAGATCTTCTTGTACCTTCACGCATTTCGTTTAAAAGCTAGTTAGCAGGAGTCACTATCGAAATGTATCTCATATGGACAGTTAAAACTCCTTTCCAGCTCTCCTTTCCAGCTCTCTATAGTTTTTGAACAGTTAGAGACAAATTTATGTTTTTGTTTTTGAAAAAGGGTACTTTCCTCTTTCTGTTAAAACTTGGAAGAACAAGGGAGGGCCGCTCGGTTGATAATTTCTCGGTGCTATGATGGTTTAAGAGCTATTGATTTCAAGGATAATTGTGAATTCTAAACAAGACTTCAACTTTTTTATCACTTTGGTCCCTACCCTTTTCTTTTTATTTTTCTACCTGTTCTTCAGAGACGCATTAACAGAAAGGATTAGTGCATGGATTGTTCCCGTGATGATACCTATCCCAGCAGTATTAAGTATTTTTATGCTCGTAAATTCCAAAGTGGTGTTGTTTGTTTACTTCCCCCTATTGAGGATGAGATGTATACAAAAAAGACTTGGAGAGTATTAATTCGTTGTTTTTCTTCTAGCTTTGTGCACAAGTCTATTCTTGTGAAGGCATTGGTTGAGAGAAAGTGCACATATTAGTTTCACTGTGATTGGAATAGGAGGGTGTTATTTGACGAATCTTTCCTTTTTGTCACATACGTTGGCTACATGCTGTAGCAATCATCTTCTTAATATAGCTTGGGCAATTTTATGTTGCACTGTTAGATTCTTATTGCACACAATCCTTGTATATCTGGGTCAGTTTCTGAGCCATACTTCTGTTTTGTGTTTGTAGTCATATCTTGGGAAGAACCTTGTCATGGATCCTATCACAGAAGAGGAAAGCTACCAAGATGGGAGCATGATGATTACTTGCATGCCTTCACGTAATGAGGTCACACAACTAACTCTTACTGGAGACTGGTCAACGCCAAAAATTCATGAGGTAGATCTATCAATTTGGTCAGGACGATATTCTTGCTATGTATTCCCTTGAGATAGCAAATGGGAATTCACGACCTAGTCCATAATGTGGTTAATTTCTTTATGCAGGCAATGGAACTGTGCCTTGATGCTTGTTCAAAGCTTGCAAAGATCATGAGATCTTGCTTGAAAGAAGCCGCAAGCCCTTCGCAGGTGGAAGAATAAGAATTAAGAGTGATCTTCTTTGGTACATATTATCTAAGCTGTCTTCATTACCTTTCTTCTAGGGCCAACAAATTTTTGAGTCATATTGGAATTTTGAGACAGAAGTTGGCCTGAATTTTGTGACCATCTTACAGAACGTATGCTGATTTTTGCCCGTCGTCAAAGTTTTAACTTTTGCTGAACTCATTGGCCTGCACTTACTTACATTCTCAATGGTATAAATACTTCATGAGTGAATCGGCTCGCCGGCGAATATCTTAGTTTGTGTACCTCTTGGGGCCCCCATTAGTTTGGTTCTAAATCATAATCTTTGATTAATAATTGGTTTTGTTGCAATGAAGCGTACTGCTGCTGATGAACTTAATAATGTCTTGAAAGGAAATGATGGTTCGCTAAATGAGATTGTTTGAGGTTGACATTTGACAGGCAGTCTGTATTGTTCTAATCTGACCAACCAATCTGTTTGTGTAATTGCAATTATGAGCGCAGTGCCTTCAGAAGATGTGAATGCTTTGACATTGAACTTTACAATAATAATTCAACCGAGCATTTAAAGACTTGGTTATCTGGCAGACACTTCCATCTTCTTTTTCCTTAGAAGTTTGAATCAATCAATCAAACTCCCAAATAATTGCAGTTTGTTAGAAAAACACCCTTCATATGAACTACGTATCATGGGCCCGAGGTGGTGGACCTACTACTAATTGAAAGCTTTGGGCCCGCCCCTGGGCTATGCGATTTGGTCTGCGAAAAATATGGTTGTCTAAAATATTTTACAGGGATCCAGCTAGGGAGAAACTGGAATGGTTGATTTCAAACTCCTAATATATATTCTCTCTGTCTCAAAATTATTGTCAAGTTTGATATTTCACTCTTAGTACAATTTGAACTAGGAATGAAAACTCGAACTGAACAATAATTATGAGATGGAGAGAGTAATTGATGAGATTCGAACGCGTAATCATCAGAACATCGAATACTGTACGTAGGTTCCTATGAGACATTTAGGAATGTCAAACGATTTTAGGGTATGAATTGTTCAAATGAATTCGTAGAGAATACGAATCTCGCTCTATTTAGTCTATTTATCCACCGTCAAGCCGTGGCGGAGGGGGCACACGAGGAAAGGGACAGTTGAGAAATGGACCGAAGCCTCTTTAGTCACGGACACCGTAATGTACACTTATTCAATCATTTCTGCTAAATCCGGTCTCCTGTAGACTGACAACCTCACCTTCTGCAATTCAATGCTTTTGAGAAATGATTCCTAATCATGAAAGTGGAGAACTATCTAAATACGAAGGGAAGACTTCTTAGAGCACCATTAGTCATTAGATGTTTTCCGAGCAGAATCCACGGCATTATGTCTTTTTCGCAAATGGAAGACCATGGTCAATTTAAATACTATCATGTTACTCTCTCTCCGTTTCATGTCAACGATCGATCTAATTTGAAATATATTACTATGTGACAGAATAAATAAAATAATTAGAAGTTAATCATTGTACTATGTTTTACGAAAATAAAACTCGTATGCACATTATTATGTAAGGGGCAAAATCTGATACTAGTGAAAAGTTTTATGAGGACAAAACTAGATTTGATCAGTCGTTGATGACCTGCTAAATACAAATATATTTTCCAATCTATATAAAATTTTGAAGAGTTGGGAATAAGTTAAATATTGATGTATTGCGTCAACGACCAGTTGACCAGCAAAAATCAACTGATTAGAAATTCATAATTTTATAACGTATCTATGATTTCCATTAAAAACTAAAACGGGGACGGTTTTCTAACATATACGATGAAATGATATCTCTTAAATGGGGATCATGATTGCTATATTTGTTTTTAATTTATGCATAAAGATGGAGTATTTTATACGCTAATAGCATTTTTTTCGTTCTAAATTAATTCAGTACATTTTTGTCCTTTGTCGTATTGACTACCACCTCTAACATGTACTCAGGATTATGGTACTCAAATACTCCCTCCGATCTAGGGTCGTTCACGGACCTGATTGGTCTGGATTGATAGTAATCCGTAACCAACCGTTCATTACAGTTTCAAAATTTTTAAACCGTAACCGGATCGGTCTGATGTCTAAACCAGACTAATTCAATCCGTTATGAACAGATTGGTTTGGACGGATTAGCGGTTTAGGCTTCTAATTGGACTTTTTCGTTTTGTGCAAAAAATTGAATATTTTTTTTGTTATTGAACCTTTTTTTGACCTTGTTTGGGGGCTTGATTTGGGAAAAAATGGGAGAAAAAAAATTTAAAACCGTAACCGGATCGGTTTGATGTCTAAACCGGTATAATTCAATCCGTTATGAACGGATTGGCGGTTTAAGCTTCTAATTGGGATTTTTCGTTTTGTGAAAAAAAAATTGAATATTTTCTTTGTTATTGAACCTTTTTTTGACCTTGTTTGGGGGCTTGATTTGGGGAAAAAATGGGAGAAAAAAATTTACTCATGGGGGACTTAAACTCGCGACCTCAATCAAATTTAAGATTAGATGAGGAACAACAAAGCCAATCAGACACCTTAACAATTTCATTATAAGTCATTATCCGTAGTTATATATACAAAATTATTATATTATTATTTAATAATATATATATATATATATATACACAGTCATGTCCGGTTTGACAGATGGTTTGACAGTGTCAAACTGTAATCCGGACCGATATGACCAGTTTTCAAGTTTCAAATTCACCGGATTAAAAATTTACTTGTAATCCGTCTGCTAATCTAAACCGATGATCGATTTGGGCGGTTCCACCGGATTGAGCCAAACCGTGAACACCCCTATTCCGATCCTTAATATAAGGCAATTTGATTTTAAAAATTTTTAAAAATATATTTTTTAATTCCTTGTATTCTTTTGATTGTTATGAAATATTTTTAAAGATTTTTGTCAATTAAAAATATATATTAGATGAAATTTAAGAAAAGTCAAAATGTCTTATAATAAGAACGGAGGCAGTAGCATAAAAAAATTTTCAGCCATCAAGGTCTGGCTTAACTATTCTGGAATTTGTTATTATCCACAAAATTTACAAGTGGACAAAAAAAGAAAATTTCAAAGCGAACTTACAGCTATATATATATTCAAATGTGTTGGAACCAAAGAAGTCAACTCCTTGGATCAATACAAGGATTATAGTACTACTCACTTGCTAAACTTAAAGCACAGCAATTTACGGTAATTAAACGTACTCTTTCATCATCTGGTATCTCGAAGTAAGTTATAAGTTCTTAAACTCTAAATATACGTATGCCCCCTTCTCAAATTAACATTAAACTTTTACCAATTTATAATTAGTTTGAGTATAGTTGTACATATGAGGCAAAGGTTCCCTATTTCAAATAGTAATAACATTTTTAAAAGCAAAATATGAAAAAATGACTATCATATTTGTTATACTAAAAAAATATTCTCTGTTTCAAAAATAGATAGCCAATATTGAGTTTTGATTTTTGTATTAAGGTAAACTTTTAAACTTGATGTAAATATTTTTCTTTTTTTTTGAGAAAAGAGTGAATCGTATATTTTTAGTACAAAATTTTAAATTAATGTGGACTATTTTTTATATATAGTTGGTATAACCCAACTTTAAGTCTAATCATAATGCAATCTTGTTGTCTCTGTATGAATACATTAATCGTAGTACTCGTGGAAACTTTAGCAGTCTTTTTACAATTTTCCGCCGACTTCCCATTCACATATGGGAAAGGAAAGAAGCCTCTATTCCTTCTTGAGCAGAAATCAAACCATCAAGCATCCACTAAAGACAGTGAAACTTTCCTGTATTCATTTCACTCTGAAACCTGAATGAAAATCCGAAAGCTTTTTGCTAAAAGAGTTTGTCTTTATGATGTTACACACGAGTTTTGTTATGCCCAGCAAGACTTTGTAACAAAAAGAGGGGAACTTTCTATCAAAAAAAGAAGAATACATTGTTTTTTTCAGCTTCACAGGTCTGCTTGTTCAGGAAAAATGATGGTACAGTACAATACAGCTTTTTTTTTTTTTTTTGGTTTTTCCAACCCTTTTCTGCATTTTGCTTCTTGCATTTGTTTTTCCTTTCATCTGGGATTCTTTTGTTCCTTATGCCTCTGTTTCATGTCATTTTCAGGGAGGGCCAATGGGAGTTTTTTTCTTCTTGTTTTATTTTGGGGTATTTTTTTTGAATGATGGGATGTAATAGAGGAAGACATGAATCTACTTTAATAAAGACAGTGAGAATCAGGGATTTGATTCATGGGTTTTGTTTGACTAGTTCTTTGCTTCCATGGGCTGGGAATCCAAAGTGGTTCAAAATTGACAGAATATAAAAGAAATTCAAAAGGACTTGGTCACATGTTTGACCTGAAACTTTTTTTCTTGCTGGTCATAGAAAGAAAAAAAAATGGTTCCTTTCATCACTCTAAAGATTACAACTTTAATACACCCTTTTTCATTTCTTCACATGATTTCTGCTCATCAATGAAACCACAGCTGGGGTTTCTTCCTTTGGTGGTTTAGAACTCAGCAGATATCATTATCAGATTATATGTTTGGGTGGTTTTTATTGATAATCTTCTCTGGATTTTTCAATGCTTCACAGATCATTGTTTCTAACTGTGGCGGTGGTGAGAGTTTTTGATCACTTCCTATGGCTTATGTTAACTCCAAATCAGTAAGGTATGCCTTAAAAATCTCATCCACGTTATTTTCACTTCAGAATTTTTCAATTTGCTCTCCTAGTGTTCCTAGTTGCTATGTTGTTGTTGTATTTATATGCTGTTAGTACACATTATTGGTAAGTCTCATGTTGCGGTTGAGCATGTTAGTCTAATTTAGCATAATGACTATCAGATTCCAGGAAGACTCTCAGTTGGCTAGATACACAAGTGTCTATGATGATGCTGGGGTTAAGGTGAAATATATGATTAATGGAGCACCATTTCAAGAGAGAAGCTCTAGAAGAGGGGAAAATGAGACTGGAAGGAGTGGAAAATCCTTGAAAGCTAAAGTTCTGTCTCGAGTTTTTTCAGAGGATTATGAAAGGGTTAAGAAAAAGATATTAGATCCTCGTGGACCTGCAATTAGGAGATGGAACAAGATATTTTTGGTTGCTTGTTTAGTTTCTTTGTTTGTGGACCCTTTGTTCTTTTACTTGCCAAGGGTCCAAGAAAATGTTTGCATTGAAATTGGAAAACCCCTTGAAATTGCCCTTACAGTGATAAGATCAATAGCAGATATCTTTTACATGGTTCAGATTTTTGTTCGATTTCATACGGCCTATGTTGCTCCTTCGTCTCGCGTTTTTGGGAGAGGGGAGCTTGTTATAGATCCTTCAAAGATAGCGATAAGGTACTTCTGGAAAGGTTTCTGGCTTGATGTCATTGCTGCTTTGCCCCTTCCTCAGGTTTGGGAAGTTCAATGTTGTCTCTTTTTAGTACTTTCAAGTAATGTGGAAAGGATAATGACAAGCGTTCTTAATAATATTGAATTTCAGGTGCTAATCTGGGCAGTTATTCCTAATTTAGATGGTTCAACAATGACAAACACTAAGAATGTTCTTAGATTCATTCTTATTTTTCAGTACCTCCCAAGACTATACCTTATATTCCCATTGTCATCACAAATAGTTAAGGCTACTGGAGTTGTCACCGAAACAGCTTGGGCTGGAGCAGCTTACAATTTGATGCTCTACATGTTAGCAAGCCATGTAAGTAGATAGAAACTATTCTGGATTCGGCTTACAAAGTCTCGAGCTGGATACTTCAGTTATCTTGCCCTTTAAAAAATGGAATTATTAGTCTCATGAATTTCCTTCAAATGCTGTTCTACATATAGGTTTTAGGAGCTTGCTGGTATCTTCTCTCTGTTGAGAGACAAGAAGCCTGTTGGAGACATACTTGCAATCAAGAGTTTGCAACTTGTCATTATCATTATATGGATTGCAAGGGGCTTGCGGCACCAGGCAGAGATGCCTGGTTCAGAACGAGCAATATCACTACCCAATGTGATCCGAACAATGATGCCTATCCATTTGGGATTTATGGCGATGCTGTTACATTTGCTGTTACTTCTGCAAAGTTCTTCAACAAGTACTTCTACTGCCTTTGGTGGGGCTTGAAGAATCTTAGGTAACATACTTTCTCAGCCTCCTGAAAGATAGTCAATTGTTTTCCCTTCCTCAGGTGCTGCTGCACTTTGATGATGCCTAATGCGTTACTCCTGTTTTCTCCATTTGTCGCAATCCAGTTCTCTTGGACAAAATCTTTCCACAAGCACTTATGTTGGAGAAATAATGTTTGCTATCATCATCGCGACCCTTGGCCTAATCCTATTTGCACTACTTATTGGTAACATGCAAGTAAGTTTTTTCTGTTTCCTACACAATACTTAAGTTCTCTATCCTATTATGAGAGGGATGCAAAGCTGCAGTTTAAACAAAAATGTATCCATTTCGTGCATGTTAGCTTCTCTGTTTCGTCTGTGGTAGCATAATGAAATAGGCCCTTTGCCTTTTCTTTACTCCATCAAGTTAGACTTGTAATAAGTTATTGCTCATTTGTGGATGGTTTGGATTAATTGGCAGACATACCTCCAATCAACGACAGTAAGATTAGAGGAATGGAGGATCAGAAGAACTGATACAGAGCAATGGATGCATCATCGGCAGCTACCTCAACAATTGAGACAGTCGGTCAGAAAGTATGATCAGTACAAATGGATTGCTACAAGAGGAGTTGATGAGGAGGCTCTTCTCAAAGGACTTCCTCTTGATCTTCGAAGAGATATCAAACGCCACCTTTGCTATGATCTAGTTCGACGAGTAAGTCTTTGTACTATCTTCGCAATCTTAGGTTGGCAGTTTGTTAGATATTTGTCGAAACTTTTATCTATGAATTGCATTATTGATGAGAAGGATGAACTGAACAGGTGCCATTGTTTGATCAAATGGACGAAAGAATGATAGATGCAATATGCGAGCGGCTTAAACCAGCTCTATGCACTCAAGGGACTTGTCTAGTACGTGAGGGCGATCCAGTGAATGAAATGCTATTCATAATCCGAGGGAACCTTGATTCTTACACCACAAATGGTGGCCGGACGGGTTTCTTCAACTCGTGTCGCATTGGTCCTGGCGATTTCTGTGGCGAAGAACTACTAACATGGGCGCTTGATCCTCGTCCAAGTATCATCCTTCCATCATCCACGCGCACGGTGAAAGCCATCTCCGAAGTAGAGGCATTTGCACTCATAGCAGAGGACTTGAAATTTGTTGCAGGCCAATTCCGAAGACTACACAGTAAACAACTCAGGCACAAGTTCAGATTCTATTCGCACCAATGGCGAACGTGGGCGGCGTGTTTTATACAAGCGGCATGGCGCCGGCATAAGAAACGCAGGAGCGCAGCCGAATTGAGGGCATTGGAGAGCCTCACATCAGAGACGGAATCATCAAACGGGCAATCAGACAGTGATGCATCTCCACCGAATCCGGGTTTTTCGGTTTACGCAGCAAGATTGGCAGCCAGCAGAAGAGGAGGAGGACTTCACACTGGATCAGATTCTTCTAGTAAAGTTAGTGGCTTGCAGAAGCCGGCAGAACCTGATTTTTCTGTAGATGAGGAATGAGGTTTAACATCAAAGAGGACAAAGTTTCCAAGCTGTGTATGTCAGTATGTGTATCTTAAATCAATGTTCAGGTTAATTATTCTTTTAACACTGATAAAATATATAGAAATCGACACTCAAGATTAGCATGATTTTCTCCAAATGTATATATTCCCAAGCGACTAGAGTCTAAAACTGAAAGAAATTTACACGACAGAAAAAGAGAAAAGTTAGATGCAATCAGACGAACTCATCACGACAAAAGTGAATAAACTATCCATCACCAAAATTAACTTGTTGATAGCTGAATCAAGGGACTAGGATTCTCCCTCTCTGCTAAAATAAAAAAAAAAAAACAACAAACACCAAATGTACTGCACTAATGTGGCATATAAAAATCATATATGACAGATTCCAAGTTAAAGATCCTTAGGTGGATCATCTGAGAACTCTCAGTCCCCTGGACGTGAGGAACCTTATGTCGCCATATAATCCGCGGCGAATATAACAGCAAAACTGCAAAAGGGTACAGTTGCAGGCTGATCAAAGTAGATGGACCTTAGACCTTGTGCAGTTGAGATGTATCAAGTATCTTAAGATCTACAAACTTGATATACTTTAGAATCATCGTTGATACCAGTAAACAGTTGAAAAAGGAAATTGTACAACCCCAAGTGCTGAAGAAAACCAAACAAGTACAGAATAACAAAACTACATCTCAATTATTGTTTTTTTTTTTTTTTAAATAGATGGTCCAGCGAGAATCGAACTCTCGACTTTCTCGTAATAACTATCTCCATCCTAATCCCTGACCCTCCCACCCTACATCTCAATTCCTGTTTCCATGCAAACATGTCAAAAGTAATAAAACAAGATTCTGGGTGTTTCCCCTGATTAAGAATATATAAATCAAAATCATAAACCCTAATAAATCAAAATCTCAACAAATCAAAATCATACCCATAAGCCCTCTTTGATTAAGAATAAATAAATAGATATGCTTATTTTGAATTCTCAATCTTGATAGTCGAAATATGAATCCCGATAAAGATTTAAACTTTCGAATGCCCCAAAATGTAGATGATTGAGTTCATAAACCCTAATAAAAATTCAAATATTATCAAAAATAAAAAATTACCGGATTCGCATCAGCCTGCTCCACCAACCTCCTAAATTCAAGATCCCAATAATCTTCTTCCATTGAAGTTTCAGTGGAGTTCATGTGGACAGAGTAAAGATGAGCAAAAGTCTCTTTTCCAAAAACGAAGAAAAGCAGCCCAGAAGTGCTATTGCAGCCCAGAAGTGCTATCTTACATTGATCTTCTTCATCATATTCATTATTCTTTTAACGTTGCTAAAACATAGAAAAACACTCGCGATGATCATGTTTTTCTGCTGCAAATGTATATTCTCAAGATACAAAGTCATTCACACTGAATGACTTTGATGACAGGACATAAAAAAAAAAAAAAAGGAGTAAAGTTTGATGCAATCAGATGAACGAACTCATTAAGAACAAAAGTGAATAAACTCTCCATCACGGAATCAACTTGTTGTTAGCTGAATCATGGCACAGAAAAATTCCCCCCTCTCTAAACAAGAAAACAAACACCAAAAGTAGATGGACCTCTAGATCTTGTGCAGTTGATGTGCATCAAGTATCTTAAAATTCGAGTTTTTTTTTTTAATCACATCCAGTGCTGCAGTCACATCAAACAACAATGGGGTTGAAAAAGTTCAGAATTTATGTTGATTTGGATGCTTCCCATCAGGAGGATGGCTTCAGTATGCCTTTGACAGGGGAGTGCAAAGGGTGGAAGTGAACCTGTCACGGCACGGTGCATTTGTTGCTAAAAGGAGTTGGAATTCTCTAAAAGGATTGGCTTTAAAGCGGGTCAGAGTATGTGGGGACAATCTTAAATCCCTTTTGTGCAGTTGCAAGGTTCTCGAAAGTCAAGTACTTCCTCGAAAAAGCATGCAGCATCTCTGGAGAAGATAAGTATCGATCCGCATCTCTGGACAATGGGGAACTTTGGTACAATGATCCTAAGAGACTGAGTCAACAAGCTGACATAACACAGGAGAGCAGAAGATGTGCCAAACAGCAACTCCAGGGGTTACTGCCTTCACATGTTGCATTACAGATACTTTAGCTCCGCATAGCAGCCTCCGTGAGGTAAGATCCTCCTGGTAGACCCAACTGGATCAAAGCTGATTGGTGAAGAATGATGATGGTTGTTGTGTGGTAGCAAACATGGTGGAGGAAGAGATTTTCTTTGCTCATTAGATCACGACTGAGAATCCATTCAGCCTGAAGATGGGGTGGATTTACTACTTTGACTTCACAGTTTGATGCAAAGATTTATTTTTTATTTTACTAGGTGTTAAACCCGTCCGTTGGACGTGAAAAATAAACACTAATAGAAACTATATTATAGATCAAATGAAATTAATTATAATTCTGTAAATGTTATGAAAACAAAAACCGCTTGTAGAAAACTTATGATGGATTGATTTATAAAGAAGCTATAAAATTCAAAAAGCAAAAACACACCAGGTGATGCTTTATTTAACATGATGTAGAATGTTATAAAATCATGCTTAAAAAAATATTTAACTTCAAATTAAATAATCATATGTCTCGAAAGGAAGATGATCTCTTTTAGATTTAACTTCAAAATTTTAACCGATTTCTCCTCATGAATTAACTGGAAACTCTCCAACTTATTCACCCAGAAAAAACAATTTCAATCATTGACCCATGAAGAACATACTTTGGGGGAAATCTAAATCTAAATGATGAACTCAAAGCTTGGTCACTATAAGACATCACCAAAAATGATGGAGTTTGGGAAATCTTATTAGTTTGACTAATTAGGGTTGGGGTCGGGAGATAAAAGATTTTTACTGCGAGGAAATATTTTAAAGTACTCGAGTGGAAAACTTCAAAGTAAATGGTAAATATAACGGCTCAATTAGGTAAACGAATTGAGTAAGATTAAAAAAATTGAATCTAAATTTTAAATATTTTATAATTTATTACTCTTTTGTGGTTTTTTAAAATGGGTGAATGAGTGGATACATACTTAATCAATTACGTTCCAAGGTTATCAAAATTGAGCATATCCATCCCATGACCTGCAAAACAACAAAAATAACCTGATATAACAGGTAAAAATATATTGGGTTTAATATTTATTCTTTTTTTCCTCTTTTTTTTTTAATTTTTTGTCATTTTTTAGTTTATTAAAAAACAAAAAAAATTCTAAATTAAAAAAAACTCAAAAAAACTTACTTAATTAATCAAAATAATTTATGCATCACAAATGACATAATTTATAATTTTGGATAAACTCAAAATTAATTAATTTTTGAATACAAGATATATATATATATGTGTGTGTGTGTGTGTGTATAAATATAATCATTCTATTTTTCACTCAAAATAAAGAAATTTTTTTGGAAAATTTCTTTAAGTTTTATCGAAAAATTAAGATGAATCTAATATAAAATAAATTAGATACATTACAAATAAATTAAAGTTTTTAGTTTCTCCATTTACAAATGTTGTTTTTGTTTCAATAAATTAAAAAAATAAAAAATTCAAATAAACAGAAGTAAAAAATGTTAAATATGGGATCCAAATGATTTTACCTGTTATACCAGGTCACTTTTGTTGGTTTGCAGGTCGTAGGATGGATCTGCTCAATTTTGATAATCTTGGGACGTAATTAACCGATTCTAAAACTTTAAGATGAATTCGCTAACAAGGTATAAACGTTGGGATGCATACACTGATATTCCTTTTTTAAAATTTCCGAAATATGTAATTTTTGAAATCTCAAGATTATCCTTTAACTTTCATCAAAATAGGTCAAATCGGTAAACTTAAACGGAAGTAGATGGTTATGTTAATGTTGGACAATAAAAAGTTAAAACGGATTCTTTGCGGACCAACATCACTATTATTTGGTTACAAGCTAAAATATTCTTTTGGTCATTTTTAATGGACCAATTCTGAGGTTTAGTTTTTTATTTATTTATTTATTTTTAATCTAGTTGAGATGTTTTAACAAAGGGAATCAGAGGGGTTATGGTTAAGCAAAAATAACTCATTCCTTATTAACCATAGACCGTGAATTTGAAGCAATAGAAATTGAGCCGTTCGAAATCTTTTGACCAGCTAGTTTACCTGTAAAGACTCTTTAATCTTGTTGAAGTTTTTAATTCCCCACAAGTATAGAGTATTCTTAAATCTAGTGATCAGTTATCTTACCAGTTGAATGTCATAGTACTACCCGTTGAGGTTATCCATCCATTAGAAATGTCTTAGTCCTATCCGTTAAACTATCTTATTAGTTGTCCCATCCGTTAATAGACCTTAGTCATTCTTCGAATAGTTTAAAATCTCTTTTGATCAATTGTTTCACCCATTAAAGTCATAGTTTTATCAGTTAAGATGTCCTAATCTCTTTTAACACAATTTTTTTTAATAGTTCTCTAATTTCAACCAACCGACCCTGTATTACATCTATTCTTGATAATTTAATTTCTATTCATCATCACTAATATAAAAGAATAAAAAATATGCAGTTGAACTTTCGAAGCAAATGAAAAGGATCCAACAACTTGTTGAGGGTCATGTGGCAAGGGTTGTGAATCTCACATCGGAGGTATGAGGACATGTGAATCGCTTAATAAGTAAGGTGGACTCAAAACCCATTAGCTTGAACTTTTGGATTCAGATGGGTCTTATCTTACTTATTGGGCTCTATATTGGGTTTTCTCTTACGGATAAATCCGCAACAGTGGTATCAGAGCCCAGATTGGGCCAGTTGGGTGGGTGATTTAGCCCAAATTATCTCGATTGATCTGACTGAACCCAGGCAGTCAAAGGCCCACTGTGAGCGGAAACGTAGGGATGGGCAGCCCAGTTACTCAAGTGGAGCACAGATTTGGGCTTGTTAAGATAATTTGGAAGTCCGATGTGAAGATTGTCCATGACAGGAGAGAATGTTGAGGGTCATGTGGCAAGGGTTGTGAATCCCACATCAAAAGTATGAGGACATATAAATCATAAATTAATAATGATCTAAATACTAAAAAATTCCAAAAAAGATTTAGAAAAGTAGGATACTATTGAGTTTTTTTTTTTCTTAAAATTTACATTTTAGAAAATTTTCATCTTTAAATTTCCTTATTGCATTCAAAACTATAATCGTACAAAATCTGAAAAAGTTGGGTATTTGTTCCATAATATAAAAATTCTTCAAATAAATGAATTATTAATTTATCAATGGAATAATAATTATTAATTTATCAATAAAATGATAATCCTATAAGTTTTTCTGGAGCCAACCACATTAATTTAGAATGTTTTTACGGTATATATGTTTAGACTGAGTCTTTTGTAAATTCCTAATGTCATTCAAAATTTAACAAAATAATATCTAAAATCCATAGTGCAGCGTACAAGATACATACTAGTAATAATAATAAAGAAGTTATATAATGCATTTATATTTAGTAGGCTAGAAAACTTGAATTTTATTGTATACATCATGTTTGAAATTGGATTTTATCAAGAGAGTAAGAGAAAAATTAAAGTTGTTAGGTTGTGATAATCTCATCAGTTGTGACATGATTTAAAACATTTTTTTTTAAAAAAAAAGTTGTCACGTTTCAAGTTGTTTACATATAAGATCGAAATAATACGATCAATTACAACTATACACCCTTAAATAAGGAGATGCCGACCTATCTATAAATAACTACTTTGTAACTTTTCGGTGAGTTTTGTTAAATATGTAATCCAAATACATGTCGTGTTTAAAGTTTGAACGAAAGAAATTTACATCTGCAAAAATTTTGAATTAGACTTCAAAAGTACATGGAGAGTTTAGTAATAGTTTTTTCTTTTTTCTTTGTTTTTTATGTTATATTTTCAACATAAAATACATTTATACTGTTATCGAGTTTCAAAATTGAGTGGAAGTAATTTATATATGAAAACTTTTTGAATCTGACTTCAAAAGAAGTGCATAGAGAGTTTAGTAACACTTTTTTTTTTCTTTTACATGACATACGGTTATTCATAGTCAATGAGTTCTAACGTTAATGCAAAGTACGAAATAGCATTCTTTAAGGCTAATATTCTGATGTGCACAGATGGGAAGCAAATGATGTCCGGTTTTACTAAAACTTCTTGAACTTTGAGGCTGTCAGTGGGGCGTTTGAGTTAATATGCTTAATTATTTGCTAATGCAATGTGAAAAATTAATGTCACCCAAAAAAGGAGGAGAGAAACTGCAATTGAAAATAGTCAACAGTTGAAAAAAAAAGTATAGAAATTCCACTCTGATTCAGGTCATCCACCAAGATTTCAGACAAATTTGTGCATCTTCAATGTTCAAGACCCATATATTGGGATAAGAACTCAATAAGCGCATAAAATAACGCAAATAACGCTCCATACGGTGATCCCTGACCCTTGCTCTTTGAACCGAGAATAGACCCGTGGGATCCATAGCCCCTAAAATTTCCTAGGGAGACATTGATCAAGATTCGAAAAGTTGGGAGGGAAAATCTACAACAAAACAAGAAAACCACCACATTAATATCAATCAATGAATCACTAAACAAGCACCCGATCGAATTGATGAGTAGGATTTTGGACCACTGATTGACTAAGTCGATTACCGAAAATTGCTCATTTTCGATGGGTAGGATGAAATTGGTCAAAGGATTAAACATTATGATCATATTGAACACCTTGAAATACTTTAGAATAAAATCGATCAGAGGGTCAAACTTTTGGACTAAATCGGCCATTTCAACGGGAAAATGACAAAAAAATAGGGGGTCATAATACTCCACATAAGTCACTATTTTTTTGTCAATATACTTATCATTTTCTAAAAGATAATTATTACTTTTATAAAAATGCAAATTGTGATTTATCTTGTGTGCGAAGATGGTTATTTTATTTCACTATAATCAACCGTACGCAACGGGCAATTAAAGACCTTTTCTCTACGGAATACTTTAGATCCAATTAGATACACTTTGTCGAAAATATAAATAGCCAATACTATTGGAACATAACCACACCAGTTTATATTGAAAATAATAGATAGGCTTTTGACTGATCACTGTTCACATAAAAACTCTATAATTAACGCCATAGCAAAGGAAGAAGCAGATAAAAGAAACTCGAGAATAAATCTAGATTTGGATTCAGACTTGGCTGATAATGCTGACTTTATAAGGTTGATGATACAACAGGTTTCCGATAATTTTTTGATAGTTTGATATAAATTAGAGAATTTAGATAAGGGTTTTATGAATGCTCCTACAACAAAATTAATGTGTAGATTTTTTTTATGTTGGTTATGTATAAACTCAATCATCTAAGAATGATCTAATACTATTTCATAATTAATCGCATCAACATTAACTTATATTTATATCTCGACGACAATCAACACTGAGAATTCAAGTGTATCTTTTTATCAAAAAGGTTGACATTCAAGTTCCATCTACGGCCTTTTGGCAGTGTTGTCAGGCTCGGACTAGAGCTTGATTTGGCATCGGCAAGGGGTCGAGCAAATTGGGGGTCGACTCGGATGACGTTACAATGCCATAATAAATATTAAAATATATATTTTTAATAAAATTTTATAAATTTTTATATACATTTGTTAATTGTTAAAGTTTTAGTGTTTCATAACTTTCAAATAGGTCTTGACAAAACAAAATTATGACATTATTTCAGTTATTAGTTTAAATTAACACTTATTATAATTATAAATAAATAAATTTGATACATAATTGACTTTTATCAATTAAAAAATTATATTGCACGTTTAATCAATATATTTGGTTTTGATTTTTCTTTACTCTAGTTTAGAATATTAAAAGTAAATTAAAATGAAAGTAAATAATCACTTTAGTTTGATTTAATAATTACTTTTCAAAAAAATTAAGTTAGACGTTAATTAATCTTGACAGTTAAAATATAAAAGGTGACTTGAAAAGTAAATAAACCTTGGTGCTTGGGAAACAACCATATAGTTTGGTTGTATTTTTGTGTAGATATTGCACAATTGATGTTAGGAAAAAGTTGTCCCATTTTGGTTGTATTTTTGTGTAGATATTGCACAATTGATGTTAGGAAAAAGTTGTCCCATTTTGGTGTTAAAAAAAAAATTATAACATTTGGTTGTATTTCGGTCCATTTATATTGCACATAAGTTTTCACATGTTCATAAAAAATAAAGAAAGAAAAAAATAATACTAGAACAATTTAGGCGTATATAAAATTAGGAGTTTGATGCTGGACTAATAAAGAAAAAAAAAAACACATTTTTTGTCTTTAAGTTTTTCATTAACATTGTCACTTTATTTTCCGTCATTTTAAAATTAATTATTAAACTAATTAATCTAATTAACCGGTCATTTTAGTACTAAAGTTTGGAAATAAAAATATTAAAAAAAAACCCTAGTTGACAAGTCAATTGTCGGAAATTGTTCATTTTCATCGGTAAGATAAAATTAGCCAATGTGTTAAACATTAAAATGGAATCAACCACCTTAAAATACTCCTTCCGGTCCTTAATATAAGACATCATGAACCTAGTATACATTTTTAATTAATAAAAAAACTTAAATATTTTCTAACAATCAAGAGAATATAAAGAATGAGAAAATATATTTTAAGGTTTTTTTCAATTAAAAAAATAAATACTAAGTAAAATTTAAGACAAATCAAAATGCCCCATATTAAGGACCGAGACAGTACTTTAGTTTGAATCATTAGAAGGTGGAAAGTGAAAAATCTTAATTGGAGAGTAACACATGTTTAATGAAATTTGACTTGACGGGGATTTGATAGGATACGTGATCTCTTTGTGTCAGAGTATTACTTCAATCATACTATTATAAATTTAATTAACTATCCTATCATTTTCAATTAGCGAAGTCTAGTATTGGAACGACATATAACAACACCAATTCGGAAATTTAACAACCAAGAAATAATTTTCTTTAAAAAAAATAGAAAATAAAGAAAACTCACCATTAGACTAATTGGCTTTCATACGGCAACCAAACCGTATATACCTATAATTATAAAAGGAAAAGACACTGTTTAAACTGTCAGTATGTACTTCTTTTCCAGATGTTGAACTAGTGTACTTGTCAATGTGCTACAAGAAGTCACTTAAAAAAAAATTAACCAAACAGCCATCAAGATTGCCCCCATTTCCAACCCGCAGTCCAACAAAGATCAAGAAGTAGAAGTGGACATGGAGAAAGAGCTACTAATTATGGATGGAAAGAAAGAGTTAAAGCTATCAAAATTCAGTAGAATATGCGTCTTTTGTGGCAGTAGCTCCGGCAAGAAGAGTACCTACACTGAAGCTGCAATTGCACTTGGACAAGAACTGGTAATTTTGCTGCTCTGTTTTTCCCCTGTTTTTGCTCTGTTTTCCCCTTGCATGCATAAACCAGAACATATATGAAGAATCATTCCAGCCCTTTTCATTTTTTTTTTCAAAATTTGATTTCTTATTATAATCGTGCTCCTTTTCTGTTAAATTTAGGTATCAAGAAAAATTGGGCTGGTTTATGGAGGAGGAAGCATTGGCTTGATGGGATTAGTAGCTCAAGCTGTGTACAACGGCGGATGCCATGTTCTTGGGTAAGTTTTTTCAAAACTCTGTTTTTCCTTCCTATTTCAATTCTTGAAAATAACTTCTATACCAGGATGCTCATTTCAATCATCTTTCTGACTTATATATTTTTGGATTTCGGTTTTTAATCTTCTTTTTCAGTGTGATTCCCAGGACCCTAATGCGTACGGAGGTATGTTAATTAGCTCAATCACTACATTCTTTGATATGATCCAACAATCTGGTAGAATTTTCTCCTTTTTCTTTTTGTCTTGAGTTTGGATAACTTTTCCAAACTTCTGGGAATCTTTTTCCCAGATTAATGATGCGAGATACTGTTCATTTCGACTTAACAGCTACTTTATAGTTATATATACTAGTACCAGATTAAAGAGCGTCTGTTTGTCGAGAGCGAAAGCATTATCCACGAGCCATTCTGCTTCATCTTTATCCTTAATGTTGCTCATTGGTGCGTCGTTTTCATGTTCTAGTGTTTTCCTCCCACAAAAATTTCTACCTCACCTTTGTTCTCTGTGATACTGTTTTTATTGTTGAAAAGTTGAAACTTGTCGGACTTCTTCCTGGAATGGTTTTTTTTTTTTTGGTTACGTATAATTGTATTCTACTCCTTCTGGTCATTATTATAAGACATTTTGATTTCGTTATAGGTTTAATTTAAATGTCTTTTTAATTGGAAAAAAAATTTAAATATATTTTCACATTTGTTGTTTTCTCCTAATTATTATAAAATGCTTTTAAAGTTTTTATTTCAATTAAAAAGATTTCTCAGGTGAACTGAAAATCCTTATAATAAGGACCGGAAGGAGTATTATTACTGAAATGATCATCTCATTCAAATTTCTCCATCTCCTTCCTGCCCAATGGGCAATGGAAGTTGCGTGTTATCTCAATATTTTAACATTCTTTCTTGTATCTATTATCTCTTGGCATTTTTAGACTCGATGTAGACATTTTCTTTATTCCCTTGATATTATCATAACTTTATTTTTGTACTGATTTTTGTGTGGCTGTTCATGTGAGAAAAACAAAACTAAAAACAGATCCATTTTATCTCGATGTGTTATTTTGGTAAGTATGACTTTCTTTCTTTATAAGTAGGACATTTGGGGACGTTTTGTACGAAGATTCCATTTGTCCATATGGTGGTATCTGAATTTTGAATGTTTTGATGGAATCTTTTCACCTAACCATTAAGATGGACTAATGGAATCTTTTTCTTCGAATGAAAGGACACACTAATTTGTTAAAAGGATAAATATCTAGTGTATTTTTTATATCATTATTTTTAGTTTTGTCCAAAAAAAATCCACATTAAATTTTGAAATTAATTAATATTATAATCTTTTGTGAGACATAAGGATTAATTAAATTTAAAATGTCAACAAAGTAACGGCTACAACTTCCTATTTTGTTGTTCATCTTAGCATCTTAATCACGAGAAAATTTGGTTGCATGCTAGGCATATGTCCCAATACGTAATTTTGTTGTTCATTCACAATTCGTTCGTATCGCTATATTGTTCACTTTACTGAATGTGTTGAAGGCCATAAATAAAAGCAGTGGCTAGTAAGGTGGATTTTTGGCATTACAGCCATCTTAGAAACCTTATCTTCCTGCCAAAATTTTGTGTTTTGTGGGGATCATATGATTTCTGTATGGTAATTGGGTTGCATATGCAGATAACTGGTGAAACCGTAGGTGAAGTGAAAGCCGTGGCAAATATGCACCAGAGAAAAGCTGAAATGGCTAAACACTCTGATGCTTTTATAGCATTACCTGGTTAGTGTCTCCTTTCGCCCTATTTTATTAGTCCATTTTATCGAATTAGATTAGCAAGACTAGTAACATAAGACGGAAAGAGGGGTATATTTTGTTGCTAGATGCATTGACCTCATGTTATTTTTGCACCAAATGTATACTGTATGGACCATTACGATAAATGTGTGTATGCCATGCATTCTATCTAGATAGCACCTCAACACGTACGATACCCCTTTTACGTATGCTATGGAGATGTTGTCAATTGTCATGTCCGTTTTACTGTTGCAGTATTCATTTTTCACAAGATAACTGATTACGAAAATCTTGCTTTTTATACTGCATGTAGCTAATAATATCAAACCATTCAAAACTCAGTGGAAGCAGTTCAACCTGAAAATGCTTAATTCTTATTGTGTTGGTAGTGTCTACTGTTGGTGAATAATTAGTGAAATACTTAATTTGTGGAATTAGGTGGGTATGGAACTCTGGAAGAGCTTCTTGAAGTGATCGCTTGGGCTCAACTTGGTATCCATGACAAACCGGTGAATAAGTTTTTTACTTATATCTCCAACTTCTATGAATTGATCAGTTTAAATTTTTCTGACAAAAACATTTTTAAGGGCAAAAAGAAAAAAAAAAAAGGAAAACTTATTAGAAAAAAAAATTTTCAGGTGGGATTATTAAACGTAGATGGTTATTACAACAGTTTGTTGGGCTTCATAGACAAAGCAGTGGAGGAAGGGTTCATTAGTCCTAGCGCCCGCCATATTATTGTATCTGCCCCTACTGCCAAGGACCTCATGCTTAAACTTGAGGTAAGTAACTAATTATTACTTCCCTCTTTTCCAAACAAATTTCATTGCTTAAACTTGAGGTAAGTAACTAATTATTACTTCCCTCTTTTCCAAACAAATTTCATTCTAATAATTCTTGAAATAAAATTTAACCACTGACTAATCCGCATATTTTATTCATATTCATGTATATATTGAAATCTTTTCTTCTTTTTTTTTCAGGATTATTTTCCGAGTGATGAAGCGGTAGGTACAAAATTGAATTGGGAAATCGAAGTAAGCTACTCTTCTTCGAACTATGGTATTACAGGGAACTTGTAGCAGAATACCAGTAATTTTCTTTTGGTACAATGAAGAAAGGCGAACCCAACTATGGTACCTGGGTAGTCGTAATTTTATAATGGCAAGAATGAAGATAAATGGTTTTAGTGGAAATGTAGAAATTAATGTCTTATTCGAAAGGGGAACTCTTTCATCTCTTCGTTGATTGCATCCTGTGTAAATTATAATTAATTGTTGGGACGTAATTCTGAATGATTAGAGCCACCCAATCGATTCATTTGTTTTTTAGTGAATAATTCCCTGTGCCAACTCCCAATATCAGTTTGGTACGGAGGATCGTACTTGGTCTTTCAGTTTTAGAGTTTGAAGTTCACTTTCTTGTTAATCACGCTAGCCGAATCAAACAGAACGATGAGGGACATGCATGATGTATCTATCTGCAGTTTTGTGTTCCATTTTCCATTCTACCTTAAGCCAAAAACATTTCCCATTTTTATGGTTTGGACTGTTGAATTACGACATTGTTTCTGTGAACCTAATTTCGCAACTAATTTTATAATATCCTTAACCACTATTTATTCAGAAGATTTGTAATGGTTACACGATTTACTGAGGTTATACACAGAGGTGTAAATTCTCCCTTTCTTTATTCCCAAAAGAATATAAGATTTCTATCCCATCTTCAATAATCAAATTTCCAATCGCAGTTGAATCTATCTGTAATATTATAATAAGATAGAAACTAGAGAGAGAAACAAAAAAAAGATTTCTAAAGGTGCCACATAAAATAAAATCATATATGTCATTTTTCTAACAAATGACAAAAATAAAAGTTTATGGAATTACACTCAAAATCTTTGAAATTTTATGTAAATAAATTTTATCACATCTCATTTAAATCATTAATTGCAAATGAAAAAATAAGAAGAATTAATGTACGGTCATAAATCAACATTCAATCTTAATCTTAATCAATTAATACAATGAAATCCATCCCCAAGCAATTTTGAATATAATTTGATTAAAAAAATCAAACATTTCAAAGAAACATAATTAATAGTGGATCAATCAATCAACATTAATGCCATATGAATTCAAAAAGCAAAATTAATATTGATATGAACTTTTTCACTAATCAAAATTAATAGAGTTTTTTTATTCGGACAACTCAGAATTATGGTATGTATTCATTATAGTTAATGTTGATTCTTTTTAATTAGTGCTGATTTGATCAATATTAGGGTAAAAATTATGGTTAATGGAGAAAGTTAAAAATTTAACATTAATCAAATTTAATGTTGAATCTTTTTTTATCAGAAAGTTGAATATAATTAATCTATCTATCTATAGTATTATTTTTTCATGTATCACATTTTACTTTGTTCAAAATTTTAATAGTTAATATTTCACAAAATTTATACATATGTGACCAACGTTTTTATATTTCATAAAAAAAAAACTCATAAAAGTATCGTGTGCGGGTTTAACATCTAGTTATGTTTAATCCTATTCAATCTACGGATACTAAACACCAATACGATTTCCAACAGAAAGCCACATGTGTAGAGTTAAAATAAGAAAAAAGTAGTGAGGTCTTTTCCTTATTAATAAACGACTAAATAATCTTAATTTCTATCTATAACATTAGACCATTTATAAGTCGACTGGTTATAAATTATGGTCTTTATAAATGACTTGTTATAAATTAGCTGTCTTATACTTGTTATAATAATGGGCATTTTGTGGCCGACTTGTTAATTAAGTTGTTATAAATTATGGTCTTTCTAAAGTGAAGAGAGAGGTCTTTTTCTTTTCTCACACAAATATGGTCTTTTAATAACAAAAACTATATGGAGCGATCACATTTGTCCCAGAAGTAAACTGCATGTATCCATTTTATATTTTGCTACTCTAACATCTCATCATTACCATTCAATCCTCTCAATAGTATCTACTTTCAAGAACAACAAAACCTCGATTCTAAATTTCTAATTATTGAGCGAGACCAATAATGCTAGTAATTGTCAACTTTAACTTTACCGATAACTCAAATTGGCCTACTTCAATAATTTGATTCTATTAAAGACTTTTTTTTTTTTTGATATTACAGGGTGTCCATCGTTGGCAACAGTGATTTATCCCCTCACTCATGGTAAGTAACTCGATGAGTGGGAGAGTTGGCTAAAAGATTAAAGGTTGCTTTATACCTATGGCGAGGTTCGAACCCTCGACCTATTAAAGACTTTAAGGGTTTGTTCGTTTCCTTTTTTTAGTATGTGTTTTTAGGTGTTTTTTGTATTGGAAATGTAAAAAGATATATTGAAAATGTAAAAAGGTATGATGAAATGGGGCAGTTATTAATATATTAATCTAAAAATACCATAAAAAAAAGAAACATACAATGCCTAAACTTTGTTTGAGCAAGAGAATTAGTTATTTGTTTTGGATTAATTTTGTTAAGCTAAGTATTCAGTACTACGCGTAGTCTACCCCCTTTACGTATTCCATGTGAGAATTGCCTCGGGGGAATGATATCTACGTAGCGCTGGTCTTACCAACGCATATCATGCAAAAAGAGACCAGGTTCTATCATTATTTCTTCTGATCATTGACTTTTTAATTTGTTGTTAATTAGTAGTAACGATTTATTAGATAATTATTTTGCAGTTTGCACATGAGAACATTTATTTGCCTAGACTTTGATCCGATTACAGAGTCTAGGCGTATAAAACTAAAAAATTTGTCAGATTTTGGTTGGGCCAATGGAGAGTGAACTGTCATCTCGACCGATTTTAGCTTAGCTTTTTTCCAGATTCAATAAATATCATGTTATTAATTTTATTTTGCTGTAAACTATTATTGATGAAAAATAAAAATAAAAAATTTGGGCAAAGAATAAAATTTTTTATGTCTTTGATCTTTCCATTAATTAAGTTCATGAAACTGGGTAAACTTCATGACTCGCTCGAAGATGAATTCGAAGTGAGATAAATTGAAGTTTATATTAATTTAAGTACCTTCAAAAATGAATTTAGATATACATAATATAGAAAAATGTACTATATCCTAATTATTGATTTTTATTTTTTTAAAATAATTAAGAAAAGTTGCATGGTCATTTGCTCGTATAACCACCGTCAAATGCTTGGACAGTTTACTTTAAATCTCCGAATTATTAACGTTGATTTCAAAGTCAAAGGATCAATAATCAATTTATTATTGGCCAACTTCCTAATTTTTTAAAGTTTCATTTGAAGATAATTTCTTAGTCAAAATCCGAGTGCAATGTAGACACAGTCTGTTCCCTGGCAAGAGTTTTTTGAGTCTTGTTCTAATCAGTAATTATAGTGCGTTTGGTGCAGAGAAATAAAGGTTTGATCCAGTGCAGAATTCGACTTCATTAATCTTGTTCGGACCATTTTTGAAAAATGGCATTACTTACATACGTATGAACTCTGAAGTAACAAAATCGAAAATGAGATCAACCAAACCACATATATATACTATGACTCATATATATATACAGTTCATATGTTGTAGTTAAAGAAGGGTTTAATTTTTCAGTTTAAAATTTTGATAAATTAAAATTTCGTTTCTTTATCTCGCGTCCGATCCTTTCATTATTTGATGACGGCCGCTAATTATCACCATTTTTGCAAGAAGAATTAATATAATCATCATGATTTTGGGCAATGATTATAGAAGAGACGTGCACGTGAATGAGATCCAATACATTTGCATGCATTGTGACAATTACATGCGAGTGCCGCAGTAACTGAATAAATGGCTCTATATACGCTGCTGGTGTGGTGTTTTGTCAAACTTAAGCTGCGAATCCATACGAAACGTCCAGGATCAGGGTTTATGGAATACGCTGAAACGAAAGTATAATAACTGTCTTATTTATTAGTTATTTATACTAATAGAATTCCTCATTTTGAGTTTGATGCTAGCTAGATTGGGTACGAATAACTTCAGTCTCGATAAGTTTCGTACAAAGTAATTAGTGGAGGTAGAAAGTAGTAAATAATAGGCCACCGTCTCACACTATAATCGAAGGTAATGTACCCTATTTTATCCCATGGGGAACACAAATTAAGGCAAGCTTCTTAATTTATAGTACTTGCATGGAAAGAGCAGTATCCAATCTGAACTTCAAACAGAATTAAGTCGTTCTGCTAGTTACCTGACAGTCAATTAATATGAATACAAATTTGCAAGACCAACACAGAGGTTGATGATGGCTTGATTCCGTTTGGCAAATTTAAGAAAGATGTAGTATAGTATATACTTTGACTTTTCCGTTTAAACTTTCAGTGTAATCGTACCGTGGGACCAATCCATGTTACATGTATATTAAGTATTAACCAACTAGAAAATGTTCCTAGCTATAGCTAGTTAAACCTCAGCTTCAATATTTTCAACATTTAAGTGTGTATTCTTCTTTTACCTAATTAGATCTCCAATTAAAATAAGTGTTCCCCCTATTGTAAAATAATTTGATGCACTAAAATAATATTGCCTCCGTCCCACAAAATAATCTGTTGTGGCGAAAAGGGTATAAATACAACACACCACGAAAGTGAATCCCAAGAAAATCTCCTTTCCTACTACCAATAAAATAGGACAACCACCCAAACAAGCAACTGATTCAAGAACTGATAAAATAAAGGAGGCACGCGAATTTACGTGGAAACCCAAATCGGAAAAAACCACGAGATCTGTAATAATACCAAATCTCCACTATCACAATAATGGGAAAACAGTCTTCACCGACTGGTAGATACACAGAACTTCACCCAAAGGTGGATTACAACAATACTCTTCCACACACACCTATCACAAAGTAGGGCTGGAAGGATCTAACCAAAAGAGAGCTAAACCGAAAACTAAACCCTAGCTTTCTTTCTTTTTCTCTCATACAAAAACAATGCACGGCTGCCCAAATTTTTCTTCTCTCTTGGCTGAAAAATACACATCTAAAAATTATGCCAAAGCCTTGCTTTTATAGAGCAAAAAAAACCTAAAAAATAAAAACCCAATTGGAGTGGGTTTTGTTCCTAAAACCAAATTGATTTGGTTTCAATCACTGCTGGGCCCAATTTGAGGGGAACCCGGGCCCAACATAATCTATATTGAGTTTTTAAATAATAAATAAATAAAACTCTGCAAATATATTTAAATGGTAGTTGCTGTTAGAAATGCGATGTTTCTTCGTCACAAAATGATAGGTTTGATTGTTGTTCCTTCACTTGATTCAATTTTGCAGAGATAAAGTAAAGTGTTTTTTCTTTCCCCCCTTTGCGTCTCCCCTTCTTTGAAAGCACGAGTGTACCTATAATTTGGGTGTAAGATGTTCTTTATTTTTTCGCGCAATTTGATTGATAAGTGGTGCTATAACATACGAGAATAGTAAAATTAGTTGATCATCTTTAATACTCTATCCATTCCGAAATGATTGTCCAGTTTTAATTTTCATCTTTACTTCAAATTTTTTTAAAAGTGAAATCTCAAACTGGACAATAATTTTGAAACAAAGGAAACATTATATGTTTCGTATAATATTCAATCTCTTTCTATAGTTTTTGTTATCTAGCTTAACTCTAACTACCTAAGCATAGTTTCCCTCCTTTCTGGATTTGAATAAAGGCAATGAATAAATATAAATTAAATTATTACATTATGAAAATATGCTATTCTTACCAAATTAGATAGCAATGCCTACAATCCCGAAAGATGACCAATGGCAAGAGAGGCCTAAAAATCAATTAGTAGGTAGTACAAAATTTGTGTCTTGATACACATGTTTCAACATAGCCCTCTGAATTCTATGGATCGCCATTGTCCCCCATTCATATATCCCGAGAGTATACTCCATGTGCATGCTAGATTAATTAGGCCAGATTCTACAAATTTTTATTTTTCGTTATTTTGGTACAATTTTATTTTTCGACTAGGACAAGTCAACCTCTGTGTCTTCAGTTCTGGTAAGCAACTTCAAAGTGCTATTTCCCCAGAAAAATGGGTACCAAATTTGAATCTTTCCCAAATTGGAGTCTTTGAATGAGAAAAAAGAGAAGAAAACTAAGGACTTTTATATACAGTTGACTTTGTAATATTCTTCTTCGAGAAAACAAAATCATAATGACTTAAAAATGGCAATAAACCCAAAAATCGAATTGGAACTCACCTCTGAATAGTACGGACTAATAATAATACAAGGGGTGGTTTCCTTCATTTTGATTCTTGAAATTTGCCAAAAGTTGGGCAAAAATGCATTAACACGAATAGATCTAGAGATTCCGTGTATAAGATCATAAAAAAGTCAACTATAAATGCGTAATCCTATAACTTTGTTCTCTCGCAATATAAATCTCTTCAAACTCAATCTTGCTATTTTATCCTTCATTTTAACTCAATTGGGTCGATCGACTCTTTTTCCTGATGATTTTTTTGGCGTAAATTTGCATTGTTTACTGAAGACGAAAAGGTATGTGCATGATTCGTACATATAATGCATATAAGTTTTTTTTTTTTTGGGGGTTTTAAATTGATTTTTTCGGGTGCCATTTTGCCAGGTCTCGGGGCTTGTAATTCTCACAAACTTATTACAGTTGACTTTCTTTCTTTCGCAACAATTAATCTCTTTTGAGTTAATTAATTTCTAGCGTATAATTAGCTGGCTTTGTGATCTTGTTGTACTAGAGATAATTTAAATGCAGTTCACATTGCTAAAGAAATTACGTTTGATCGAGTGGGTTTCATGCAAAAGATAAAATTTGATTGCATGTATCAAATGATATTAGAACTCGATTCAATGTTGCCATATAGACGACCTAGGAGATTCTCTGAGATTCAGTGCAAAAACACTTTGAGTGAATTTCTTCCAAAAAATAGTACTCCCTCCGTCTCATAATTATTGCCCAGTTTTGATTTTCATTTCTAGTTCAAACTGTATTAAAACTGAAATCTCAAACTGGACAATAATTTTAGGACGGAGGAAGTACTAATATAATAACAACACTTGTCTCTGTATATGAAAATAAGAGTTATATTTGTCATGCGCGCGGGTTTAGTGTTATTACGAGAGTGAGAGAACAAAACTCTTGTTCGGCTTTGATTAATCAAGGTTCATTTATTTGTAATAAACAGCAACATAAAACGGTGATGAATTACATCGAAGCTTCAGCTTTGAGATGCTTATTTAGACATAAATATTCACTTACTTAGTTAACTGAGTGAGTTGATTATCTTCGTTCTTCAAAAGGCTTTTAAGGGGAGTATTATTTGTTCAGTACAGTTGAATTTTTCTAAGGGGTACGTAAAAAGAAATTAAAACTGCAGTTAACTGATGATGAAACTGTAGTAAATAATTAAACAATTGAAAAGGTACAGGGGAAAGAAATCTGAAAGAATGAAGATAGGATTCTGATGAAGTACCAAAAACGCAAGGGTAGCCAAATTTAACGGCAACAAAAAAGTGGCTTTAATTTAGTAACTCCTCAAGTGGGAATTGCATGGTGTGCCTGTTGTCAAGTTTTAATGCCTTTTTGGATCTGCTTATTAGTCTAACTTCAGTTCCTAAATAATTCATGTTGCCCGCTAACCCCATGTGACCCCTTTACTGCCTTTCTCATGGATACTCCTTCACTTGTACTTTATTTACTTGCCACTTTTCCCTTGCAGATTCACACGGTCTGTGCTCCATATATGTTCTCCATCTCCCACCCCATTCTCTCAATTCTCCAAACTCTGAGTTCCGAAAAACTCCCTTTCCGTTCTCGACTTGTATCCATCGTTATCTGCTCTGATACCACTTGTCAGGACAGAAAACGAAAAAAATCTCGCCCGAAGTTAGCGTATTACAGAAAGGTGAGCTACTACCTACTACATTTTGTTTTGTCAATTTTACACATTTGCTAGTTCTAACACTAACTAATGGATACAACTTTTTGGTTTGTGTTGGTTTTTTTTTTTGTTTTGTTATTATTAAAGTGGTGAATACATTTTCGAGGTTCAATATTTGATAGATGTGTATACATGATTAGATGATGGGTTTGCCTAAGACATCAAGTATGAGATCAAGTGGTGAATATTTGGAAGGAATGTTGAGTGAATATGTTGGTGGGAAGCAACAAAACAAAGGGAGACCACAAAAGAGTGCATCAGCAAGGCTAGTGACCATCCTAACATGTTTACAATTTGCATTTGCAATCTATGCCACATTCCTCTTGTATTACATGAGCCCAGCTGTAGATTTAGGCAACAAACCAGATTTCTCATGGGCTACCAAAATCGCCACCCAATGGAAATCCTACCTCATCCAACAACCCCACACTGTTAGTAAATACCAACAAGAAACCTCAGCCAATTCCTTCTCATCATTAGTCTTCAATCCAGCCGATGTCTGCGAGAAGGAAACCATCAATTTCGAGCAGAAGAAATCGAACGACGCCGTGATGATCAAGCTGAAAACAGAGCTCTACAAAGAAGTACGCGAGTTTCAGGCCAAATCGTTTGGAACAGAGTCGCTGACTGAATTGATGAGCATGAAATCCAAATGGGATTTAAAAGGTCCCAACAGGGCAAAAGTTACTGTCATTTTAAACCATTTCAAGAGGAAAACTCTCTGTGCCCAACTCGATTCTTTGCTCCATCAAACTCTCCCTTTTCATCATGTTTGGGTGCTTTCTTTTGGTAGCCCGAATGAAGAATCCTTAAGAAGAATCACTCAGAGTTACAATGATTCCAGAATCAGCTTCATTTCTTCAAGCTATGATTTCAAGTACTATGGCAGGTTCCAAATGGCTTTGCAAACTGAGGCTGATTTGGTGTACATTCTTGATGATGACATGATTCCTGGGAGGAAAATGCTGCAGATTCTGTCGCACGTGGCCGGAACAGAGAAGTATCAGAACTCTGTTCTGGGTAGCATTGGCCGGATTCTGCCGTTCCGGCAGAAGGATTTCACTTTTCCGAGTTACAGGAAGTTCCGGTCGAAGGAAGCCGGGCTTTATTTGCCCGACCCGGCTTATGATATCATTGTTGACAAGATTGTTCAGGTGGATTTTCTTTCCAGTTCTTGGTTTCTTTCTGCAGAACTTGTCAAGACACTTTTCATTGAGACTCCTTTCACTTTCATGACTGGTGAAGATTTGCATTTGAGGTATGCTTCCTTTTTTCCATCACTTCCTTTCTTACCTTCAATATATACTAACAATAATGTGATGCAAAATTGGAAATTATTGACCCCTTTTTGTTCATGGTAGGAAAAGCTAGAATAGTTAGAGTTTGAATCAAGTAATAATCTTTATGTGATCATTAAGTAATGTTAATTTAGATCAGTTAATTCTGAAACAAGTCTCTGTCCTTAATGTTCTGGGTTTGGTCAGCTCTAGATTTGTATAAGAACATTATCGTTGCCATCAACACAGTCGCATGCATGCAAAAATCTCACAAGTCTTGTTTAATCTTTAAGTGATTAATTAAGTATACGAGGTCAAATCACATCGTAATGATGATTTTGTCACTAGTGTTAATTAGCCACTTCGAAACTCGCAAACATTATTCTATATGATCCTCTCTCTTTTTTTAAACCCTTCTGGCTGATAAAGTCAACTCTTCCTCCAAATCTTTGGATCCAGATTTTTATACCAATTTAAAGTTTTTTAAACCATGATTAATCTCGGTATCTGAACTTCAGTTAGTATTATTTTCCTTGACATTTTCGTTTGCCTAAATCATTATTTGTATTTTTTATATTTTTATTTTGGTTTAACATTTTTAGTTTCATTGCAGTTATCAGCTCCAGAAGTACAGAAATGCAGGCTCATTTGTGTTGCCAGTTGATCCAAATGACAAAGAAACCTGGGGAGATAGTGAACACAGGCTGGCCCAAATATCCGAAACCACTGTGATTTTCAAGGACATTGTTCAGGTCAGAGATGATCAATGGTGGAAGGCTCTCTCCACAGGTTACATAACCCAATGGGCTGCAATGAACCCACAAAAGATCGATGCTTTATTCTACGCTCACTCCATTCAAGAAGTCAAAGCTCTGGCTCCTCTTCTTGAAAAATTCAGAACCACTGTGGGGAAAAAAGCCTACATTGTGGTTTCAGGAGGAAATTTCTGCCCTTGTGAAGATGCGGCCGGCGCATTGGGCTGGCCTAAGAATGTATGCAGAGATAGGAGGTTCAAGATTTTTGATCTGGGAATCGGCGCATTGTCCGGAATTTCTAGGTCAGAGGTGCCGGTTGTGCAAGCGATTTTCGCTAGCATGAAAGGGCTGATCAAGATGCATAATCCTAGTGTTTTGATCACTGTGGATAATGTTGATGCTAATGTGAGGAAAGCTTTGAAAATGGCTGCTGAATCTAACCAAAACACCACCACTTTGGTTGTTCTTCCCAAGTTGTCTGTCCCTAAGGCTCTCTGGATGGCTGATCTTAGGTCCACTGCCCTGCCAAGTAAGAAGAACATTGTGCACATATATTCATTTCAAGTAACATATGTTTGCTAATAGAACACGATTGATACACAAAAAGTAATATAAACGATCATTGATATTTTCATATGTATTTAATCACCAAATGTTTTTTTCTTACAGATTGGAACAGGATGAGGCTCTCTGTAAACATCATTACTCAAAACCGCGCAACTTCATTGGCAAGGCTTCTCAAATCCCTCAAAGATGCCTACTATTTGGGAGATGAAGTTCCAATCACCTTTAACATGGACAGCAGAGTAGATGAACCAACAATAAAGATGGTAAGCTCTTTCGATTGGCCACACGGACCCAAAATTCTTCGCAGAAGAATCATTCAAGGAGGCCTAATTCGAGCAGTTAGCGAGAGTTGGTACCCAGCATCAGACGATGATTTTGGCCTATTACTTGAAGATGACATTGAAGTCTCGCCGTACTATTATCTCTGGATCAAATATGCTGTCTTGTCTTACCATTACGACCCTCAAGTTTCCCTCCCTGAGCTCCAATCAATCTCTCTTTACACTCCAAGATTAGTGGAAGTGGTGAAAGAAAGGCCTAAATGGAATGCAACAGAGTTCTTCAAGAGAATTCACCCGAACACGCCTTATCTCCATCAATTGCCCTGTAGTTGGGGAGCTGTTTTCTTCCCAAAACATTGGCGCGAATTCTATGTCTACATGAACATGAGATTCACAGAAGATGCTAAGCAGAACCCGGTTCAGATTCCCAAGTCAAGAACAAATGGATGGCAGGCTTCCTGGAAGAAATTCTTGATTGACATGATGTACCTAAGAGGGTATGTGAGCCTGTATCCTAACTTCCCGAATCAGATGAGTTTTTCGACGAATCATATGGAACCGGGAGCTCATATCAGCGCAAAAGACAACGTTGTACGCCACGATAAGTCCGATTTTGAGGTGCCATTGTTGAAGGAAGATTTCAGGAACTTCCTGCCTAGTGGGAAACTGCCACCAGCTTCAAAGCTGCCATCAATAAATCTCTTCAATCAGGCAGTTTCCCTGAAGGGATTGAAAGCTGCAGGAGCCAAATTGGGGCAGGATGTGCTGGAATGCAGCGCAGCAGAAGTTGTTGTGGTCAATCATGATACAGGGTTGCCTTCACATTGTGCAAAATTCTTATAATTCTTTGGAAAGGGCTAATCAAATAAGGCTGCTAAGATGATCATGACCATTCTTTTTTGGTCTGTGATGAACATTGTTTCTTTGTAATATTCTTCTTTAGTGGAAGGATGGTTCAGTGGAATGCAGGAAGAACACGGGTGGGGAGAAGAATGGGATGGTATACCAAAAAAAAGTTCATTCTAATCAATTTCGTTCCCCAAAATCCAAAACGGATGAAGGAGGGAATAACTGACTGAATTAATAGGAATTCTGAACTTGCAGTGAAAAGCCAAAATGGGCATCACATTGCATGCATTTTTTTCCCCTATAATTTTTAATCTGTTGTATTTCAAATGTTATGTTGTTAATGGAGAAAATAAATTTACTGCTACCTCTGTCTCAAGATGATTACTCTACTTATTAACACAGTAAATAAAATAATCAATTTTGAGACGAATGGAATGCCCAATCAAAATGTATTATTTGTAAACCCATATGATGTTGAGATCAAGTTTCTAGTCCCCAAAATTTAGGCATTGTACATACAAGATGGTGCAAATTTGTAGCATTAGTTTAAAAGATTACTCAAATTTTGTAGCACTTGTATTGTAATATGACATGAACACCACTAGTATTTGTTTTGTAGGTCACATTGACTAAACCTGATAGGAAAAGCTAAAACACGTTAAACTGGGTTGTAAAGGTTCTAAAATTAAATTTGAAAATCATCCTCATTCAATAGCAAGAAAATTTATGCAATATAAGATGATATAAAAGTCCCGAAATTCGCAAAACAACGAGTTGTTCTCACCGTTGATGTTCGACAGCTGCAACGATGGACATTTGATTCAATGAAATGGACAAACAAGTGGCCGATTCTAAAACCAAAACTCGCATTCCAACACTAGTATATAAGGTTAGAGTCCATTAAAAAATATAATTCACTCCCATTAGTAAAACTAGAATTCTAACTCATAAACAGGTAAATCATAGTCGGACTTGAGACCCAAAATGGCAGCTAAATCATTCGTGTTTGACCACAATTACATTTCAGCATTTTGTTACTGCCTTTTCTGCTACGTACCTCCCAATCAAATGTTCTTAGAGACTCAACATTTTTTGTCTCTTGGTCCTGTTATGTATCAACTAGAAAAAATGAGTCGGCTATAAAAGCACAACTGCAAAAATATTAATATATATATATATAATTATAATTTAGGAGGAGTTTTATATTTTTATGTGTGTCAAGCTAATCAAATTACGTCAAGTGCTGGTGGATAAAATTCCGTCAAGAATTAAATGTTGAATCACGAGACATTTCTCGTATGCGGGCGAGTTGTACTGGTAAATTCTGACCTACTCTCATTACAAACTTATTGGGCCTCAATATTTGTGATACCTAAATCCACTATGGTGCAAGTAATTAGAGTTTGTAGAAAATTTTTGTGGGGTAAGAAAGAGAATGGGAGGGCGTTTGCCTTAGTAGCATTGGATGACATATGTAAACTAAAGAAACTGGGGGGTTTGAACATAAAGGAGCCACTAATTTGGAATAAAGCTGCCCTATGAAAGCAGGTTTGGGGCTGAGCAACCAAGAAGGATAATTTGTGGGTTAAATGGTGCCATGAATACTACCTTAAAGGTGAATCTTTCTGGGATTATCAGGTTTCTAACAATGACTGTTGGTATTGGAAAAAGTTAGCGAAAATCAGAGATGATATGAGTCATGGTGTACAGGATGGTGTACAGGATGGAAGATGGTTAGCTCATAAGAATGGTACTTAAACCATTAGTTCTGGTTATGCATGGTTGAGAGGGGAGGGCCAAGCATTCCCTGCTGCAGAATTTGTGTGGAGCAAGTATAACATGCCAAAGCATAGGTTGCAGAAAATGGGGGTAATACAACAACCAGCTGTCTGCAAGCTATGTGAAGTTGCTGATGAAACTCTGGAACATATGTACTTTCAGTGTTTGTTATCGCAGCAGGTTTTGAAAATGCTGAACGACTGGTTGCATTGCAGCAGCATTCCAGAGAGGATAGCACTGTGGGAGACAAAATTGAAGAAAATTTGGTACCAGAGTAAATGTAAGAAAAAGAATAATGTATGGAACCATGGCAGCTGTGGTCTATCAGCTTTGGAGACAGAGAGATGCTGTGGTGCATGGAGCCACACGTGAAAAGGCAGAAGTGCTGGCAGCAAGGATCATAGTTTGTAGAGTTCAAATATGTTGTAAAAGGTATAGAGTTGGTGAGATGAAATACATGGAGGATTTAGGTATCAGATTGTTGTTTTAAATGTGAAGATGTAATAGTGATAGGAATGTATGTATTGGAACTGTTTGGGAGCAAGATTAATGCAAATTAACCTTTCACCGAAAAAAAAAAAATAGTAAGCTAATCAAAGTCTAATAGCAAAGAGGGTGAACGAGAACCACACTAAATTTGGAACCATCTCATCAATACACGTCAAAATTCTTACCTACAAAATTGATCCACCGGTTTCACCAGCCATTCGCTTATTAGGTACTTGCTAGAGGTATTAAGGTGTGACAAATATTAAATAAGTTTGGTCACTTGGGCACGTCAAGTTTAATTGGCCTACTCTAACTAAAGCACTGCGGAGACCACTAGGGATTTATCGATGTTAGTCCAAAATTGAACCTGACTTTTTAGGTACAAAGAAAGAGGTATAAGTCTAGTTACCAGAAATTATGACATTTCTTTGATAAGAAATACCAAGTAAATCATGTTGTAGCTAAAATCTGTAATAAAAACATAACTTTATTAACTTGTTGGAAAATCTGCCATGTCTAATTGTTATAAAAAATTTGGAACGTTATAAATATAATAAGAATCGATTACTTCTCTAAACATAGAATATTATACAAAACAAATCAAACAACAATTCACGGATATCGATAATGCCAAGGCTTCAATGTTTCGCCTCTCTAGTCGCTCTCTAGCCAAGCCACTAAAATTTAAAAATCAATGTTAAAACTCAAAGTAATTTAATTAATTAAGAACCTACCTGTAATTTTTTAAGTAGAAACAACTACAAAAACCAAAACCAGATATGATCAGCTTCTCAGTTTTTCTAAATCTACCTGAACCTAAAATGTCTGCCCCACCTTCAAAGGGCTTGAAGCATTGTTGATATCTTGTTACATGATTTATTTATACTCGCTAACTCACATTTTAATATTTCGTTTCATATAAAATTAAAATTTAAAACCGTACAACAAATTAAACCGTTACTATTATAATAAAGGGATGAATACATAGAGCATATATTTTTCTAATCTCATACTCCCACTGTCCCATAATTATTGTCCATTTTGAATTTTTCATTTTTAGCTCAAGTTGTACTAAAAATAAAGTCTCAAACTGGACAATAATTTTGAGACAGAGGGAGTAACTCTAATTATAGTAGAAAGTAATATAATTTTCTATCTCGATATTGCGTGTTTGGACTATCCAATCAGAAGAAACTTGCGATATGGATAAAGATAACCCGGGGTCAAAGAGAGGTGAGTTAGTATTCGTCGACATCAAATTTATTTTTAGTAAAAACAGATTTTTTGGATCAAGTGTGACAATAACAAAACAACTAATCATTTGTCCTAAACATAATATATATTCCTCCGTCCCATAACTATTATCCAGTTTGGTTTTTCATTTATAGTTCGAATTATATTAAAAATGAAATCTTAAACTAGACAATAATTTTGGGACGGAGTAAGTAATAAAATAATAATACGCTATAATAATAGGAGCTGTCATTTTTTTGGATTATGTAGATTCAATTTGTACAGGACGAATTACGCAAGTAGTGTAATCCAATGAAGTCATGCATCTATTTTTAGCAGATGTTTACCCATTTTTGAAGCGTTTTTCCCATGCAGTTAAAACGGAACCATCACGTAATTCCCATTTCACACCTTCAGCCAAACGACACTTCACCAAATTTTATCCCTTTTTTCTGGAAATTTTTTTGTTCATTTCTTCTTTATGCTTTCCTTTGTTCCTTTATCGCTGTGCTAAGGAAAAACACGTTTCAAGCTAGCTAACCTAACACATCGGTTTCTTTATCCAGTAAAAGTGTAATAACTGACCTACATCAAACTGTAAAAATAAACTTTTGTTGTTCCATTTTTTTTTTCTTTTTAAAGAATAAACTGTTTAGTACTCCGTAGTTGTTATGCAATTTTATATGCTTCACCACATATCATGATCCGAAGTCATAAACTTAAGATTGTAGGGCAAAAACACCATACCTCTATATATATATATATATATATATATATATATTAAAAAGATGTGGAAAATAATGATTGTTTTAAGGGAGCGAGCGAATGACCTATTAGTCGTCTCCATAATTATATTTATTCAACTGTATCTAACGTTACTGTGACAAAATTTAAGACCTTAAAAATTCTTGATTTTTCTTCCTTTATCCTAATTGATATATATTCCAAATCTTGGTACAACAAATTATAGGAGTAAAATAAAAATATATACTAGAATTGAAGAGTAGATTCTGAGAAATGGGTGTATGTAATGGAATAACAATGGGTTTGGGGGAGACAGGCTGTCCCATAAGAAATGTACAGATCAACTCATGTGTTGCAACCATGTGGTGTTTTCACAAATGCAAATCTTACACATTACTATGATGATGTTTACATGAGATAAGGTACCTTTTTTGGGCTTGAAGGTGATAATATTATAGTTACCACAATTTTATAGTTACAAATTAATGAAGTATTTTTTTTATATATACTTATTTTTCTGAGATGGAAGTAAATATTTATTTTCTTGTTGATTTGGTTAATCACGCAATTTAGGAGGCGGTGTTACCCGGTCTGAAATTTTTTGCTTATGACGAATGATTTCTTGCAAAAATAACCTTAGAAAATAATGGGAAATTGGTGTTTCTGATCGTATATGCTGCTTATTACATAAGGCAGTACTAATATTCAATCTTAAATTAATATTGATAGCCATCTGTGACCAAAAATCAAATTATTGAGAATTCATTTTTTAAATAACCAACGGGATTTGGTATGACGGTAAGTTCCAGGATTAAGATTTTTCCTCTCTTTTTCTTTAAGGTTACACGAAATAAATAATAAAACATATTATAATATCACAAATAAGATTTCACTCAAAGTGAATCGTATAGAGGATGAAGATTATTAATATTCAGCAAAATATATATTTGGTGTGGACTGAATCAATTCAAGGAGGTGGCTAAGGATTGCAACTAGGTAGTTGATGTGAGGCTCCTAGTTGTTATTATTATGATTTTATTTTAATACAAGAAGTTAATAATACATCATGTTATTCAAATGTGAAAGATATAATTAAACAAATTCACCAAAATGCATTAACTCCCATTTTTGTTCCTTTTTTTTTTAAAAAAAAGTAGACTCATGACTCATCATTGTGAATTCAGAAAATAAAAATCAAAGTTACCCCATGAAACCAATTAATGAATCATTTTTGTTAAGTCTTTAAATTCATAATGATGAGATTGTCAATTGAGAAACGTTTCTAAATCAAAAGGACGATTCATAATAAATTACCAAAATCTTTAAGCTAGCAAGTGACATTTGTTCATTTCATCACATTCCTTTTCAAAAAGTGATTCTCATTCTTTTGCACTTTTGCAATCCATTAAAAAAAAAAAGTTCAAATTTCACTTTTTTTTGCTTTAATACTTTCTCCTTACCAGAAAAACAACAATACAAAAAAGTTGTCATTCTTAAATAGTTATCGAATTTAAATTTATCTATGAACAGTAAACTGTTCGAAAAATTTTACCTCATGTCAGATTTAGTAACGTCGAGTAAGAATTAGTTTGAGTATTTAGGCCACTATATATACCCCTACTTTCTAATCATGATTGTGGTAGTAGGAAAAGAAAAGTTTTCATTTCAATTTTTTTGAAATATTTTGGGTATATATAGTAATTAAAAAATACAGCTGCACTCGGAATTTTAGAAATATTCAATTTTCTTTTTCCCTGTCAATAATAGTAGAAATCCCAAGCAAAAAAACACCCATACGGCCGATCTCTCCGGAAATACGAATTCTCCAATCTCGCCATTTCTTCTCTCTCTCTCTCCGCTCCGTCACTGTTCTCCGGAGAAACCTGTGCGTATGCTTTCGAACCCTAATTATATCGAATTCTGTTGATTCATCATGATTTTCGATTTATACGCGGTTTCCGTTATTCATTACTGCATTTCAAGCTGTGGATCTTCTCGAGAATATTTGAATTGCCAGATGTTCTTTTGATTAGATTACTTCGTTGCAAGCTCTTTTACTGTGGCGTCGTCATTCAGTGAGCGTGTTTTTGTTGAAATTTTGGTTTTGGTTCCGATGTGCTTCATAGATTGATTTTTGTTTCTTTTTGGAATTTTTAAAGAAGTCATTTTCGGTGAAGTTAATTTAAGAATTTGTGTGTTTGTGTTTGTTTTTTGTACTCTCGACAGCTAATAAAACGTCCAATGGTAATCAATCGCGGTTCTTAATGAAGTTAACTTCATGCCAAGAATTATAATTTTTAATTGTTTGAATTTGAGCATTTTAATTTACGGGATCCATAGATAAGTTGGGAATGACCGTTACCTTGCAAAGAGTTTTATAGTTTTGGAATAGTTGGGTTTTAGTTTTGAAGCACTATTTAGCGCAATGGGCCGATGTTTAGATGTGTGTTGGCTTTGCCCATGGATATGCATGGTTAATGATGTACTCATATATGCATATTCTGTTGTTGTTAAGTAAGAATTTGTTTCTTCTTTTGGGTGGTTTCTAATTCTACTTGTGATGATTGCATGTGTATGAATACGCCCAATAGGATTAACACATTGGCAATTGTTAAGTAGCTGTTTTGAAAGTGGATGACATCAAATGCTCTCAAGAGTTTCTCAAATAATAATAGGTTCCTCCTATCCAGTTTGCGATCTTTGAGTTGAGCAACTCCAGCCAAAATGGGAACCTCACACCGCAGGTTTGTCAGAATTAGTTTTACAGTTTTACTCATTGGATCGCTAATGGTCATTTCAATGTTAATACATTTTCGTGCCAGTTGACATATCTGTTTGTCCTTTTCCTGCTTGTGCTTACTTTGTGACATGATATTTTCAGCAGTGGGGTTTTCAAAAAATCAAATGATAGTGCCAGGCTTATCATAACAACCATCATGGGGATGGTTTTTGGATATTTTATTGGTGTCTCATTTCCATTTGTTTCTCTAGCTAAGGTATGTTAAATCCGTTGGTTAAAATTCAGCTCAAGTCGCTTGCTGACATTTATTGATTTGGTTTTCCCCCTTGTTTTTGCAGATTAATTTACCGTCAAGCTTTATTTCATCTCTTGATGCAGCATTTAGTGAAGATCCCAGTAGGCGTAGTTTTCCAGAAAACCTTGGTTCGGGTAGTACTCCTGTTACACCAAAGGTAGATATGATGTCTTTATGCCTTCTTCATTTGTATAAATCTAATTTTCCTTAAGCTTTATTTGTTTATCTAGAGATTATTAAACAGCTCCATAGTCAATGTTGTTATAGTTGCTGAAGTCCTGTTGAATGTCCTTTTGTTGCGTAATGCTGACAATATTTATGAAGTTTTCCCCTCCTATTTTACCTTTTTAATGGAAGTCTGGTTGCTGATACTCTTCTGGGTTGTACTCTCTGTTACTCTTTATACTAGAATTAAGTTCTCGGTGCATATTCCGGATGTAGTTGCTTATTATTTAGCTGCAATTGGGCTAAGATGCTACCGTTTTTTTAAATGATTTTCAGATTTATGTTCCCACAAATCCTCGTGGTGCGGAGTCATTGCCTCCTGGTATTGTGGTCTCAGAAACAGATTTTTATCTTAGAAGATTGTGGGGTGAACCCAGAGAGGTATGCTTGATGTTTTTGGGGAATTTGAAGGACCTTATCAGTGTTGATATAGATATTTTTGGACTAATAGCTCCCTTTTGCCGTAGTTATTATTGTTTATTGGTAGCACATAACTACCAGCTCACTTTTGCTTTTTTGGTTGATGATGTGTTAATTTATTACACATCAATTTTCTCATCAATACATTGCTATTATTGAGTAGACGAACTGGATGAGATAAAATCTTCTTTTTTGGTTGATGATGTGTTAATTTGTTACACATCAATTTTCTCATCAATACATTGCTATTATTGAGTAGACGAACTGGATGAGATAAAATCTGTAACCACTGCCTTAAAAAGAAAGTTAGAGTAGCACTAAAGGTGATGAAAAGGAGAGAAATGCGATTTAGGCCTTTAGAGGCCTTGTTACAGTCTTAGCGGATAGAGGATCGATGGTTATCACTCAAATAAATGAGGGAAATTTTATTTAACATTTAAGTGACGTGTATAAAACTGAATGAGAATGTGTGTTTTGGGAGGAAGAGATGGCTATAATACATATATCTGAACACTTGTAGTAGGATGAAGAAGGCTTAGTATGTTCTTGTTGTAGTACTATGTCATTGATCATCGACCATAGCTAGTTTCCGCATTGTCTTGTTATGCAGTCAGACCATGTGGAGGAATTTTAACTTATCCTTCGTACCCTACGCCCATGCATAATAATCCAGCAGGTACCTAAGCGTCCTTCCTGTTCGACATGTGGTTTCTTATGTGGTTTAGCTGATTACTGTGTTGGTTTGGTTTTTTTTTTGCTCCATTGTTTGCAACTTTCCATTGGTCTCCCTTGCACACTTTACCCCCCTTATGTGATGATGTAGCAGTTGATTATAGTGTCTTTTTTGCGAAATATTTCGTGTCCAAAACTTCTGTGGCAAATTAGGCATAGCAATCAAAATAAGCATCTATCAATTGACAGAATAGTCCTACAAAATGGCAATGCAATGGAAATCAATTATTTTTCCTTCGCTGAAATTGTTCCTGAAATTCTCCTCAAACTTTCAGGATTTGAAAAAGAAACCAAAGTATTTGGTAACATTTACAGTTGGTTGGGACCAGAGAAACAACATCAATGCAGCTGTTAAAAAGGTGTGTTGATCTCTATATTAGTGATCAGTTGATCTGCGCATGCATTTGGTTTTATTCACTATTTGCTGATGTGGTTTTCCACACTTCTTCCTTTGCCTTGCTGCAGTTCTCTGAGGATTTTCAGATTATGCTTTTCCATTATGATGGTAGGACAAGTGAATGGGATGAGTTTGAATGGTCAAGGCGTGCAGTTCATGTTAGTGTTAAGAGACAAACAAAATGGTGAGTGATATAATTCCTTTTTCACATTAAAATTAGTTTTATGTTTGCCTGAGGCTTTATTTTGGGCCTATGAGTTTTTGATAGTGGCATGTTGGGGTATTCTTCTGTCGAAGCCTTTAAAAATTTTGTTCTACTTATGTTACTGTCTGAAGGTGGTATGCAAAGAGATTTTTGCATCCTGATGTTGTAGCAGCTTACGATTACATTTTCATTTGGGATGAAGATCTTGGAGTTGAGCATTTCAATGCTGAAAAGTAAGATTTTTCCAGGCAAAAGCTAGTTACACAGTTCTTTATTATTATTATTATTATTATTATTATTATTATTATTATTATTATTATTATTTTCTTTTAACTTCTTTTCACCTCTCATAACATATTAGGTACATTCAGCTAGTTAGGAAACATAGGCTAGAGATTTCACAGCCTGGTCTTGAGCCCAATAATGGACTAACATGGCAAATGACAAAGAGGAGGGGTGACAGAGAGGTTCACAAGTGGGTTCTTTATACCCTTTTTTCCTCGTTTTTATGCATTTCAAAGGAAATTTTACCTGTCACGAACCGTTTTCCATTACCTTGTTGTTTCAATGGATGTCAGGGATACCGAGGAGAAACCTGGTTGGTGCAGTGATCCACACTTGCCTCCATGTGCTGCGTATGCTCTCTGGGCCCTTTTTTCTTTTTCTTGTATCGTTTTATATGTGCCTTTCATGTTGTGAGCTTTGCATATATGTCCAAACTTATAAGAGAATTCATCTTTTGAACTCATTCGTCTAGTTATTTTATTGATATTACATGTAGAAGTATCATTTTCAATCACCATTCACATACTGGGATAAAATAAAAGTTGTTTTTTGTATACATATTGGTTTTTTGGCTTTTTCTTGTGGCTCAGTTCCTTTTTCCCTGCTCGTGGTTTGCTTTGTATTTTATTCCTGAGAAATTTTGTCAATGTACTTGTGTTGGGTTCTGATTTATAAATCAGACAAATAGACTCCCTGAAGCATGTGTCAATCTTTATTGGTGTTACAAATTGGTATTGCTTCCACATTGACGCTCAAGTTATTGATGTGACTTCCCTGTTTGTTCAGCTTTGTGGAAATTATGGCTCCCGTCTTTTCTCGAGAAGCCTGGCGATGTGTCTGGCATATGATTCAGGTATGCTTTTTTAATGTCCTTTTCCTACACATTAGCGGCATTTGTGCCCCTGATTCATCGATGCCATTGAGCACTTTCCCGTATGTAGTTTCTGTTGCCATTGACAATTTCCATCTTTGATTAGAGACTGAGGTTTCGATGTTTATACTGTAGAATGATTTGGTGCATGGTTGGGGTTTGGATTTTGCACTCAGGAGATGTGTTGAGGTCAGTGTACTATTCATTCTATTTTCATGAAAGACATGGACGTAGTTCCAGCAATTCTAAGTTTGATAATAATTTATCTGATATGTTCATATCCCCAGCACATTTTTTGAGAAATTGGTTATTTATTTTCACTTAAAATGTGTTCTGTGCTCTTGTAGCCTGCTCATGAGAAAATCGGAGTAGTTGACTCGCAGTGGATAGTTCATCAAGTAATTCCTTCTCTAGGAAGTCAGGTCAGTGTTGTATGATCTCGCTTTATCTTCTGGTAATTCTGTGTGGTATTGGTCGTGGGGGTGTAGAAGGGTTTTTCGGTGAATTAAATAACAATACTTGTTGCTTTAAAATGCTAATAATGAGTACAATTTGTCATATTTGCAGGGCGAATCTGAACGTGGCAAAGCACCTTGGCAAGGGGTATGCCTTTATAAAGTCCCTACTCTGAGTGGATTTTCCTTGCTATCATTATTTTTTTTTTACATCTTATTTGAATTGCCACAAGTTTTATATTAATCAAATTATGGTTTATTGAGAATTTTGAGACCGTCGTAACAGCATTTAGTTTGATTGTGCGTGGTTTTGCACGCTAAGTTCGTATCTGTCTGTTCTTAATTCTTAGGTACGAGACAGATGCAGAAGTGAATGGGCACAGTTTCAAGACCGGCTTGCAAATGCAGATAAAAAATATTTTGAACAGCTTGAGAGGACACCATCATATTAGTATTTATATATGGTCATTTACCTGTAAATTTCTTGTCTCTTTTTTTTTCTCCTTTTCCTCTCCCCTTTTCACGATAGGCTTATAGCTGAATTCTCTGTAGTGAAGACTATCACGAAGATCCACTCTTATGTGTATACCTTTAGGTGTTTATTCATATTAATATTTCTGTTCGAAAGTATCATCATTCTGCCCAGATGATTGAATCAGCTTGTCATTTTTCATTTTTTTTCGGAGTGCAAGTTAAAACGATTGTTCATTGGGCCTCGGGGAAACCAACAAATCTGAACAAATTTACCTGGATTTGTAGCCCCTTCTATACAGGTATAGTGGAAAGATGCAAAATGGCTGCACTTACAAGTGGTGATTTCATTTGCCGTTGACAATCATATTGTCCTCGGCTGGTAATTCGGGGTTTGGTCTAATTTTCCCCCTTTTTCCCAGCAATTCGATGTTAGATTAGGTACTATGTGCCATGAACTGGTGCTGTCGGAAGGACGATTCCAGGTTGTGTGCGGCAATTATACTTGCCAATGTCTACATGCATACACTTCCCACACACCGAATAGAAAAATGGCCTCAAAATCATGCACCGAATAGAAAACGGCCACTAAAACTCATGCATCGCCTGCTTATAAATTATGATGATTCCCCTTGATTGATCGATTGAGACACAAATATTTGATTAATCTTGTTGGAGGACTTTGAATGAGATGGAAGGTATTGGAGGAGGATAATCAATTTAAAATAAAAGAAGAAGGGAAAATATATATCATGTTCGTTGCGCAATATATAAATATAATAAAGCACGCTGTGCTGGTTATCAAAGAAAAAAAAAAGAGGAGAAAATGTTATGGAGTGAGACTCAAGTCTGTCTATGCTCAACATCACCAAACATATAGTCTTCACTCAATGGACTCAACTTACATAACATTAAGAAATGTCCATTCCACCTTCCTACCTTCTGTTCTAAGACTTTTGCTTGCCTCACCAATATGTAACATACCCCCTCTTTTTGCATGGATGTGTTATTTATTTTTCTGGGACGGAAAGAATACAGTTAATCTTTAATACAAATGAAAAAAAAATCTTAAAAATCTTGGACTAATTTCCTCTAAAAACCCATTGAATATCTTATTAATCGTCATATTCATTAATTTAAAGATGTCATTTAAGAGGGATGAACTCTTGGTATTGATATTTTAACAAAATGGACGCAGATTCATTTTGTCACGCATACTATTTCCATTGGGAGGGCTTTGTTCTTGCGTACATAAAACTTCCTCTTTTTACAGTCATATTCTTAACATGTGTTTCCAACTTGCTTAGGAAAACACTTCAATTTCTCAGTACCAACGTGACTATTATATCAATTCATTACGTTTCTTTCTTCAGCATTATTTTCACAAAAATATGTTAAGAATAAAAAGAAAATTTTAAGAAAAAATCATGTCACAATTTAATTAGTCTACTTTTGCTTAAACTGGCCGTTACGTCGTCCTCTCTCTATAAGGTGATTTAGAAACTAGACAGAAACCAACAAACACAAAACAAATGGCTTAACTAACGACGTTAGCACCAACCATACATACTACTCCCTCTCAAGTCATCTTCTTTACAAATAAAAGACTCCCTCTCTTCATGTTTCATTTTCCTTCAAGCCACATACCCGTATCCCCACAGAACTTCTCTTCCATTCCACCTTGATCACTTCCCTCCTCCCAAATATTTCTTCTCAGAAAATCTCCGCCCGGTCGGCCGATTCATTGCCTCGGTTCGCCTCAAGGTGAAGTAAGTCTTGTGTAGGCATTCAATCTCAAATTTGGTTTGTGACTCATTTTCCAGTTTGTTGATGGTTTTGTGAATTTTCAGGTTTTCCAAGAAATTGAAATATCGAAACATTCAAGGTTAGTTTGGATCATCGAACGGCTTCAGAATTATTATTTTGGGACGGAAAGAGTGATCAACAGAAACAAGACTTAAAAGATTGGAGTTTATTCATTTCAGGTTGGTTTGGTGAAAAAACAAAAAGATGGGAGAGATGCAGCAGAGCAACCAATTGGGAGTGATCAGTGCATTATTCCTTTCAGTGGCTTCATCTGTTTCCATTGTCATTGTCAACAAGGCATTGATGAGCAATCTTGGCTTTCCATTTGGTATACTTTTTTTTTAACTCCAAAACTTCATCCTCCAAATAATAGAAATATTGCAACAAACTCTGCCTCTTATATTTTTAAAGTACATTTTGATGCACCTACAATTTAATCAGTCTTCATCCTGCATAAGACGAAAACTACATTGTATAAACAACATTAGTTTATGTCTCTTTGTGCAAGTAGGGGGGAACCAAGCCACATTGTTTCTTGTCAAATTGAACTCCAATTTTATTTTTTATTTTTTATTTATTTTCCCATTTTTCAGCAACAACATTGACTAGTTGGCACCTGATGGTGACATATTGCACCCTTCATGTTGCTCTGAAGATGAATTTCTTCGAAAACAAGCCGATCGACATGAAGACTGTGATCCTCTTCGGCATCTTAAATGGCGTCTCGATTGGCTTCCTGAACTTAAGTTTGGGTTTCAATTCAATCGGCTTCTACCAGGTTACATTTCAACATAACATGTTTAATAAAATATACTAATCTGGTCAAAATTAATAAGGGATTTCTTTTTCTTTTTCTTTTTTTTTTTATCAGATATTCATGATTGGTTTTATTCCTTTGTTATTTAATGCTTGCTTGTTGGTGAACTTTTGATTGATGTTTGACAGATGACCAAGCTTGCAATCATACCTTTCACGGTTTTATTAGAAACCATTTTCTTGAAGAAGCAATTTAGGTAAAAAATAAAAAAAAAAAGTTTGAAAAAATCAAAACCTTGAATTATTCGTAGTAAACGTGATGCATATGGTTTTTGATTAATGCTTCCAAATACATGCAGCCAGAAGATTAAGTTCTCTCTGTTCGTCCTACTCGCCGGCGTCGGCATTGCTTCCGTCACCGACCTTCAGCTCAACTTTGTCGGATCAATCCTCTCCCTTCTGGCCATCATCACTACTTGTGTTGGTCAAATTGTATCCTCTTCTTAAGTCATTTTACAAATCGTCAATTTTTTACAAATCGTTTTACCTCAAAAGACTATTATTATGGCCATCAAATAACCCATCTAAAACTTAAAATTTTATGAATTTGACCATTTTGGAGGATTCCAATTTTGTCTTGCTTCTTCTTTTTTGGGTTATTACTGAACTGATTAGTTAACAAAGTAGATTTATTTTTCTGAGACGAGAAAAGTGCCAAGTACAGGAAATTTCGCCAAATTTGCAAATTGAAGGATTCCAATTTTGTCTCTCTTTTCTTTTTTTTTTTTTTTTTTTTTTGGTTATTGTTCCTTAACAAGAGATTTCAGCTGACAAATACGATTCAGAAGAGGCTTAATGTGTCATCTACTCAGCTGCTATATCAATCAGCACCATTTCAAGCTGCAGTTTTGTTCGTTTCAGGGCCTCTAGTAGATCAATTCCTCACCCATAAAAATGTGTTTGTCCACAAATACTCTCCAATCGTAATGGTACAATATTCTGAAACAGCCCTTTTATTCCAAACCAGCAGCAACTAATTTCATAAACACAAATGATGATGATGATGATGATGATGATGATATTTCTTTTGCAGGGATTCATACTATTATCTTGTTTGATTGCGGTGTCGGTGAATTTCAGCACATTTTTGGTTATTGGGAAGACATCTCCGGTCACATATCAAGTTCTAGGCCACTTGAAAACCTGCCTTGTTCTTGGATTTGGTTATACACTTCTTCATGACCCTTTCACTTCAAGAAATATCATTGGAATTTTGGTTGCCATTGTTGGAATGGGATTGTATTCTTACTTTTGCACCCATGAAAACAAAAAGAAACAAGATGCAAACTTGTCATCTCAGGTATATATTGTTCATAAGGTTGCATAGAGCTTTTGTCTTCTTCTTTTTTTTTTTTTAATATGATCAAAAGGGTTCATAACTTCATATATATTGATCATTTTCCTTGTTTCTAAAATCTAGGCCAAGGATAAAGATACAACACCACTTATGGCTGGAGGGAAGAAAATGTTGCATGAAGATGAAGTAAATGGGGATGGCAAAGTATGACCAAATTAAAAGACTCCTTAAACTTTGAGGAGTAGTATAGGGTTTTGGTACAAGTTTTTTAATTTTTTTTTTAATTTTTTAACATTTCTATCTTGGTCAGTTATGAGATATATTTGTTCAATTTAAGGACATTTTCCACTTTCAGAGAAATGATCTTGAGAATATCCTATATTCGATTATATACGTCTCTAATCTCTCCTCAATTTTTCTTTCAGTTTTTTCCGTTTTGTTCTTTCTTCCTTTTCTCCTCCTCTTTAGATTTTTCTTTTGTCATCGACCATCAACTCAACTCTTTAGAATTTTCAACCAAAAAAAAAAGTTGAAAATTTAAGACGGTGTTAAGGTGGTAAGAAGAAGAAGAAAAAAAATAAATTAAGACAGCGTGTTTCTCGCTTGAGAATGTTAAAAGTGAATACAAAATGTACAAAACTAAATTCAAATGTTCTGTGATAATGTGATGCATATATTTCTCCTTTTTCATTCTCTATTTACAATTTTTATTTTCTTCTGTTTCTTTTTGTTAAGGTATATAATATGTCTCACATCGCCACCGTGAAGAGAAGTGACTCTGTATATATAAGTGTCGAAGGCTAGCCCACTCATTGTCAATTAGTTTTGAAATGAGAGTCTAAAATAATTATCATTTTATTTAGATTTTCTTGACAAAGATATCAAAATTTATGACCGCTCAAAGTTTTTACATTATTATTGCAATGAGAACATTTGGCGAGATATAACAGGAGAAAGAAGCCCAATATAGTGAAGTCCGTGTAGATTAGGTTGAAAGCCCAAGCTGCGAGAGAAATTATTACGTCCAGTATGATTCCATATTTCCAACTCTAAACCGTTTCATTCTTTGAAGTCTCGTCTGAAAATTTTCTTTGCCATTATGAAAGAGACAAATCATTATTATAAATTTAAGTTTCAACGTTTTGATGGTAGAGAAACCAATAATGTGTTTCAATTACAGACATAATCTACATCGCGTTTTAAATTATATTCCTTTCGTTTTCAAATGATAGTCCAATTTAGTTTCTTTACTTTTAATAAAAATTATAAATCCAGAGAATACTTAAATTATTTATATTTGAACAAAAAAAAAACCCTTCAACATACACGAAATAGGTTGGTATAAAGGTCACTGATTTCTCACCAGCTGCGGATAATTTTACATTCTTTCTTGCACAAGCATAGAAGATTATAACGAATAATAATGCAATACAAAAAATTAAATGAAATTTCTTGGTGCAATAAAATGTGTGTTAATCATTAGTTAGCTAGTCAAAGACTCAAAGATGGCCCTGGAAGGGGAAGCTGTTTGTTAGGTTGGAACCGAAAAGAAAAATGATTGGGCCAATTGTACAATAATCTTCATTATTATTAGTTTTTTTTCCTCGAAAAACAAGTAGATACTCTCTCCGGTCCTTAGTATAAGGCATTTTAATGTTATCTTAAGTTTTACCTAAGTTTTTTTTAATTGAAATAAAATTATTAAAAATATTTCTTAATAATTAAGAGAGCAAAACGAATGTGATAATATATGTTTAAGATTTTTTTTTCAATTAAAAAGACATACAAGGTGAAACCTAATACAACAGTAAAATGCCTTATAATAAGAACCAGAGAGAGTATTACACAGATGGTGTTTCTGGGATAGATGTCTCATTTTTTTCATGATTTTTTTCAAATTAATTTATTAAAAACTGTCACATCCCAGTACACTTTTTACATTCCTAATACAAGGAAATCTAAAAACACACACTAAAAAAACGAAATAAACATACAAGCTACCCTCGCAGACTTCTTTTGAGGTTTAAAAAATAAAAATCTAAATTTGAGAATTATATCGAGATCAAGTATGTATATTTACTTATACTACGAAACAACATTATTTACGACAGGATCTCTACTTGAGTTCTAATGCGTCTCCACGCAGTAGAAAGCAAAATCATAAAAGAATAAGGAGCAGAACTTCTATACCTATAACGTAATGGTGCTAACTTTACCATCGAAAAATTCCTAGCAGGAATCCTCACTTTTTTTTGCAAAAATTCTACTACTACTCTCCACTCAGTGGCGTTGATGTGGATATCCTCAATTTCAGGAAAGATTAAAAAAAAAAAAAAAAGTTAAATAAAGAAATAAAAGAGGGGGCGGCGGAGACGCGGTAATGATTACCGAACCAAGTCGCATGAAATCACCAGCATATGACTCATGTCTCACTGCAACTTTACAAGTCGTTTGGTTAATTTAAAAAAGCAAGAAAAAGAAAGAAAAACAGTGTTTTTATATATATATTTTTTAAAAAAATAAATTAATTAATTCGTACTGGATTTTTTTTTTTTGGTTGAGCCGTCAAGTCAAATATAGTTGGCACGTTCTCCGCCGCGTCAATGAAAAAAAGCGGAAGAAGAAGAATGAATGAATATTCGGATCATCCAAATTGCACAAACCCAAACCACTCGAATTTTGGGTTTTGGAATTTATTTTGGGGGGTATTTGGTAAATGGTACGTCGTGTGCCTTTTTTGTTCTGAGAAATTTTGTTACAATTTGGCATCCATCAACATCCCTCCAATACCCATGAAAAATCTCGTCATCGTCTATCTTTGTCTCGTTTTGCTTTTCTATGATATACTACTTCCGTTTTAAAATATAAGTCGTTTTATAAATTCTAGGCAAATTAATGACTATTTTTTCAACTTTACCCTCAATAAATGATGCTAATCTATTTTTATTTAGTTTTCTTTATAGTTTCACTGTAATTAATGAGGGATAAAAAAGATATTTAACACATAAATTAATTGTTAGATGATTGATTGTCTTCTTAGTTTACGTGCCAAGTCTAAAAAGACTTATATTTTGAAATGAAGGGAGTACATGTATTCCCTCTATCCCATAATTATCGTCCAGTTTGAGTTTTTATTTTTTAATTTAAATTGTATTAAACGTACAATCTCAAACTGAACAAAAATTTTAGGACGGAGGAATTACATATAAACATTCAGTATCCACCCGTGAAACTAGTCATAAAATCATAGTCTTTCTAAAAATCAGATTCCTCCGTTTGCCTTCATCGCGAAGAAATTGCAGTTATAAGTGTTGGTCGATCTAAATTTCCTACTAAGAACATAAGTTTATATTGGAAAATGTTATCATTTAAGTTGATATAAGAGTAATAAATAAACTAAGGGCATTACGTTCAGCCTACTTTCGGAACTCGTGTTTTAACGATTAACATTTTATTATATCCAGAACTAGAATGTTTCTCTTCAAAAACAAAAACCAAAAAAAAAAGAAAAAAAAAAACAAGAAACAAATAAAAGGGCAAACTTCTACTAATTTTGAAAACCGATCATTACTTTGAACAACGTAACAGCGAGACCCAGACTTTTACTAATGATAGAGTATTACTAACCTGTCTCAAAAAAATTGTTCATATTAAGTTTTTAAATTTATATACTTTTATATATTAGTACAAATGTTAAAATTCAATGTGAGTGATTTTTTTAAAAATATATATGGAATATATGCCAAATTTTCACATTCCCAAAACTTGAACAAACTATTTAGAGCTGTGTGTTTACTCAAACTTAATTGCGGAGCCTGCCTTAGGGCCAAGTTAGTGAAGATATGGCTTTTAGACACCTAATTTTTGAAGGCCTTAAATTTTTATTTATTATTAATATATAGTATTTTTCTTAAAAAAAACAAAAAATTACATACATGAATAGTCTTAGTTAGAATTTTTAATAAAGATTTAAATACTTAGTGAGGCTTTAAAAATAAAAATAAAAAAATTAAAGAAAGAAATCCAACATTAAAAAAATGAATATATAAAATTTGGTTTTTCCTTTTAGAAGGCCCCAAATTTTAGAATTGCGTTAGGCCTCAATATGTCTTCGGCCGTTTGTGCTTAATTGTCACTCAATAAAGCTTTTAATCGAGGACGGCATATCTCTTAAGTTCACAACCTCCACTAGATAAAGTGGATTTTGTTTCGTATAAGTTATACTGATGAAAATAATCAACTCTTGTACTATTTTTTTTTTTTTTTTTGACAAACAACTCTTGTACTAATTTAATATAGATTTTTTTTACTGAATTTATTAAAATTTGTTGACAACCAAATAATAAAGACATCATCACCTTATCATTTTGATTTTGGTGTTCTATCTTCTTTTTGGTTCGATTCGGCAAATATCAACTACACATCATTTTCTGTAGAACTAGTGGCAGTGGGTGCATCCGGGGAGTAACATTCAAGTAGACTTTATTAAACAATTTGAGGTGGAAGAGTGAATAAAATTAATATAAAGATTTTTCATGGAGTTGATGTTTGTGTATAGTTTTGTTTAGAAGTTAGAATTCATTTTGTCCGAAAATAATTGTTCGATTTAAAATTTATTTTTCATGTACAATTTGTACAAAAAAATAAAACTTTAAAATTTGAAAATTATTTTTAATATGATTTACAAATTATAATACACATTATTTTCTTTTAGAGATAAAAAGAATATATTTCACAAAAAAAAAAAACAAATTAACTCACTCAATTTCAAACAAAACTTATAATAAGTCAAAATGTCGAAATCGAATGTCAAATATAATACGCTTATTACCGTCGATAAGATTAACCTGTATTATTTTTTAAACGCTTACTTTGAGTTATCAAACACACTTAAAATTTAAGTCCTTAATTAGTAAAATTCTTAATAAATTAAGTGGTTAACCTATTGTGTTATCAAACGGTACTAATCAAGTAAGCACTTAATTAATAAGTTTAAGTGCTGAATTGGTTTATTAAACAATGTCTAAATTCACAGCTGTACAATTTTTATCACTCTATTTAGTTGTAAGTAGAAATGAAAATTATTTTGGAAATTGGAACGGAGGGTAGCATATATTTGGTTTCCTTCTAAGAACAAAAATATCTAATAGAAGAGAAAAACTAAAAAAAAAAAATAAAAATACAAGAAATCTTTTTCAACTTGTGTAGTCCTATACTGTAATTTCCTTCAAAAAAAAAAAAACACGAAGAAAAAAAAAGAAGAAAATCCACCCCATATACAATTTGGCTACCACAATATTTAATCCGATTTTTAATAAATAATGATTCACAATTATGGGTGATCGGTAGTTGCCAGTTGGATACTGGAAAAACAAATAAAAATTAATAATTATAAGTATTATTCGTAGTAATATAATTGGTCGGCTTTCAGTTGTGCTGTTTGCAGTTGTTGTTCGAACTTCCCAATCAGCTTTTTTTTTTTTTTTTTTTCAAAAAAAAAGACCAAAGGGCAAACCCGTCATTCCACATCCTACACCAATCATTTTTTTGGCCTGCAAAGCTTTTGTCTTCATTACGCACCTTTTATTTTGTTTTTGTTTTTCGTTTTCCCTTCTTTTTATCTTTTCTCTCTTTTTCTTTCTTTGCCAGTGAAAAACGAGGAAGAAAAGCAAGAAAAATTACTTCAAAAAAATGTCATGAAATCAGTACTACTGTTATTGCAAATTTAAATAAACCCCACAAAAAAAAAAGCGCTTTTTCTCTTTCTCTCACTTGAGGATCCAGCGCAGCAATCCCATTTATAGACCCTGTTTTGTGTGTTGCAGCAGTTTCAACTTTACAATTTAGTAGTAAAAGATTCTCTCTCAGCTCAGCCTTAAACCCGGATTACAAGTAATTAACAGAGATGTTATGATAAAGTGGAAATTCTCGGAGGAGTAGTATTTTACAAGTGTTTTTTTTCTTGATGTTTTTTTGAGTTGTGTAAACACAAAGGTTCCTGTGGGTTGTTGTTCTTGGTTTTGGGATTTTTTTTTTTTTTTGTTTGGGATTGGAATTTTGGGGAGATGGGTGTTTCTCAGAATGATGAAAACAGAATGGAGGGTTGGTTGTATATGATAAGGTCTAACAGGTTTGGGTTGCAGTACTCAAGGAAACGGTATTTTGTTCTTCAGGATCACCTGCTTAAGAGCTTTAAATCAATCCCGCCTTCCCAGAATGAGGTGGGTTTATCTGGTTGTTTTAGTTGTTTTTGATCTTTTTTGTTCAGTTTCTTCGAAGATTTCGTTGCGTTAATGTGCATCGCTGTTGATCAATCTCTGTCTCCAATTCTGTCATTTGAACTGCGGAGGTATCGAGGTTGGTTCTGAATTTGATACGTGCTTCGGGTTGTGTGCTTGTCGAGAAATAACATTCTGTGGATGTTTCCTTCTTATTTTGTCGATGAGTTTTCCATATAGGGGAAGGGGAATGGATTTTGGATCACTTAAGGGTGAATCAGGTTGTTTTATTTGCCCAGCAGAATGTGGTGGCTTACAGTTGGAAGTTCTTACTTGATCTGAATATGCTCTAGTAGTCTAGTTTGGATGCTGCAACACTAATACAAAATTCATTAGCACTTGTGAAATTTTAAGCGAGCAGCACTTTGGAAATTTGAAAGTGATGATGAAAATGAATTACATGACTATTGATTATCTCCAGAAAGAAGTGAAGGAAGTTCAGCTGTGTTACATATGTTGGCCAAATTGCAAAAAAGATATATGCATGCCTTTCTTGGACTATCGATCCTGCTGTGCTCATGCCGCTCGACAAATTAATTTTCCTTTTTTCATCTTGGTTTCTTTCGGTTTATTGCTGATGCCAATGAGGAGATAAAAGGATTTCACGCTGCTCTGTGCTTTTGCTTTGCTCTGACAAATGCTTAGGAATACATGATGGTTATCTGAGTCTGACTTTTTGTTAGTATTGAGCCATTTAATAGCTAGGACGATGAACCTCTGGATTGTTCTTGATACATCCTTCCTTGTGAGCTTTACTTCCCGATGTTACTTGCGAATTATAAATCCATGATTCGGTATCCAGTAAACTGATTGTCCACCTGGACAGCAATAATGAAGTTCATGAAATGTTGACGTGTTTGTGGAGCTATCTTCAAACACCTTGGTTACTGATCTTCATCCACTTTCTGCTTCCTTATGCGTGTTTTACTTCATACATGTTTGTCATGCTTAAAATTTTAGTTTCGGTTCTCCCCTGTTTGATTATTTGGCCATGCAACATTTCACTTAACTTCTAACTTTACTTCCATGGTCAGGAGCCCTCAAGAAGTGCAGTTATAGATTCCTGCATTCGGGTGACAGATAATGGTAGAGAAAGCATTCAAAGAAGGGTGTGTTCTTGTTACCCTTCTTCTCTTCATAGCATCTATTTATGATTCACATATCTGCTCAACAGCTGATAGAGATGCTTATTTGTGCCGGGGTCCCCCCCCTTCCTCTATACGATCATTAAGATATGCTATTCCTAATTGCAGGTATTCTTCATGTTCACACTTTATAATACTTCCAATCACAATGATGAACTAAAGGTATAGAACTTTGTGTCCCAAACTTGAGTTTCTTACAGAAGTTACATGTAGTTATTAAATTTATAATTCTTAGCTAGGAGCGAGTAGTCCTGAAGAGGCAGCAAAGTGGATGCAATCAATTCAGGATGCAGCTTTAAAGGTCTAAAACATTCCTTTTTTATATTATGGAGTGCTTCAGAAATTAATTCTTGAAACTGATGTTTGCTAATTTACTGGAAGGCTGACCAGAACCAAGTTGCTTTGGATTGCTCCAAGCAGGAAGCTCAGTCTCTGCGGTGAGTAAACTTTATATAAAAGTTCATTTTAACTTTTCCTGAGAACTATAGGATAGGGGTTTATACAGTGGCACATGTGGTCATCTGAAGTTTGATTCTAGTGTTAACTTGCCCGAAAAAGTGTGAATTTATCAAGTATATAGTGTTAATTTACCTGAAAGTATCTAGCGTGAATTTATCAAGTATCTAGTGTTAATTAACCAAAAAGTTAGGCATGGTTTTTGTTCGTTGTTAATGTACGTATTCGCTGTCATCATGTTAGTTTCTTTCGATAATTGGTTTTTACACTTAGTTGACGATCCTGGTTTGAAGTTAATCTTGTGAGTCACTGTAGGAATCCCTTTTCATTCAGGTTAAATCACTCCCATAAATCCCATGATTCCTATTCAATCGATTGGACAGTTCGTTCATCTAGAGTTATGGATGCAATGACTGCTGATGTGGTTGCACCATCACCTTGGAAAATTTTTGGTTGCCAAAATGGTATGCTTTTTTAAGTTAGTGGTGCTAAAGTAAGATGTTTCATTTCTGAGCTTGTGTTTAACCATTGACCTGTCTTAGGTTTGAGACTTTTTAAGGAAGCTAAAGATAAAGAATTTCAGGCCAAGGTTAGTTGCATAACGATGTGTATATTAAATATGAAATTTACTGCTGCTGACCTATATTGATATTCTTTACAGTGGGATGACCATCCTGCAATTATGGCTGTGGGTGTAATAGATGGAACTTCGCAGGCCATTTTCCAGACACTGATGTCTCTTGGTCCTTCTAGATCTGAGTGAGTTTGGTATCTATAGAATTGGTATATGTTTACAATGAGAAATCACTACTCTTTATATTTCCTTTCTACTTGTTAAACCAGAATCATATTCTGTGTTCAAGTTTTGATTGTCCTTGCTTGTACCTAATGCTTCACCGTATTTTGGGTGATAAAACTATCATAATGTCAGATGAAGTGACTTGATTTCTTCTTCGTTTTTTCCCCATTTTTTTTGGTCTTGTTGGAAGGGTATGAATCATGTTGTATCAGGCTTGGTGTACAAGCTAATGTTAATGTGCGTACTTATTGTGTTGCTTGAAATGATGTGATTTACAGTCATGTATTCTTTTCACTGTGAAGTAGGATAAGATGCATATAGCTAAATGCAGAAGATACTTTTTCCTGTTTCAAACTTGAGATAAAAAGCCAACACTAGAATGCCTGGTGAACTATCAAAGCTTATATGATGGTTTTCAATTTTCAAATGCTGCAGGTGGGACTTCTGTTTTTACAAGGGTAGTGTAATTGAACATCTTGATGGACATACTGACATAATTCACAAGCTATTGAACCGAGATTGGCTACCTTGGTATGATCACTAACGTCCTACTTTGTGGACTTTCTTAATATATTATGTTTAAACATAATTTATGTCATTGCAGGGGCATGAAACCACGGGACCTCTTATTGCGACGCTATTGGAGAAGGGAGGATGATGGAACTTATGGTAAAAATGTTTGATTATTAACTTGTAGATTAGTTTGGGTTTTGTGTTTTTTGTTCACCCATTTTTCATTATGTTGCAGTTATTCTCTACCATTCCGTCTTTCACCAGAGATGTCCTCCTCAAAACGGATATATTCGCGCCTGTCTTAAAAGTAATGTATGCTGAATCCATTTGACAGATTGATGTTATTTTTAGAATCTGCATTTGTTATTTACTCTATTAGAGTGTTCTAAGGATAAAAATGCTTTTGATTTCCATTTCCCACTCTGATGAGCTTATTTATGATCATGGAGCCGCTTTAACTTTCTGCTTCGAAGACAATAACATGCAATCTCTGTTCAGGTGGTGGATTTGTGATATCACCAGTTAATCAAGGGAAGCAGTCTGTAGTGAAACACATGCTTGCTATTGACTGGAAATCTTGGAAATCATATGTAAAGACATCCTCAGCCAAATCAATAACAATCCGCATGCTAGGGAGACTTTCTGGTGAACACTTCACTCTTCTATGTTTTCGACAGATGCTAAATTTATTAACTTATTTGTAAATAGGCCATTTTGAGTGATCTGCCCAATGCCCACGAACATCTTCTTCTTTTTCTTTCTCTTTTTTTCTTCTTTTTTTTTTCTTTCCGGTCAAAACCCATGAACATCTTCTGATTGCAGCATTACGGGAACTATTTAGAGCAAAAGGAGATCATTTGGCATCTGATTTTTCGTCCGGTGAGCTGTTGAAAGACAGAATACTGAATGGAGCAGGTTTGCACGTTGAAGTCCAAAGCAGGTTGGACACTAGAAAGAGCATGGAGGCAGAAGATGAAGAAGTGGTAAAAACTCCCTCTGAACATGCCAGCCTAATGGGCCTAAATGATGCAGCAGATGAGTTTTTTGATGTGGCAGAACCTTTGGAATATGATCAAGAAAATGGCTGGCCGTCAGAGTATGGAGGAGAGGCATACACTCAGGTATCATTGTACTGCAATAATTTCATCTTGCAAACACATAATTATGTGATTCAGTGAACAATCTGATGCATCAAAACATGCCTTGCCATGCCAAGAGTCTGAAACATGTGAATCAAAGTTCACCTTCTTTCAAACTTCTTCCAGCAACAAAGAAAGTTCTGTCAGTGATGTTGTTCGTATACTCTCACACAATGGAAAACTGGTTGTATTGCATGTTGGAGAGACTCTTTTTTGATGTATACAACCGCACCCAATTCATTCTGTTTGTGTTCTTTATATTTCAGGATACACGTCAACCCAAACTGTCTACTGCTGCTGTTTTTGTTAAAAAATTACACGATCTTGCAGGTGAGTGAGATTGTATATTCAGCATGACTTTATTGGTCTTTTTGAGGCCGTGGCACCCCCTCCCCCGCTTCCTGGTTAAGAATATTTGCCCGCCCTGTTGTTGTGGTAATTGTTGGAAATAAATTAGATTTCTGACTCCTGAGAGTTCATTTTATTTTTGCAGTTCAGAAGAAGGGTTATGTGGACTTACATGAGATGGCAAGAGAAGACAATCTATCATGCAATTATGGATTTACTCTTCCAAAGGATCCAAGTTGTAATATGCTTTCCAGCTGGACTGCAGCTGATGCTTCTACGTTCCTGATCCGTGGAAATACATACCTAGAGGACCGTAAAAAGGTGACTTTTTCAAGGGACCATGAATGTGTTGAATTGCTGCTCCATGTTCCTCTTGATTTTGTCAAATGTGGATCATGAGTCAGTTGATCTGGTGTTGCCTTAACTCTTCTCGCTTTTTCTCTTCTTACCAGATTAAATCAAATGGCACGTTAATGCAAATGGTGGCTGCAGATTGGCTAAGATCTGATAAGCGAGAGGATGATCTTGCTGGCCGCCCTGGGAGCATCGTGCAGGTTTTGACTACATTGTCTTTTTTGTCTTACCAGCATCTACTATTGCGTTATCTTTTGTCAACATTTTTGTTGAAGCCTACAAGTAAAACCAAATTTGCTTTCGTTTACAGAAATATGCTGCAAAGGGTGGCCCAGAATTCTTTTTCATAGTCAACATACAGGTGGATTTTGTTACGTTTTCAGTTTCTACTTCCTTGCTGTCCATTATTATAGTGGCTGCTAACATCTAACCATTTCAAATAACAGGTACCAGGCTCGACTACTTATAGTCTGGCTCTGTACTATATGATGAGCACCCCCGTAGAAGATTCTCCCTTACTTGAGAGATTCGTCAAAGGGGACGATGCTTTCAGAAACTCAAGGTTCAAGCTCATTCCATACATATCCAAGGTAGTCAATTTACTTTTGAAATGATTGGATAAAATTAATCTATTTATTTCTTTTATGAAAAGATCTATTAGTTTCTTCTTACGTGAAATTGTGCGGGTGACTGTTAATTTACATATGTAACCTCTCCCAAAAACCTGAGTACTTTCCAAATAAGTTGAAAATTGATGATAATTTAACTTCTATTTATAATATAACATTCACAGATCCGTGAATCATTTCCTCTGCGTGTAAATATAAAAATGAGCAAAAAATGAGAGTAGCGGAGATGAGAATGTTAAGATGGATGTGTAGGCATACTAGATTAGATAGGATTAGAAATGATTGTATTAGAGAGAAATTTATTAGAGAGAAAGTAGGGGTAGCTCCAATAGACCAAAAAATGAGAGAAAACCGTTTAAGATGGTTTGGGTATGTGCGTAGGAGACCGATAGAGGCTCCGGTTAGGAGGGTAGAAACTATAGAATCAAGAATTCAAATTAAAAGGGGTAGGGGTAGACCTAAGAAATCATGGAAAGAAACTATAAAAAACGATTTGAAATATTTAAATTTGTCCGATGAGTTATGCACCGACCGTGCACGATGGCGACATATGATCCATATAGCCGACCTCACCTAGTGGGAAAAAGGCTTGTTGTTGTTGTTGTAAATCTATTAGCCAAATATATGATTCATAGTTGCTTGATGATCAGCTTGTGTTCAATTTCTTTGTTGGTTTAGTGTAATTCTCTTAGGGGATAAAGATGGCATTTTGCATTAATTTCCACTCCAAATTCTTCATTAACCGTGCACTATATATGTAATATAGTAATGAATAATGATACTTTATTGAACAAGCATCATATATGGAAATTAAAATGCTATCAAACCCATTTCAATCCCATTCCCACTAGTGAACAAGGCACCACTAAGGTTATGATATATTTTTTTTATTATATAAGATGCTGCTGCTGGGGTCCAGCAGCATCTTGGCATGAGGCAAACTGAGAATGGTTGCATTCTAGTGGTTAAACTGAGAATGTATTGACATCCTTGGCATGAGGCAATCTGAGCAAGGTTGAACATTAACCGATGAGAACTTATTTGCAATAGGGTTCAGGATTCTGGACAGCCATGATCTGCAAATTTGCTATACTAGTCGTTTATGTGTAGCATCTTTGATTTGATTCTGTTTGTAGTTGTTACAAAATTTTGTTTGCGATGCATTATTATTTGCAAATTATCTTTAACAATTGCAACATTTCAACAAAATATTACTTACCCTATTTGCAGGGATCATGGATTGTTAAACAAAGTGTTGGAAAGAAAGCATGCTTAGTTGGTCAAGCACTGGAAATCAATTATTTTCATGGAAAGAACTACATAGAGGTAAAATGCAAAATATCTGGCTTCTGAACCCCAGGCATTATTGTCAGGTTGTGTTAATCTTCATTTTAGTAGCTAGACAGTGGGGAAAAAATGATCTGCTCAAACAACCAAAATTTGAAAATGAAAAGTATCAAGGACTACTGATGATAACACCTGTAGAGTTAGCAGGTTCAATTAGTTGGGCAAATGATCCTTCTTAAACCTGAAACTTTTCCTTTTGCTCTTGGGGATATTTTAAATTTTATTTAGCATATCATGGAACCATTTGGTGCTGTCCACATTCAAATTGCTTTTCTTCTTTTGTCATATCAGCTTGGTGTCGATATCGGTTCCTCAACTGTTGCAAGGGGTGTGGTCAGTCTTGTCCTTGGTTACCTAAACAATTTAGTTATAGAGATGGCTTTTCTGGTACAGGTAAACTCACATCTCCACCTTTCACAAGGCTCTGTCACTTGTAAATGTTGTGGACTGCCATGATAAGCTTGCATATATTTGACCAAATCCCGATCCCATTTAAGAGTTGTAATTTTTTTTCCCGCGGTTACTTGAATTCAGGCTAACACAACAGAGGAGCTTCCGGAATTTCTTCTCGGAACTTGTCGTCTTAACCATCTGGATGCCGCTAAAGCTGTCCCGGTGAAAGACTGACAGTAAAGTCCTTACTTTTCAGTTAATCCAGAGGTTCATGTAGCCGTGCGCCAGCGGAACTGATCATAACTTTGGATCGTATACTATGGTTATTAACAGATATGACAGCATTCTTGACATGTAATTGCCAGTGTCAATTCTTTTGCTGAAACATGTTTTTGGCAGCTGTAAATTGGGTTCCAATCTATAGGTAAATTCTTCTGTGTATAGATCATGATCCATTATAGTTTTCGAAATCACAAAATGAGATCTTAAGGGATGAAGCTGCTCTGCCTCCCCAGCCTTCTCTTTTAGCTTTCAATGTCTTTGTAGGTTTTTTTTTTTTTTCCATCTCGGCTAGTAATTTGTTTCTTGTGTATTGTTTTACCTAGAATTTTATCCCAGATGAGCAGAAAATATTCTTGTATTGCCTTTTTCTAAAACCACATTCTTTTTATTTTCCTCACAGTCGTGATATAAGATAAGTATATATGGGGAGCATTTGTCACAAGTTATTCATAATTTGTTTCATTATTCATGGGTATTTATCTATAACAATGAGGTCAAAATTATGGTCGATAATAATATCGCATAAAAATAAAATGGAGGATAAAATCTTTTTTCATTTATAATTTATCTCGACCGGCAAATGCTGACATGGACACCCCATTTCGCGACTCCATACATTGCCCAACCAAATTTACCTGGGCCCCACCCGCTTACGTTGTTGACTTCAGTTAGAATGGAATTTCCAGCTATACTTAGGGTAATATAGTCATTTAGATACTATCTTTCCGTCACGTTTGTGCCGTTTTTGACTTTTTGTTTTTGAGTATCCCCGCCTTCTTCCTCCCGTTCAATCGCCGTCCAGTAATTACCAATTTTGCCCCTTAATCTTTCCGCCATAAATATCAGCAATAAATCAATATCGAAGCTTGCTTCTCTGAGAGTGAACTGTGAACGAACTTATGATCTTTAAGCCATGGAGGAAGAAGCATAGAGGTTAGAAGAATGAAGAATTAGGTTTTTTGGAATGAATTTTTCAAGCTAGAATTGGTTAAAACTTAATATAGAATCTGGGTTATTAAAGAATTGATCAGAAAAAAGAGATTAATATAAAAAAAAAGTGGAGGGAAGTGGGCGTGGGAGCTTCTTCGATCGGAGGCGAGGGTGAAGCTTTTTGGACCCTTGTCTGATCGGAAGGCGACACGAATTCGTTGATTCCCGGAGCACGAGATCACGGTCCTCTATAAGGTCCCCCATTTCTCTTTTTTCTCATGTTTATAATTCTGGGTTTTTTTTATACTTTTTTCTGACAGTTCAAATGTTTGTTTTGGGGTTTATATTCGCTCACTTTTATTCTGAATTGATTATGGAATATTTGGATATCTTTCATTAGTGGATAGTTATAAAAAGGGTTGGGGAAAGATTGGATTTTTGGTTTTGGGTTTGCTCTGAATTTCATGAACTCTTTTGGTCTAGTTTCAGGGTAGAGAGAGGATGAGGTGGACTAATTTTGTTTCCAGGTTGGCCATGGTGATGGTTCTGCTTTTGCTTGGTGAGTGTTTTTCACTTTCTCTGCTTTTATGGAGAGCACGGAATGTTGTTCTGTCCTGGTTGCTGTAGTTGTATATGTACTATAAGCAAAAGTTGCAAAATTAATTTTATGAATCTGTTGTGTTTAATTGGTTTTAATGAAGTGAATGTTCTTTCCTTTATGCAAAATTCCTTTTTATTCGTGGAAAACTGACAGAAGAAAGAAGCTGCTTGTTACGCTCTAATCTTTCATCTCTTCCCTTATTTGGTGTTAATTATTGGGATGCTTGCATTGGGAAGGTGTAGAGATCGTTTAGAGATGTGGATATTTGCTTTTTAACCTGGAGACTTTTAGACAGGTATGATTGAGATCTTGAGTGGCAACATTTTGTTCATGCAGTTTTTACAAACATTAGGGCATCTAGCGAGGAAGATGGATTTCGTCAGTGTGAGCATATGGTCAAGAAGTGGGCATCTTCATCCCTTGATGCTGAAGTCAACGAGGATAAACATGTTTTAAGGGAAATGCTGTACTTTCTTCATGTTCCAAGAACTGGAGGGAGAACGTATTACCATTGGTAACTTTTCAGTACTTTTAGGCCCAATTGTGCTTTCGGCATTTTGGTACTTAGCACATCATAGTTCTCCTCGTATTCTCTGTGCAGTTTCCTGAAAAAGTTGTACTCGAACCATTCAGAGTGTCCCCGGTCTTATGACAGGCTAAGGTTTGATCCCAGGTAATACTTCCGAATATGAAATTTTTGATGGTTTCATAAACGTGTAGAGAACTATGCTATATGATGCAATTGCTGTGAATCTTGCCGGTTCCATTAGGAACCATGGCAATGCATCTTCCCTTTTGAATATTTGAAGGATGTATCACAGCATAGGCTGTAACACTTGCTACATTCTACTGCTAGTCTGTTATGATCATGTTCTTGCTGTATGGAAAAAGTTTTCAGCAGCTATCAATTGATTTTCCTTCTCATTAATTGTGGAAAACCTTTTGATATTGCCTGTTTTTTATTGAGGATCTTGCATTTCTTTTCAATTGAAACAACTGTTGATGAATAGCTAGAGCATACATAGAAGCTAAACTAATCTAGTGGAAAGTTTGGTACTGCATATATTTTTTCACCATGAATTATTATTATTATTATTGAGGTTTTGGGTGTGAGCAATTTAATTAGTGGGCTTGGGTAAAATGATTACTTATTTCATTTTTTTCATTATTACGTGAATACTGCAAGTTTCCATCACCCTGTGTCTTTGGGTGAAAGTTGTCTCTCTCTTTTCTTTGTGAAACTTGGATTGTTTCTCTTGTTCGTTCCTTGTCGATATTTCCTCAAACTTCCTCTTCTAGCTGTGCAAAATTTCAAATGCAAGAACTGTTTTGCTGAAGCTTATGAATATTATTTATGTGGAAGCTGTTATGAAATTTCAATAATGTAGCAACTGATGGGAGATGTGGTTTTTGCACTCCAGGAAATCAGATTGTCGTCTACTGGTTACTCATGATGACTATAGTGTGTTATCAAAACTTCCGAAGGAGAAAATTTCAGTCGTTACAATCCTCAGGGATCCGGTTGATCGTGTCTTTAGCAGCTATGAATTTTCTGTGGAAGTGGCAGCTAGGTTTCTGGTGCACCCTAATCTAACATCTGCCTTAAGGATGTCTGGGCGTTTGCGAGGAAAGACAAAGGGAGTAAGCACTCTAGATATCTGGCCATGGAAGTATCTGGTTCCATGGATGAGGGAAGATTTATTTGCTCGGGTATGTTTGCTTTTGAGTGGAGTGTTTTTATTTTTTATAGTAAGTCTCTAGCACTGTTTGAGAATTGTTAGCCGAGTGTTTAGCTCCACATTAGATAATGGCTTTCGATAAGACAAAGGTTAGTAAGTAAATCTGTTAAAGCATGGGGGATTATGGTTTTTAGCCTTATGGCCAGTGCAAGTTCTTTAATGCGTACAATTTATTTACATATCGACCTTTGTCTCGAAGATATTTAACTTGTGCTGGAATGTTTCTTGGGTTTGACCAGTAGGTAGGACCTTTATGGGAAATTTGATGTGTAAACTGTTTAATGGTTCTCTTGTAGATATCTGCAACTAAAGTAATAAATAGTTTTATTGTGAATATTGTAGAGGGATTCCAGAAGGGATAAAGATCAGCCCACCATCGACGGAGATGATCCGTACAATATGGAGGATTATGTGATGCCATTGCACAATTATATTAATGATCCTATAGCTCAGGATATCATCCACAACGGAGCTACTTTCCAGGTATCTGCCCGTCTATTTTCTGCTTCTAGAAGCTCCTGAGGATTATTTTGGTTGATTTACTATGGTTCAAGTAGTCGATGGTTTGTTGAACATGAATGCGTTCACCGGGTTCGTCAGGAAACTTTAACAGCAATAATAATCAGACTTTTTCTCTGCTAGAACTAGAAGTTTAGTCGACGGAGCCCAATGGCGATTCGTGATCCGTATAGCCAATCACATAGTGGGATAAAGGCTAAATTGTTCTTGAGGAAGTTTAGATCGATACTTGTGCATACTGTTTGAGTTGCCTGGACAAATGCACTGTCAATTTTTATTCTTTTTGAATTTTCATTGAAGCCTCATTTTAAAAAGTCTTAAACATATTCATAATCATGTGGAGTTTCTAAAATCTGAACGGTACTAGATCCACCAGCTTTGGTTTTTTTTTTTTTTTAGTAGTAGATTTGAAAGTGACGCTATTGGTATACTTTGGGGCATCCTCCTTTATATATGAGAGGGACTCAGTTGATCATTAGGGCGAACTGGCGTCTCGGGCTTTAGATACCCAGTTAATTGAGTGAAATGATAGTTTCACCCTTAATATTGAAGGAAAAGTACATCTTAGATTCCTGAAGCTCTTTCTGTCAGTCCATATTTAACAATACATACTTGGACTGATACTAATCGTGTCAATTAATGGGCCTAAATTTATTACTTGTGATCCTGATTAATGACGAGGACAATTAATTTGCCGAGAATCAAGATTTCAAAATTCATCAGTGAAATTTGGAGCATGTGATGTTTCTTTGAGCTCTAGAGCTGTTAGTAACATTCACTAACTTTATGTTTAGAGATTTGGCAGCAGTGGAACTTTCTGTTGCATATTGTCTAGCTGCAAAGAAGTTGAAGAAATTTTGCCTCTTTCTTATTTGTTGATTCTCTTAATTTTCTCTTGCCTATTCTCCTTGTGCAGATTGCAGGACTTACAAACAACTCGTATCTGGTAGAGGCGCATGAGGTGCGCCATTGCGTACAGAAATATCGAACTCTTGGCGAATATGTGTTACAAGTTGCAAAGGTACCCAGTGGTACTAACTTAAGTTACATCTTTTGCTATCAGCCATCTCTGCCTTTTTATATCTCTGGCTGCAATCATGGTAGATCTTTGTAAATCTTGCAGAAGAGGTTGGATGACATGTTGTATGTCGGACTCACTGAGAACCACAGAGATTCGGCCACTTTATTTGCAAATGTCGTTGGTACTCAGGTTATTTCTCAGCTAACCGGAGCAAAATATAAAACAGTTATCTCTGGCGATAACATTTCTGGTCAGTCTCAGATCTGAGTTAGATCTATTTTACTGTCAAAAATTGTCCTTTTTCCTTACCCTTAGAGGGTTATTATTTTATCCGAATTTTGTAAACTTCAGGTTTCCTGATAATTTGTGCTTCTGGGAAATTGTGTTTGTAGTCCTTGTATGTTACAAAGGTCAATACTACTTGGCTCTATGTTACATTTTTGTGTCATAGAAACTCCATTTCATGTTAAAAGGATTCCTGCTTTTGATGTGCTCTTCATTACTTTATTCAGTACCTTTTGCATCCTCCAGCTTGGTTGATTTTGAGATGTCAAGCTGAAGGCCCGTGCTGCTACAGTTTTGCAGTAATGTTTTTATATATATATTCTCTCCTTACCAAACTGATAAGTAATAATTTTAATTAACTCCTAGGAGACTGATAGTATAGATAGATATTCATACATTTAGGTTAAGTAGAAAAATGTGACTGCAGTATTATGGATTTGTTAGTGTTAAGGTGGAATAGACATCTTTATTCTTTTCAAAGTATTCAAATGGAAATATAAATTAGTAAAGTTCTTATGTTTGGAAAATAAATACATTTCTTTTTTACGTCCTCATCACAATGAAGCTAACGGAAATGACTTTGAGATCCTCCTTAATCAGCATACATGTTTTATTGTAAAATGGAATTGTTCTTTTGTTGGCCTTATTACTAAAATTGTTCTTTTAAACAGGTTTTTTGTTCCTTAAATCTTGGCTTTCTTTCTTTAACATTGTCTGCTGTTCTGCAGGACAGAGTTCTTCACTTCTTGGTGCTAAATCTGACAGTAATGTTAACTTGGTAAATGTTTTGCTTCTCTGAACAAGTTTTGGGGGTTATGGTGGGTTTAGTTTGGTTGAATGCCAAACCTGAGAGATTATCCTTATTTTTCAATTTGCCTGTATTTCAGAACAATAACATAAACCAACACCCGGGGAAAATTTCATCTGCTGAAACTGTTCAAGAAGCAAATAACGAGGTAAGCCTACTCTGAGTGTCCTCTCTTATTACAGGTCATCTATTACTCCTTCCACATAAGAATGTGAGAATGTGAGAATCTTTGTCTTTCAGGTTACTACAGGAAAATTAATGCAAATCTATGAGAAATGTATTCCAACCTTGCGAGAAGCACAGTCGCAGCGACGTACAAACTCACTTAAAAATATAAAGCCTGCAAACTTTACCAAGGAGGTAATTACGTAATAAAAAAACCTCCACTTTCATATTATTATCATTCATGTTCGATGCAACTATTTGGTTTTCTGTTGAAAAGATTATCTTAATCAGGATTGCTGACTTGAGATGATAACTGTTTTGATCTCTAATATTAATACAATGTCCACCTTGGAAGCTGTGAACATGATTAGTTAAGGAGTTGGAGTGTTATGCAATAAGTGATTCACTTTGTCAAATTGAAGGGAAACAGCTCTTGACCTTGTCCTTTTGGATAAGGATTCCAGATGTTCTTCATATTGGACAAGAGTTAACATGTGCTCTAGGTGCTAATCATTATCTCATGCAATCTCAAACACACATGGTATTTGTCAAATAGGAAGATTTATGTGAAAGTTTTGTAGACATGTATGCTAAACTGTTCTGGCACCGTCTTATGCATATTGGTGTTTTTTTCATTTCCAATTTTTTTTATTGTTTTGGCCATCTAGTTATGAGAGTTCTCAATGCAGGCTCGTCGTCGGATTTCTAAAGTTCTTCTCCAGGAAATTAGGTCATTAAATCACCTGGATGTGGAGTTGTACAAGTACGCTCAGGATATCTTTGCAAACCAACAAAACCGTGTGGTGCGAGTTGAGCTTATTGATGTAAGTACTCCATGTTTCAGGGATATTTATTTCCTTTGTTGAATCTTTCAAATACATTTAGTCTGTGATACTACGAGTTAATCGCTACTGATACATTTGTCGAGTTTAAATTCTTGCCATTTACCTTAATCAGATTTTGAACAGAAGGAAACATAATGATAAAATGTATATAAGAATCTTCTTTTGTTTCACTTTAGTTGAATGGCGAGTAAACATTCTTATGCATCTCATTTCTTCTTGTACATTAACTGCAGGAGAATCCGGGGAACGTGCTGAATAACCTATATTTTTCCTCTTCGTGGAATGTTCTCCCCGTCTCATTGTCCATTCTTTTACTGCTGCTCTTCATTATTTTCGTCATAAATGCAAGAAGAAGAATGTCAAAACTTAAACTATGAGTGAGATCGAATCGCATTCGTTGTAACATGGAGACTAGATTAGGCACTTAGTGGATACAATGGGATAAAAAGGAAAAGAATCAGTATAACAAAATGGTAGAGAGATATGCAAAGCCTTGTATCATAGCACAGCAATTTTGGGGAGATGAGAATCATAATACAATTCATTCATCTCTCTAGGTTCATTTTCCTTTCTTGCCGTTCCACCTTAAATCCTTATTTTACATTTGTGTTTGTTGAGTAACTTATCTGAGGGAAAGTCAGGAGAAATTGCAGAGACTCTTCCCTTTCATGGATCATACTTTGGTGCGAAAACAGGATGACAGTCTATTTAACTGAACTAAGAGGTAACTTTTCCGGGCACGGAAATTTTAATTTTCAGCTGTTATATGCCTGGTGTTTTGATTGATTGCAAGATCTTGGAGAAAGATATGATTTTTCATTGTATCATATTACTGTCTGTTACATCTGATGTTGGTATAATTGACATCGAACTTCAGGATCCTTACCTGAATAATGGGCAGCATTTTCTCCTGGCAGTTACTCTTTCCGTCTTAGTATGATCCTGAGATTAAATTCTAGCATTCTGCTTGTTGGCGGAGCTTTTTTAGTCCTCTTTTATTTATGATTAAAGAAAAAAAAAAAAAAGCATTTGAACGGATATTAGAATTCTTCTGAAAGATGTGGGTTTACATAAAATTTTGAATTTGAAAATGAAAAATTAGGCGCGCGGAGTGAAATTCTTTAGGAATAATGTTTGAACTTCCCGCCATAATAAAACCAATGAAAATACTATACCACAAGTCTTCCTCTTGCCATATGGAAGACCGAAATTATTATGTGAATTACACCGTCTTCATTACAATTGGCCGTTAAAAATATCCAACAAAAGAAAGGGGAAAAAATGGGTTCGATTTGCCACCACGAACAAAGAGGTTACGCTTACTTGAATTTGACGTGTTGATTGAACTTCAAGAACAATATAATGCTTTCCAAAGAAGGGAAAAAAAAAAAAGAAAAAGTTTGGTCGGATACATGAGTGCAATCATAGTTCCCATCCACTATAAACCTAATAATAATAATTCAGTGAACAAATCGAAATTACTCAATTTTATTTTGGGCGTTCACTTAATCGAAATAAATGAGTATAGTGGAATTTGCAGTACTAAGGTACGTACTAGTAACTTAGAGCTTGTTTGGCCAATATTTTTTTTTGTTTTTTATTTAGTTTTGAGATGTGATTTAAAATTTGTTTTAAAAAAAATTTAAAAAAATTTTTTGGATAATATTTTAAATAAAATAATAATATTTTTAGACCATCATCAGACTACCTCCACCACCGGTGTCGCCGCCGGACTGCCCATCGCCGTCGCTGAATTGTTGTCGGACGACGACCGGCCGGCCAGATCCGGGCCAAATTCTGGCGACTTGGCCAGAATCCGGCTGGCGGCAGTGGCGGCGAAACGGTGGTGACGGAGGTAGTCCGGTAGTGGTGCAAAAAAAATGATGTAAAGATAATGTTTGAAATAAATTTTAAAAAATAAATTAAAAAGTTATTTAGATAGTATTGAGTTTTGTGTTTAAAAGGTGTTTTCAAAGGTAAAATGAGATAAAATGACAAAATAAGACTTGGCCAAACAAGCCCTTAATATCAACGGTTAATTTTATGTTCAAATTTTCAACGTTGAAAACGTAATCCAGAATTTAAATAAAGTTAACATAAGAAGATTACTCCAGACCAATAATGCCATTAATTAGCTTAGGTTGACTGTGACCCTTTAGACAAAGTTGAGAACAAAAAACTGCAACTTCCAATGCAGGCTCAATTATTAATGTCACAATGTGAATTCTACTCATTCTTTTCCGCATTTCAGAGAAAAAAGAATTCAAAATCGACCCCAAAAAAAAAAAAAAAAGAAGAGAAGAGAAAATAATTCAAATAACAAAAGAACAACGCAGGTTTTCATTTTCCCTTACATTTTCAGGGCCTTATTGGTGAAATGTTACACAAATAGTCAACATTCTTCTTTTTCTCTAATTTTCGAATATTATTTAGTTTCACTTCAACTCTTCAAAGTCTGATTAGTCATATTGGACAAGATTCTTACTATGAGAAGATTGTGTGAGTACTACTATATGACAATTAAAAATGAATTTCAATTATTATTAGTCCAATGTTAAATCGGTATACAATGATAAAATTACTCAAATTAAGTAAATATATGAACTTTGCTTCTTTTTTTTTCTTCTAGTGTATAAAAGAAATTCTCATCTTTTGAAGTGAAGAATGACATCTTAATTCCTTACATTAAAAAAATAAAATAAAAAATAAAAAAAGCCATGAGATCCCATCTAACCAATAATGTGAAACTACTTAGTAGTACAATTTAAACATGATGCTAGTAGATTACTGCTAAACAGTACTGCTAATATATTATATTATATCAACCGACAACAAAGTAGAAATTCTTGAAAAGAAAATTACCAAAGAAAAAGAACCCTCAATCAATGATTGAATCCTTCAAAGTCAATATCTTCCCCCTCCTCCTCCCATGGCACCTTTCCTCATTCCCTCCAAAAGCCCTTCAATTTTTATTTTTTTATTTTTGAAATAGAGACGAAAACATTGATACTATCTAGTGAAAATGATACAATGAATAATGAAAAATATAAAATAATCAATTTACGAATATTCAAGGATAATTTTTTTTTACGTCAAATCTTTTTTTTGAAATAAAATAATACTTTCATTCATTTACTGGAAATCGTCCAGCTGAGATTGATTGATACAAAGAAACAGTCAAACACAACTTACAATGTATCACTTTGTTGTGTTTACCGTAGATAAATCTATACAGATTTATCCATATAATTGACGGACATATCATAGTTCCACGTCAAATCTTCAATACTTGTCATACGTATAATTGTATATCTACTGAATACTACTATTTTACTAGACAGTTTCACTGATGTTGTTGCAATTTTTAACTTTGTTTCCCTCCAACCGATCACTAACTAGCCATAAGTTTTTAAAATCTTGGAGAAATCCCATGACCACCTCCCAATTAATGGAATAATTAATTACAACCCAAATCTTGAGGGTCCAAAAAGATACATAACCTATTGGAAAAAAAAAAAATGGTAACCAAAAAGAAAATTTTTTTAAAAAATCATTTCAATTGAACTTGTCTTTTAATCACAAGTCACATGGACCATCACTCCAACCTATGGACCCAACCCACAGCTCAGCAAACAATCAGAAGATAACATTTAACACCACCCCCCTCTTCTCCTTTTGTGGCCCCCACCGCCCACTTCCCTTCTTCCTCTCCACCCTCATAATAATAATAATTATTTCATTATTAAAAAGAAATTAAAAAAATGAAAAAGAAAGATCACATGGCTCTACAGTTCACCTTAACTTAACATGCACCATCACTCCAACCTATGAGAACAAACCCCTTTGTTACCATAATTACCAGTTCAACCCCTGAAACCGCAAAATTGAAAATTTTTCATATTTATCACAAAAGGCCAAAGTTGGTTCTGTGTATCTCTCTGTTTCTGTGTGTGACCCTTTATTTATCTTCTTTACCCTATCATTTCTTTTTCTTCTCTCTCTCTCTTTGGCTGCCCACCTTCTTTTTTTTTTCCGATTTTCTCCCCCATTTTCAGTTTCTTTCTCACTGCCAAAAATCTTGACAAAGTGTAATGGCATAAACTGCAGGGTTTTTAAGGTACTTTTTTTTTTTTTTTTTCTTTTTTGGGTTTCTGTCAATTGTAAGTGTACCCATTTCCAGTTTCATGCATGAATGTGTTTGTTTGTTGTCATTTTGGCGCCGACCAATTTTGTGTAATTTTGTTTCTTTACCCTGAAACAGTTGTACTGTGTTCCGGTGTTCTTCTTCTTCTCCCTGTCTACTTTTCAATCCAGAAATTGTACTTGGGTTTTTTCGATTTTTGGAAGAATGAGAGGGAAAAATTGAAGGGTTTGAAAAATTCGAAACATAGAAAATGACTAATTGTTTTCAAAAAAAGGTTTGAGCTTTTTCATCCTTCAAGTCATTTTCGTCCAATTTTCTCAACGGCTGTTGACTTGGGTGATTCTTTTGTAGTCGAATTTGAATTTGCATTTTCGAAGTGTATTAGGGCAAGAAAGATTACAAGGCAGGTCCAATTGGGGGTGAATTTAGCCTTTGCAAAACGACGCCGCTTTCTTTGGAAGAAAGAACTTGTCGGTTACTATTACAAAATTCTAAACGCATGGGTTTTCCCCTAATTAGTCGCCATTGTTACTGTTTTTAACTGATTTCCTGAAGATTTTTATTTAGGGGTTGAATTGTTTTTAGTCATTCCTGAAAGATTGCTGCCGCTAGTAGTTTCTCTGGGCAAGGGTTGAATTTATTGAAATTGATAGTAATACTACTAAAGAAGGAAGGGAATCAGAGCATATATTTAAGGAGATACTCCTAGATTCCTAGTATAACTGTATTTGTGGTAAAATAGAAGTCTAATCCCAGCCAGCCATGCTCTGAAAAATTTCACCAAAATGGTAACTTCATTTAAGTTTGGACACAGTGGCTGATTTACCGATGGACACTGGTTTGGATACGTCATAATGGAATCAGTGACAAGTTTTTTTTCCCAAATTCTGTGCCTTAACATTTAAGAATTATTTAGGGTACCCAAAATTATCTACTCCTGTGTGTATATCTATATGACTATTAAACGTGTACAATGTTTATAGTTTGCCTGATATTGCCTTTGTCATTGTCATTGTCTTTTCTCAATGGTGGGATATTTTGAACTGCAGAAGATGGGTGTGGTTGAAGTTGAACCCGGTTGCTGCGAAGGAATCGCAAAGGGGGTGAACATTGGAGATGATGAGTATCAGAATTTGATTGGGATACTGGACTTTCCCATGGAAAGTTTGGAAGGGGATGACGACCTTGGGGGTGATTGGGATGCTAGTAAGTCGCAATCCCTTGGTCCAATTCCTACTGACGCTTTAATGGGTTTGTCGCCGGTGCCTCAAGCCAACACTGCCTATTTGGATGCACCGCAGAGGGTAACCACTCCTGTGAGTTCCATCTTCTCACCTCTCTAGGCTTTGTTCTGTTTTCTGCTGTCCATCTTTTACTTATTCCTTTGACGATGGTTGTGTTCTTCATGTTAGCATTATTAAGTAATTCATGAAAAGTTGCCCTTCAATGGAATGGATTGTATGAAGATTTTCTGGTAACTGTGAGACAAGCAGTTAGAGCATTGTTGGGTTGAGAATAGGCAGATTATGCAATCTTTGTCCCTTGAGGAAATTGTTTTTCCGAAGTCATACGGGTGCCTTTCTGATATTTTTACCTTTTTTTTCTTATGCCTAAGATTTTATAGTTTCCGTTTTTTGCATGGAGAAACAAGATTTAAGTGGAAATTTGTGGGTGTTTATATATTAATGTGGAAAGTATTTTTATGTGTTCTTCAAAATTGTAATCCTGTTGGTTGCGCGCGACCTTATTATCAAAAAGCACAACCACTATGCCACGTCTTCAGCCCATGATGAAACATTGGATTTGTCGATCATAATTATATTGTAACTTCTTTCCTTTAAGCTATTCAACTTTGCTTTTCTACTTTACGATTGTTATGTTTTCTACTCCCCTTACTAAGATATTAAGGGTCCTTGTCCATATGTATTTTCTCGCTTATTACAGGCATCCATTAGGCTCCAAATTGCATTTTTCAAAACACTCTGATATTTTTCTTTCATTAGTGAAGAAATAATAGCCAATAATTAACATGTGGTCTGACTTGTGGAATAGTTCAAAATATTTCCATAAACCAGTTGCATCTTTCTTGTTGAGAGTGAACGTTTATTGGTGTACTTTAATGTCATATATATGTCTAATTATAATATTATTTCTTTCTGTAAAGAAATACCCCACAATTTTAGTACTATATATGCATGGCAGTTTATCAAAACTTAGGAATAAAGGATTCATTCAATGGAGACCAAATTTTTGGGTAAGGTGGATACATGGGTTTGAGTTGTGGAAATCATAAATAAGGAACATGTTATCACTGGAACCGTAAAGTGAGGTGAAATTTGAATGTTTTTATAATGAAATGCTGGATCATTTCCACCTTTCACTTGTGTCTGTTATTCTCTCTCGTAATGTAAAATCTTTCTTGAGATTTGCCCTTTATTGGCTTAATGAAGTTCACTTGAATCTCCATTCTTGTACATTTAGATAAGAGGATAGCTTTTCATACGTAAACGTGGTTTACTTCTATGGCTAAGTTTTTAGTTGTAACACAAATTATCTGGCAGTTATATCTGGATTGATCCGCATTTCCTTTTACTGTTGCCTTCCTTCTTTGGCTAAGTTTCATTGTTGCCTTCCTTTAACAAAGAAGTTAATTAAAGTTGGACTCTTATGTGGTGTTAATGTAATCTATGCTTTTTTTGTTTGAGATATTAAATGGCCATGTTTTACATAGTTTACACATTTAATCAACAGTGTTTATCCCCCTCTTGGAGGTGATATCTCATCTTTGCTTTCTGTTTAATGGTTTGCCATTTGATGAGTATGGGATGAATGAATCTTTTTTCTTAACTTTTTTGCATTGTTTCCCTTCACTGGATAAGCATCGCCTGATTTCGTTACTTTTCTGGTCCAAATCGTCAGGGCGCTGCAATGTTTAAACCCAAACAGCTCCCAAACTATGCCAAGCAATCCTCCAGCACCAGCAGTCGCAATGAAAGTAAGCTTTCGGATAGCCAGGAGTCAGGTGTATTCCAGACGCAAAGCCCTGTTTCTGTACTTGAGAGTGGAGGCTCTTGTCCTGGTGGAAAAAGCTTGCCTATCAAGCCCGATATCATTGTTCCTGTCCGCTCTCGATCTAAGAGAGCTCGAGCTTCAGTGTTTAATCCATGGTTTGTGATGACTCCTATATCTTCTGCCGCTGCAGCAATGAAGAAGACCTCGAGCTACAAGAAACCCAAGGAGAGGAGGGATAGACTTCCAGAGGAATCACTTCTATCGAGCTCTGCCTCTGAAATGACAGATGACTCTTTCAAACAAGTTAAGGAGGAACTCTTTCATGCAGCAGATGGTGAGGATGATGGAAACTCTTTGCAACAAGCTCTTCCAACAAAACAGTGCACACATTGCCAGGTAACCAAGACACCACAATGGAGGGAGGGACCAATGGGACCTAAGACGCTTTGCAATGCATGTGGGGTTCGCTACAGATCCGGCCGTCTATTTCCTGAATATCGACCATTAGCGAGTCCTACTTTTGTCCCAACATTACATTCCAATTCGCATAGGAAGGTCGTAGAACTGAGGAAGAAAGCTGTTGTGCAGGAGGATGGTACTATTATTGAAGCTCCTTTATCACCCGCGCCAGAATTCACTCAATCATTAAATCCGCGGCGTAGGGTCCTGGGGACAAGAAATAGAGGTATTACGCATGAGAAAGATTTTGTGTACGATACTTGTACCTCACCGGCACCAGAAATTGTCCCCAAGCGCAGAAAGGTCATCGGTACAACAAAAGAAGCTAGTATGCAGGAGACCAACAGTTTGCACAACACTGTCATATCGCAAGCTCCTGAATTTGTCGAAACTCTAGACTCCAATTCAAGCGGGAAGTACACCGGGATGAGAAAGAAAGCAATAATGCTGGAAACTGATGGCATTCCTGATGATGCTCCAATGTCGCCAGCCCCAGAGTTCGTCCCCATGAGTAGCTACCTGTTCGATTTTATATATTGAAGAGGTGGCTAGCAGTTCTAGTTAGGAATTATAATCTGATTGCTGTCGCTGCAGTTTTCCTTAATTTTAGTTTGGCAGTCTGAGTCAGGGCACACTCTGGTGCCGTGTGTCGTCAAAGAACCGTGTGTACAAAAGAAGTAGTGAGTTTAGAGAAATCCTAGATTTAGCATTATGGTTGGAGAAAGGAAATGGGTGTCTTCTCCTATTAGGGTAGGAGTAGCTGGAAGCCTGGAATGCAGAGTTAGTAGGAGAAGGGGTTTCAGTTGTGCAATAGTTATTTAGTATTACATTTGACAGACAAATCAGGGCCTTAGGTACTGAATTTTGTCATTTGATGTCTTGTTTTTTTTTCCCCCTAAGACATGCTCAGTATCTATTTTTGTGGACTTGAGGTTGTCATTTTTGGTATCCCCTTGTTACCGGAATGTGCATATAGGTCATGATTTTGCCGGAACCAGGTGAGCAGGCCAAGAACTGGGGATAACCTAATAAGAGTGCGGTCCGACGATACAGACTTGAGTAAACTCCATCTTTTTCAGACTTTGAGCAATCTGGACAAGCTTTTGTTGTCTGCTGAGTTTAAGGTGAAATATTGTTTCCATGACGCACATGAGACAGAATGTTAGTATTATCTGCGAAAAATAAAAGGCGGTACTGATTATCGCACTATCAACCGAAAAAAAATCACGTTAGATCACATGGAATCCGAGACACACCGAATTCAAAAGCTCAAACCTTTGGACCTGTTGACTAAAGAGGCACACAAAAAACTCGGGTTTAATAAATACTATGCAGTAGGAAAAAATGTTGAATGCAAAGTTATGGCGTAGACAATGGACAACAACTTGGGAGTTGGAATGTCGGATCGGAACCTTTGCAACCGCCACCGCCACCGCCGCCTCCATGTTGTGTCCCGGTAACAAAACACACGTTTTCTCATTCAATGCCGATGTAGTTATTGTTTCCCCCTTTTCTGGCAATGAATTATTTTATGTTTTTTTTATTCTTTAATTAATGATCATTATCCCCTTGTGGATATATTATTATGTTTTGTGCAACCAAATTGAGTTTGACATTGAGGAATGAGTTTTTCCCAGAACTATAAATGAAATTTCTAGTGAAATTACTTTTCAGTATAGAAGAAGGTAAGGTTGGTGGACAGGGCTAACGTTTCAGTTTGCCCATAAAAATCAAGGCTATTCTCCTAGTCGGCTAGTCCTACGAAAACAAAGAAAGATGCTTGAGCTAGCATGTTAATAGGATTAGCTATAAAACCCTGTCTAGAAATGCCATTTTAGTGCCATGGATAATGAACTATTGATGCAATATATCTATCTCAACCTTTAGATATCTAGCAAAATTTAAATAGTTATCACGTAGGAATTTAAATAGAGCATGTTCGGAAGATACAATATATTTCAATGCATCGAAGAAAGCCTAATTTTGGTCAAATGTTTGATTTAAAAAGTTGCCATTGTTGTCTTCAAGTTTTTTTCTGAAGTATTCTAGATTAACACTCCGACACTTAAATTACAGTAGATGATAATTATGCATTAGACAAGAAATTTTTTAAACTTAACATTCCCCATACATATAGACATTTTGGATTTGAGATATTAAAAGAGTTTTACTAAGGAAAGCCACCCTCCAATCTCACTGGTAATCTTTTAGCAGAGATGTAATCGGACAAGAGAAGACTTACTTCATAAACTCGATATAAAAGATTATTATTGTATTTATCCTTATCTCTCTACTCGCATTTCGTGATATTATTAACTAACGTTGTGATCTTCATAGGCCCACAAATGTAACTACTTTTATTGGGCTGTATGAGACAAAGACCCAAGTTAAGGCCCATTGACATAATGCCACGAACCTATCATGCATGTTTGGATGATTAACCTAAGCATTATGCCTAAATTCTTCCTGGAGCTGAAAATGAATTTAAACAAAATGGATTTTCCACCCTAAGTCGAGGGTTCGAATCTCGCCATAGGTATGAAGCAACCTTTAATCTTTTGGCCAGCTCTCCCACCTATCGAGGTACCTACCATGAGCGAGGGGGATTAGTCACTATTGTCGACGGTAGACACCCTGCAATATGCCCAATTAAAAAAAAAAAAGTTCTTGTTTCCTTTTATTTTTTTAAAGATTTTTTCTTAGGGGGAAAAAAGGTTTGCATTGTTCATTTTCATTTTTTTCACAATGCCAACAAACATATAAAATCAAAGGGGACCCTTTGGAACAATGGCATATGGGCAATACTGCAATAGAGAGAATAATGGGAAAATAAAAGTAGTTGGATATATAGAAATAGAAAGAGTGGCTTTCAAGATGCCAACCACGCAGTGCGTGTGTGTGTGTGTTCTTCTTAAGCTAAGGCGAAGCAATCCCACGTTATGGAAAGTTTACTAAATTAATTGAGATGTTATTTTACATTCTGTACCGATGAATGGGGTTTTCATGTCTTTGCCAAATCGGAATTGGAAAGGTCGCTGTCTAAATTACAAAGTCTAGCTATGAATGAATAAATATAAGAATGTTAACTTGTCCATGAACGTAAAAAAGGACTTCAACGACATACTTTAATTAGGCCACATGATCGACTTGTCCACACCAAAATTCTCATATACTCTTTCCGTCACTATATAACAATCATTTTGAAATGAAAGGAGTGTTATATTAAACTCTGAAATCATTGAATTATGTACATAAGATATGAACTTTTATGTAAATGGGATAGTTGAAAACTTGGAATTTAATTTGGCGTGTTTTTGTATGAACCATATTAGTAATTAAAAATTTCAATGGAATAGATTATTTTTTAATTGACATTCTCTCCGATCTTATTTATTAAATGTTGAGAAATTAAAATGAATTTTATATTTATTTTTTTTAAAAAAATATGCCTTATGATTAAGATCACAAGGAATACTTCATGATTCAAAGTCAAGACGTACTATTTGGAATCATAATACTTGATACATTTTCTAATGATCATATATAATAAATATGTAAAAGATAAAAATTCTTCACACATAGAAGAACTGCATTCATTCAAATGGTACGATATAATAAGAGCAACATGCAGTCTATGAAGGAAGAGGAAACGGTTAAAGTGGGATTTTCTTCTTAAAAAAAATAAATAAAAAAAGTTCTTTGAAGAAAGTTGGTCAAAGAAACAAAAAATAAAAATGACAATTATAAAAAAAATCGAAAAAAAAGGAGGGTTTAAGCAAGGTGTGGGAAATGGGGATGGGGCAGTGACCTAATTTGGCCAGTTCAGATTTCAGAATGTCAGTCAGTGTCCGGAATCGTGGTGGTGTTGGTGGTCCTTTCCGGCCCCGGCCTTATCATTTATCAACTCTTTTTTTTTTTCTTTTCTGTGGTTATTTTTTCTAAATTTTTTTCCTCTCTGAATTACCCCTTTTAATCACCTGGGTTTCTTTCAACTCTGCCTATTATTCCATGTTAATGACGTCAAAGTTTTTTGGGTTTTTTTTTGTTGGTGTTATAGTTGTTCCGACACTATTCAAAAGTATTTTCTCTGTGCCCAAAATTATTGATCAGTTTTAGATTTTACTTTGAGTTCAATTTATATCAAAGATGAAATTCGAAACTGGACAATAATTTCGGGACGGAAATCAATTATTTAATACACATGTATTAGTTGACGATAATGGTCCTAATAAGATATGTGTAAATAATTTAACCAAGTTACAAACTGAAGAGTTAGGGTGTAATTTGTAAAAGTGATTTGGTATGGTTTGATGATATAGTACAACAGTTTTCGCATTTTGCAAGGACAAAGACGACACAGATTTTTTCAGACCAAAAAGAAAAAAGAAAGAAAAAAGACCAAAGAAAAAGAAGACTAATAATTTTATTAATGTTGGGACCAAATTTGTCACAGTCACCAGCGTTACGTCTTCATCTTAACAGTGATACTTGAGGAGCTTGACCAAACAAAAAAAAAAAAAAAAAACCACAAACAAACAGTACGAGAAACGTGAAATAAGGAGGGAAAAAGTCGTGTTGTCTGTTCAACGCTTTTGGTCGTCTTTAGCTGTCTGTCCTAATTTAACTCTGGAAAAGTAGTAGTAGTAGTAGTATTTCATTTTCATTCATTTCCAGGCCAGCCATGTGAAAAGTGGATGAAATGGGTCGGTTTTCGGGTTACACGGTCCGGGTGTCGACTTCTTCCGGTCCGAATATGCTGGCGGAGGCGGACTGGACAAATTTTTCGTGAAGCTTTTGAACACGAAAGGCAACCGAAGGTCCGGCGATATCGACAGTTTTGGATTCGGGCTTTTCTGCCCCGCTTTTAATCGCCTAGCTAGCTTTTCTTTGGCATATGCATTTCTTCTCGTAATGAAAAAAATACAAATGATATAGTACATCTTAATAACTTTAAATAAATTTTAATAATACATCTTAATAATCAACAAATTAATATTCAGGATATCTATTGTACCACGTAAAATGATACGCTAAGACATATCTTTTGTATATATAATGTGCTAATTAAGTTTAATGGACCAAACAGAAACACACAAGAAGCTTAAGGCCTTTTTCATTAGCTATATATGAGCCGAAAACTAAAGGATTTAGGATGCTATAAAATGGAAAAACGACGGTGAAAGTTGCCCAAATACTAATGAGAACGAAATTATGCAGTTGCAGGCAAGAATGGGTAATAATTGAATCATTCCATTAATCTTGATAAGATGCATGATGGATGTTCCTCTCTTTTTGCCCTTTTTACCTTTATTGTGGCCGTAAATCAGAACATTCCTTCTGGCACAATCCTCAAATGGAATCCATCTTATTTGTACGTAATTCTTGTTTTTTAATTATCAAAATTACGTAAAAACCCAAATCATGAACGACTGTTGTTCGGCATTTTCAAATCGGCGCTTGAAACCCTAAAACAAAAAGAAACTTTCTTCACATTTCTAATAATATTGCGTACATTCCATCAGCCGATCGAGCAAGAATTTCACAATATTTATCAATTTCACTATAACCAAGTAATTAAAATGAGTACATTCTTAGAACCCTTTTTTGTGTAGTACAAACAAATGAGAAAACCTAAAATGTTGGTACCAAAAACTTTCATCTTGCACCGACACTCTACATATTTGATGTTGATCAGCTAGCTATATATTTGGTCCCCCAACAATTCAAGAGCTATCCACACATATTTTTATAGAATTTTTTTTGGGGAAGATTATTGCTGGTGATCCATTCAGTTACTGTAATATATACATTACATTACACTGATTTGGCCAAAGCTATTAATTCAAAGTCGCAACACACAAAAGCTAAATTTGGCTATCTAGCTATAGCTAGCTAGCTAGACTTCTCAAATTTAATTACCCTATTCATAAATAAAATCAAATGGCCATAGGAATAGAACAGCAAAGTCTGTGCTCTGTAGTTCTTCTCAGTACATTTAGAATTAAAGGCAGTCTAGCTAGCAAAGTACCATAATTAAATAAACACAAAAACCATACAGGATTTTAGCTTAAAAGCTCTTACTCACCCTCAAAGAGGATAGATATATATTGCACCACTCTATAATCTATATAGGTAGTACTAATTTGGTGTGTTGTTGGGGATCATATTAATTGCTTTTCAAAGATGATTTTTTTTTTTTTTTTTTTTAACTTTGGTACTTTGTAGTAGTAGTAAATTTTTTTCTCAGATCGAACAGTACAAATCGGGGTTTGTAAATGGGGATGTTTGTGTGTGTTTGTGTGTATCAATGAATTATTACTACCCTTTTCACCAACCTGATTTTTTTTTTTCATCAGTGTTTATAACTTCTTTTCCTCTCTCTGACTCACAATTACTATTTCCGTATGTACATGGTGAATAATGTTGATAATAATGACTGAGAAACAATTTATTGAAATGAAATTTTTTTTGTGGTACATTGCAGAAGTTTTCACCATCGCTTAAAACAAACTACGTACAATACTACTGAACCGGGGTAAATATACCCTAGTGAATATTGGAAGCCAAGAAAGCCACACAATTAATTTACTCTTTGGGGTAATCAATTAAGTGACGCCCGTTCCAACAAAAAATAATAATAATAATAATAGTAATAACAAAATTTAGAAATCTTAATATTTTTAATGCATACTATTTTTTTTTTTTTTGGGACCATATAATCAATTAAGAAATTAGACGTTTTCGATTGAAATTCACAATATCTTCTATTATGAGCACAATGACATATAAATTGTAAAAGATGCCATGCATGCATGCAACCCTTTCATCATCCATATGTCATCGATCTACTAGTAATTAAGCCATTTTTCCAACTTATTTGATCGTTTAATTTCAGGAACAATGCCATGCAAGCTCGAAAATTGGACCAAGTAATGTGAAGGGGCCGTAATATTATAATAACATTTCGCACAAAACTATAAAAGGAAGGAAAAAATATGTATTATGCTTATACTATTATATATATAGACAAAGTCACAAAACCCTTTTTGCATGAGAAAATTTGACGTCAGTTGCCCTTTTCTTTTCAAGATGTAAAAACATATTATTAATGTCGATTTCAATATCTTTTATACTTTATTTGGTCTATATACAATAATCATTTAATACGAACATTTATATTGTCTAAGTCTTGTAGTAGTAATTAAGTAAAGCAATGGAAATAATACGTCTTTATCAAATTTTTGGTATCAAATTGCCTCAATTTGGCCCCTTCCCAACTTCAAAAGCTACTTTTAAATTTTTTTGAAATGAATATAAACAATTGCGAAATTTAGTTAATGTGTTTTGTGGTTAGATCCATTCAGTGAACGACTATGAATATGTTAAAATTTTTAATAATTGACTGAGACGTACGTGAATAACCATATAATTTGTTTTGAAACTGGAAAAAGTATAATAAAACGCGAAAATGACATTGAAAACAGGAAAACAAGCTAAAATGGAAAAAGGGGGATGATAACCTATCAGTATGTTATATCTGGTTTTACTCTCTAAATGGTAAAATTTGGACAATAACACGCTTTTCTATTGAAAGTGATATTTTATCTTTCTTTCTTTTTTTTTTTTTATTTTCCACAAGAGTATTATAGTTAATTCTAAGCGGACACATATCACATTCAGATTGATCCTTATTCCGATGGGACAAAATGAAATTTTACATATATATCTACATATATAACCCTAAATAATAATATGTATTGTTGTAAAAAGACGCAAGAAATAAAACTTTTATTTTAAGACTATATATGGCCTTTCTTTTTTTTTTAATTAATGCTTGTTTTTTTAGTTAGTTCTTTGTGCACACCAATTAATCTTCTACGAGGACTCATCATCTTAGTAGGCTTCGAATAGATTAATGAGAGAAGAAAAACATTCACTAAAATTCATGTCGGAATTTGACCGGGTTTGTTACGGTGATACCAGCAGATTCCAAAACGTTAGAGGTAGCTTTCGAGCTTTTTTTTCGACCAGCAAATCAAACTATAATTCCTTCCATTAATTAAACAATGTATTAAATCTTCTTGTACTCCACAAACAAATTAAACAGTCCTTTTTATTATGTCCATTTGTCGAATGAACTTGGCTATGAGGTCTATCGTTTGATAGTTATTAACTTTCAGGGTTCAGGTTTGGACATTTGCTTTTGGATCATCATATAAACAATTCTACCAAATTGATTAAATAATTATATTTGTACACATTGTCTAAATTTGGAGTATGTGTTGGAAAATAGTTAATGCACATATATAGAATCACGTCTTTTGTTCGGAGTCCAAAAACATTTTCTCCAATTTTATTTATAATACACTACAAAAATTTTAACTAAATTTAACTGTGATTTATACTTTATAAATAGAGTGGAATCATAAGGGGCCGGGGCAAAGATGGTGTTTGACTAGATGCTTATTACAACAACTATATATACGTAAGCTTAATTAGTTGGGCTTCTAATAAATAATATGGAATTTTTTTTTTTAATTCCCTGTCTCTATTTTGCATGTTAGAAATTAGAGAGGATCGGGCTTCTTGCTTCCATTAGTAACTACAAATAATTTTTTTATTTTTATTTTTTGTCGAATTTATTTAAACTAATCACAATCCGGCAATGAACCAAACCAACCACGCTTCTAGGCTTCTAATTAAAAACTCGCTAATTTATGAAATCGCTTTATACTAATTAAATTAATGCATATTGTATGCACGCAAAAGTTAGATACAAAATTGCAAATTAGTCTTCCATCCCGAATCAATTATACAAAATTTAGATTTTCGTTCTTAGTCTTCCATCCCGAATCAATTGTACAGTATAGATTTTTATTCTTAGTATAAATCTAAGGTAATCATTTCAGAAAATAAAGAGAGTCATTTTTTTTCGTGATGTTGATATTCTCATGACGCGCGGTCATTTTTTTGCCAGTTAATTTCCTTCAAATTAATCATCATTGGCTATCCAAATTCTACTGGCATATCATTAGAAAAACAACAGTCGAAACGACTAGAGATATATGGAAATGTCCTTGAATTTGATATATGAATGGCAAAGATTAGAACGAAACTAATACGTTTTGATTGTTTTTCCCCCTGTGATTGAAAGCCTAAAACTAACCCAACATTTCTAATTACTTTACACCTTAACATTGCGCGACTTGTTCTAAACAAATGTACTTCATCTGTCCCAAAATTATTCAGTTTGAGATTTCACTTTTAGTATAAATTGAACTGAAAATAAAACCTAAACTGAACAATAATTATAAGACGGAAGGAGTATCATTTAGTTTGAAGAATTGATGCACTGAACTAAAACCAAATTAGACCAGTTCATTGAAACAGTGGTAGTCTGTTGACAACTATTATCTAATGTGGTTCATGTCATTTGTCTATAATAATGGTAGGCTTGAACCCAAATAAAGTACCCACTCAAAATGTCACCATTATCACTTTACTGTATAACTCTACTCATCGCATCGTAGCCTATTCTTAAAAGGTGCATGATAAATGGAAATTTAAAGGTAACTTCTTCTTTTAATCGTCGCAATAACCTATTTTCTTATCAGTTTCAAACTGAAACATGAACGATACAGATAATTTTTGTTTTAACCATCGATTTTTTGTAATATTTTCACACTTCATAATTAGGTTGTTTTTGAGCAAAAACTCGATATTTTATAAATAAATTAATAATGGAGTTTAATTGTCTAAAATATCATTCCCATCATTGTAGTCATCATTGCGATCGTAGAAGATAGTTTTGCTTAAGATATGAACCAAGCTAGTTAGATGCCGTACGTGACAGTGATTCAAAATGAAAAGGGATGTTGTGTAAGCAAAGGTGCCCTAATGGCCAAAATTCCAAACATCATAGTTTGGCAGTTTACAAATTGTCACATTCTCCCTGACTTGGACCAAAATTTTTTTTTTTTCAGTCAATAAATTATGAGTTTACGCCATACAGAAGAGAATTACAAATCATCCGATCAAGTTATAAGATGTGTCCCGAAATTGGCATGACGGGTTTGATCTCCAAAATATTTGTTTAATATATTACGCATTTAGTATTTAAAGCTATTATTCCGACTAATTTGAATTCGGTCTGATCTCTAAATTAGAATACATATCGCAAAAATGAATCTATTCACAATCAAGAGTACAATATATTTTACGAAATGTATCTAAAATTTTCATTTTAAATATAATATTATAGGAGGTAATGCATATCATTTGATACAAATTAACTTGTCCCTAATTTTTTAGTTTTTATATCTTAACAACAAAAAAGGACATCAACGCAAGTCGATAACAATACATAAGTATAGCTCCCTAAAAACATGTTAAATTTTCTTTTAGAAAATACTATTTTTACCTCTACTAGTAGCTCGTGTGTATCAGGCTGTATATCGGACCGTATACAATCTCTCAGTTAAAAAAAAAAAGGAAAAAGAAGAAGAAAAATACTACTACTACCGTACGACAGTGAACAAATTCTGTCAAGATATCCTATTCTGCCGGCCCAGTGCGAAACTCAAGGCTGTTAATATTTAACCACAGTCAATTTCAACTGACAAACCGAATTTCCCTTTCACCACTCTCATCACTAGTTTTTTTATAGTTTTTTTTACCCCCTTGTTTGGTAAAATCTGTCAAGTCAATTTACTGCTAGAGTTCACCACTCACGTTACCTCCTCTTACAAAAAAGGAAAAAAACAAAAAAAACAACAGTAGTAAAAAAGAACGGAGGAGAAAAAAAAGACTTTGCCCATAAATCTCGCGATATCATCTTTACTCCTTCCTTCCACGAAAACACCGCGATACGTTTCTCGAGATTTTCTCAACAAATTTTAATTTTCTTTTAAGTAATAATTCCCCATATTATTAAATTATAATTACATTAATTAATACAGTTAACTAGCATTAAAATAATTAATAGTAATTAAAAAAAGTCGGAGTTTGTCTGACTTAGCAATAATTATGAAAATAATTTAATAAATAAATGAAGAGAAACATTAATTCTGCAGGATTGGAGGGGCATGATTTGTCATTTTGCAAATGGGCCGGGCGGGGTTACAGATTGGTGCAGATCTGAAGAGAGAGAAAGAAGAGGGAAAAAAAGGTAGTGAGATGATAAGTACAATTCACAACACCACCAATACAAAAACAAAACAAACGGACACAGACATTATTTTCTTGTTTAGAGAGAGAAATTAAAAACACACCCAACAAATTTGAGATAAGAGAGAGAAAAAGTGAGAGAGAGAAAGAAGAAGAAGAAGACCACATCGTCACTGTTTTTTTTTGTTGTGTTGCGGCGGTGGGGGGGAAGAAGGAAAAACGGCGTCGTAAGTATCTCTCTCCTCCAGAAGAAGAGTTTTTCACAGTTGTTTGGTTTTTTCATTTTTGTCTCTCCGTTTCTTTTCCTAACCGGCAATCGAAGTGCGATCGGCCGTTTGATTTTTATCTGCCTGAAAAAAAAAAATTAAAGTGAGATATAAATTGTGGTGAAAAAAAAATCACGGCATAAATAGTTTTTATGTGTCTTTGTTTGTTTCTTCGTTTGTCCTTTCGTTCGTGTGTGACTGTGTGAGAGAGAAATGAAAGTGTTATATTAGTGCGTGACTGTGTGTGTTTTACTGTGGGTGTGGTGGTGGAATTGAGGAGAAGGAGAAGGAGATAAGAGTTTCATTTCATTTACAGAGTGAGTTGCGCTGAGTGAAAAAAACTGCGAACGGCGATTTCTGAGGCTTTTTTCCGGTTTTTTTTTTTCCTCCTCACGTCTTCGTTACTTGTTCTTTTCATTTCTCCAGTATGCTACCTTATCTCCCTTTCTTTCTTTCTCTTTTTAATTCTTTTCTCCAGAATTTTCTTTCTATGATACATGAATGAAATTAAATTATCACGCTGCAGACGAGTCTAAGTGTGTGAATTTTTTATTTTATTTTTTAAAAAAAACTATTTGACTGTTGGATTAAAGATATTTTGGTTGTTTTTGTACCCTGTCTAGCCCGGAGATTCGCATTTTGTTTTGGTGAATGATTTTCTGTGCGAGAAAATTGTGTTTCTCTGGATATGTGAAATTGTATTGCAGTTGGATTGTGATTTTTGTTGAATTGTTTTTTTTTCCCCCTTTGCAGCTTATGTAGGTGAGGTGTCCTTATGATGAAGAAGACGTGCTACTGGATGCGGCCTTTTTCTTCTGTGATCTACAATCTTGGTAGGTAAATACTTGAGACCTGCTCCTTTCTCTTTCTGTCTACGTCTCTGTTTTCTGTTCAGAACATCAATTTTGGTGTTGTTTCATTTCTGCTTGTTAGTATAGCATGTATTCTTGTTTGGGAATTTGACCCGATTTGGTAATTCTTTGCAGCAATTACCGAGAACAAAGAGTAACAGGAAGCTCTATGAAGTAGCGTACTACTTTTTTCTGGCTGTTCTCCACTAGAAAAACAAAATAAAAAAGAAGTGGTTATCATTCTGGGGAAATTAATCCGTAGGTTAGATGAAGGATATGGTGGAGAAGAACTTGGACTCTCAGTTATGGCATGCCTGTGCAGGAGGCATGGTCCAGATGCCTGCTGTGAACTCCAGGGTGTTTTACTTTCCACAGGGCCATGCTGAACATACTCTAGCTAATGTTGATTTCTCGGGCCTCGGAAGAATCCCGCCTTTGATTCTTTGCCGGGTCGCTGCTGTGAAGTTTTTGGCTGACTCTGAGACTGATGAGGTCTATGCTAGAATTAGGTTGGTTCCTGTTGGGAACAATGACAGTCGATTTGAGCTTGATGATGAGGCTGGTTCTTTGGTGAACAATGGGTCTGATTCATCTGCTGAGAAACCTGCATCTTTTGCTAAGACTTTGACCCAGTCAGATGCCAATAATGGTGGGGGGTTTTCAGTTCCAAGGTACTGTGCAGAAACCATTTTCCCCCGACTGGATTACACTGCTGATCCCCCAGTGCAAACCGTCGTTGCAAAGGATGTTCATGGTGAAACTTGGAAGTTCAGGCATATTTACCGAGGGACACCAAGGAGACATTTGCTGACCACGGGATGGAGTACTTTTGTGAACCAGAAGAAATTAATTGCTGGTGATTCAATTGTGTTTCTGCGGGCAGAAAATGGTGATCTCTGTGTCGGTATCCGGAGAGCTAAAAGGAGTGGCATAGGTGGCCCTGAATCCCCTTCTGGCTGGAATTCTGCTTCTGGGAATTTTGGGGGATTCTCAATGTTTCTCAGAGAAGATGAAAACAAGATGATGAGAAGTGGTAGTCACGGGAATCTGAATTCTCCTGGCAGTGGCTCCAGTTTGAAGAGCCGGGGAAGAGTGAGGGCTGAGTCGGTAATTGAAGCTGCTTCTCTTGCTGCCAAGGGGCAGCCTTTCGAGGTCGTATATTACCCTCGTGCAAGTACTCCTGAGTTTTTTGTTAAGGCTTCTTCGGTGAGTTCTGCAATGAGAGTACAGTGGTGTGCTGGCATGAGGTTCAAGATGCCATTTGAAACTGAGGATTCTTCTCGGATAAGCTGGTTCATGGGAACGATTGCTACTGTTCAGGTTGCTGATCCCATCCGCTGGCCTAATTCACCATGGAGGCTTCTTCAGGTAATGCATCTTTCTGTTGATACTGACTCTTTCAAAAGTCGATTTTGCTTATCACCCGTGATTAGCCTGCCATTTATTGTTTGATCTGGATGAGTTTTCTTACAACTGTAAACAATCTGCAGTCATTGTTGGAAATGTTTCGTCACTGTAGAAGTAAGCAGTGAAAATTGAAAATTTAACTAATCAGGGATCATACTGTTTGTAATTGGATTTATGGCATGATATGCTCCACATTCGACACAGAAGTGTCTTACAGCAATCTTTTGATTCTGAGGCTTCAGTAGTTTTTGAAATGGGGTGACATGACATACTTAGATGGTTTCTGATATGGTTCTGGATGCAAACATTCACTTCTTTATCATACAATTTTCAAAGGCCCTAGAACTCTCCTACTGTGAATTTCGTTTTTTCACATTACGGAAGTCGCTTGTCGTTTTCTGTTTGTTCCTTTCTTGAATTTTTCCTACCCTTTTGTGGGTTCTGATTAATTAACTTAGGAATTTAAAATGACTGAAAATATTCTCCTCGCCTTAGATTCAATCATTTGAATCACGTTTTGATTTAGCTTCAGCTGTTAAATATCTCTTTCTAATCTGTTTTGTTTTTGTAAAAAAGGTTGTGTTGAGAGGGGAAAAGGGGGGTTGTTAGAAATGCCCTGTTTCAGATAAGCGAATGTGGCTTCATGTGAATGATTGTACAGAAGAAAATTATCTTCCATTACTCATATAGATTGCCAATTGGTTAAGACTTGCAATGTTTTCTGAACAAAGATAATTGAGAATTTGGACTTTTCATTGCTTTTTTGTTTGGAGGAAGTGTTGTGCATAGGGAAGTGCTTTCTACTAGCTGCTTGGATTTTAATGATCCGCGTTTGTTTGACATACAAATTTTTCTTTTAGGTGACCTGGGATGAACCTGATCTGCTACAAAATGTCAAGCGTGTTAGCCCATGGCTTGTTGAATTGGTGTCTAACATGCCCGTCATTCATCTTTCTCCTTTCTCACCACCAAGAAAGAAGTTGCGACTTCCGCAACACACTGATTTTGCTCTTGACGGACATTTTCCAATGCCGTCATTTTCAGGCAACCCTCTTGGGCCAAGCAGTCCCTTGTGTTGTCTATCTGACAACCTACCTGCAGGCATACAGGGAGCCAGGCATGCTCAAATTGGAGTCCCCTTATCGGATCTCCATATAAGCAACAAAATGCATTTGGGACTGTTATCCCCCGGTTTTCAGCGGTTGGATCCATTTGCTAAAATTTCTGATGGTCTCATCAGAGGACACGTGGATGGTACCGAGGATATATCCTGCTTGTTAACCATGGGGAATTCAAACCAAAATGTGGAAAAGACCAACAGTGTTAAGACACCTCAATTCTTACTCTTTGGTCAGCCCATACTCACGGAGCAGCAAATGTCCCATGGTTGCTCCAGTGATGCAGTTTCTCAAGTGGGCAAGAGTTCGTCTTGTGGGGTATCGCTGAAGTCAGAATGTTTTTCTTCTGACCAGAAAGTTGATCGAGATAACCTGCCAAATCGTGGTTTTTTCTGGAATCATGGATTTCGTGCTGTTGAACTTGGTCTCGATACAGGCCACTGCAAAGTGTTCTTGGAATCAGAAGACGTTGGCAGGTCTCTTGATCTTTCAGTTCTTGGTTCTTATGAAGAGCTATATAAAAAGCTGGCTGGCATGTTCGGTATGGAGAGATCGGAAATCGAAGGACATGTGTTCTGCCGCGATGCAAATGGTGCTCTTAAACAAGCTGGAGCTGAACCATTTGGGTATATTCATGATTTTATAGTTGTTTGTTGTGCTTACATGTTGAAATATGCAAGTACATAATAGCTGGGCATGGTGAGATCTGGGTTGATCTGCGTTTTAATTTATCCTTTTGTTTTCCTTATACAGTGACTTCATGAAGACGGCCAAAAGATTGACCATTTTTACCAAATCAGGGAATAACAATATTGGAAGGTAATAATTATTTACTCTAGTGTGGCATTGGTCCATCTATTTTCTCGTTGATTGGATTCATTTACTTTCCGCAGATCTCTAGTTAGTTTTGTTAGCTCTGAATGTATTCTTGCAATGGTTTTGATGTGTAGATCAAGACATGACGTCGGCTCTAACCTTCTTGTCTTTCAGGAAATGGTTTACTGGTCTACCAACTGCCGAGCGAGGACTTGATTCTTCAAACCAGACAGGACCGCTGAGCATATTTGCTTAGTAGTGGATGTGGATTCAGTCTTGGCGTAGTTGGTGTAGAAAGAGTTGACAATTGTTCAAATGCTTGCTGTTGTCGACTTCTTATGTAATTAGGAACTTCATTACGTGGGGAGTTCTCTAGTATTACTTTGTTCAACTGTTTAGCATATAAACTTTTCGAGACTGGGAAAACTTGTTCTGGTTGAGGTTTTCATTACTAGTTCTAGTTTGTATTGCTAAAACTGTAATGGTTCAGTAAATGTGAACTTGGCGTAGTCATATGTCAGTCATGAACAAAAAGTTTCATTAGTGTCGGAATGCCAATGTGAATCTGTGCATGTTTGCACTGAACCTAAAATCTCTCGCATAGATCTCTATGGTAAGAGTTGATTCATTTCCTTCTTTGTTTTTGTTCGTTCCGGTTATCAAATGCTTTCAACCATGTACCTAAATGGGTCAGTGACATTCAGCTGATAGTTGAGCTTCATGTGTTCATTTTAGGAGAATAAAAAACCACATCGGATCTTGTAAAGAATACCATTAGGGGTTTGGTCAAAACCAAACTTGAAAAACATGGTTTGATAATCCCCACAAACCTATAAGTGACAAAAGCATCATTAATTAGAGTGTATCAATAAGTCTTAACAACTTTGCAAGAAAAACATTAAAAAAAGAAAAAAAGGACAGAAACCAACAACATTAGTAACACCCACACGTGAGGTGTAGAAGTTAGAAGGACGCTATCAACAAAATTGACCGCCATTAACCAAGCTAATCACAGTAAAGTTGTTGGAGTAATAATTTTCCTTTTCTATGTAACTTCCTTTTCATCAACTGGTTTTGGTAGAAGGAAATTCACGAAGCAAAGTCAAAAAAATTGAAAAAAAAATCACTAAAATCGAAACTTCACGTGCGGGTGCCACTCATGTCGCCGTCTTGTTGCCCGACTCTAATTTGCACCTTTTGCTTCCCCTAAGCCCCATTTTGAATATATGATCCCAATTTGATTAACGTAATTCTCTACAAGTAGCAGTGCAAATTGATTGAAAAAATGGGTTGTGAATCCCATCAATTTGTGTTGCTGAAATTTAGGTTCTAGTATTCTCTATTATTTGCTCCACATTGAAGAGGATAAGTCCAAACGTTTCAAGTGAAACTGTCGTAGTCTAATTTCATCGGGATTGGTATGAGGACCAGAAGCCTTGGAACCGTCACAATTTTATGCTTTGTTTTATGCTTTTCGTTAAGTTTACCCTTTCTTTCCCGTACGTGGGGAGGATTTATGGGACTTTAAATATGGCCCAGTATAAACAAACAGATTCAAAGGAACCCCTCTCGTCATCCCGACAAATTTTTTTTAAAAAAATTTCTTGCATTGTTTTCAGTTTCATAGCCGAATATCATGGACTTGTGCTTCATGCAACATGGGGATGGACGAATTTTTCTTAAATTTCAAGTGGTTCTTTATTCTTCCTTCCGATTTTAGTGTTTAAAACCGTACAACAAAAACAGTACTTTTTTCTGGTACCAAATATGTAAATTCGGATAGTTAAAATACAATACTCCTATTTACTCATGTTCTAACTACGATAATACACCTGTGACGGAACCTTCTTAACCATTATAAGCCACCCAGACCTCAGAGAATCAAAAACAGATTGAATCTAATCTCAGTGCAATGTATTAATTACAACTTGTTTGATTGAGTTTTGATAACACATTTATTGTTAGTAGTACGTGAACCATCAATGTGACTTTTCTTTTCTTTTTTTTCCTTATAAAGAAATTCTTCGTATGACTTCTAATTGTTGCTAAAAACCAAATTTGTGGCCAGTTCCAGTGCATTTATGTTAGTCTTCTAATACCTCTAATTAAAGTCCTGAAAATAAACAAAGTTTTCAGTACTACTCTTTTAGAATAAGAAAGAAAATGCAGAAGAGTACGTAAAGCATTGAATGATGGTAGTACTATTTTAATGGTGACATTTTCGTAATGGTTTTGGTATCAAATCCATTCGTTTGACCAAATGAATTGATGATGTACTCCCTTCAAACACAAGATCCAAGAAATTCACGGACCAGATGGAGTTGTACATAAGTTAAAAAGTCTTTTAAAAAAAAAAAAAAAAACTCACATTCAAAGTGATTCCTAAATGTGGAATCCGAAACACCTGACCTGGAAACAGTGCACTTTGTTCTGCTTCCTCAATTGTGTTGCCATTCACCACATTTGTAACTTTTTAGAATTTATAATTTAATAGGAGAATCGCAATTGATTGTATCATGAACGAAATATTCTAAAATAAAATTATATATATCTTCTTGCGGTCAACATTTCCAACCATTTTTGGTGATGAAAATTTTCTGGGTCATTCGGTGATCTGAAAAAGAAGTCCAAAACTTCAAATCAAATGAATGAGTAATGTTACCTTCAATGATGTGTATTTATAGTTGGCAAAGGGTTAAATACATGTCATCTGGTTCGATGCCGTAGTTGAAACACGATATAATCAGATGTCCTTCATAAAACGTTTTAGACTATAACCTCCTTCTTTGTACCGTAAAAAAAACAAAGGATTAAATACGTGACAAATCCACTTCAAAATATTGTCCATATATATATATATATGTATATCATGTCAAATACACCTGACTGACATTCAAGAAAAACCTAATCCAAACAACTCTGGTTAAGAAAATAGATATTGTAGTTCATCTACATTCAAACATGAACAAAACGATTTTATACTCATACGTTATTGCTTATTCACAAATTAAGTTCTCACAATTAATTTATCCGTTGTCACAACGAGATTTTGGATCCAAACTCGTGGTAATATTAACTAGACTATATGTACATACTCGTGGTAAATTTCGAATAAATGTGTTTCAATCAAAAGTTAAAACTAAAAAAAATAAATAAAAATGACGTAGTAATTTTAGATTGAGCCTGTTGAATGTGTGAGAGAAAGTCAAACAAACAGTCATTTCTTGAAAGGACAGAGATCTTGGATGACGTGGCAGTGACTAAGCTCATCCGTGTGGGCGGGACCCACTCTCAAAGGCCAAAAAACCTTTTCCTTTCTTACGTCCCTGTCGAATTAAACCGACAATCGGGTGCACAAAATAACAGTTCAGTTAGCGTGTTCCCGCGCCATCAGCAATCAAATCGTCTGACGTGGACGGCTGCGATTCACCGTGGTGTATGGACTCTCTGTATGGCACACTGCACAGTGTTTTCTTTCTGGCCTTGTGATCATTTCTTTTTTAGCGGTACAAGTTATCCTCTACAGTCTACAGTCTCTGCCACCAAATTCTCGCGATAAATTCAGCTAACTCGTGCACCATTTTATTTTATTTTATTTTTTACCTAGTTTGGTTTTACCCCAGAGTTTTTTCTATCTTTCTCCTATCCAACAGTGAATTTTTCACCTTCACAATACCACTTCTCCAATCCCTAGATTTTATCTCTTCTTCTTTTTTTTGCTTTTTGCCAAAGTGATGTCTTTTTGGGCCAAGCAGTTAACCGGGGATGGAATATTCCTCTATAAAGATTTCATGGTATCAAAAACTACACGCGATATCCCCTTCTTAACAATTTTTTTTTGTGTTTTATTTTATTTTTTTGTTGAAGTGATCAAATGATAATAATAAGTAAAACTATTAGTACTCCCTCCGTCCCAAAATTATTGTCCAGTTTGGAATTTCTCTTTTAGTGTAATTTAAACTAAAAATAAAAACTCAAACTGGACAATAATTCTGGGACGGAGGGAGTACATTCAAACAGAAAGATTAACAATTTTGTTAAAGAAAAAGAACAAATTAAGAGAAATAAATAGTAGTAGTATTTTATGAGTCATTCTACAGTTCTGAAGTTGTAATTAAGGGTATTTATTACATGGTGTGATACAATAGTAAAAAGTGTAAAACACTAACTTCAATCACTACGTAGACAACAAAATAATTTACCTTCATTCACGTCTAGTATAAAACTAACATTTATCGATCCAACTAAAATAATACTCCCTCCGTCCCATAATTATTGTCCAGTTTGACTAAAATGAAAGATTTTATTTTTGGTCAAACTTAATTATATTTTACCTTAAATAACCGGATATACCCCTTCATAAGTAATTGTTTAACCTCTAAGATTTTATGGATAATGTTTTTTACTAAGGACAAATATGTAACTTGATCCATAAAAAGTCAAATTGGACAATAATTTGGGGACAAAATTTTTTGGGCAAAGTGGACAATAATTATGGGACGAAGGCAGTATCATAAATGGAACTCTCTTTTTCCACTTTGGAATAGAAAGAGAATAAAATCTGATGTTAATGAATACTTTTTTGTTTTAATACAAATTACCACACACTCATCCGAATAATATTTTTGTTGATTTTCTTTTTTAATAGAACAACTGTTAAGTTTAGATATTTGTAGAAATTTTTCTTTGAAAAAAGATGGGCTGGAATTTCAGTCCATTGCATATTCAATGTGTAGTCAGTCACTTGTCACCGGAAATTTTAGAGAAAATAAAATGGCTTTTCAGATAAGGTATTCATATACAGTAAGGAGTAAGATGACATCAAATTTTTCCCAGCCAAAGAAAGGCAGTTTTAGTAGCATTGGATTTCTTTGTTTTTATTAATTGTTTAAGTTGCAAAAAGAAATCCTAAAAAATGGCAAAAGAAGTTACTTTACGTGTTTGTATTGGGGTGCACTTCATATGATATTGAGCACTTATATTCATTAAATTTCATTCACCATTATGTTAGTGTATTAGTATTCTTTTTTCTTGCAAAGAAAAAGTTTATATTCAATTCTTAAGTTTATATTTAAAAAATATTATTAAATTTCAAAATTTGATGTAAATTAGTTTTTCAAAACAGACGAAGAACTACGAAGTACTACTTTAAAAGGTAGTAGTACTCTCTCCATTTTTGAAATATATGTTGTTTTAGGATTTTAGTGAATTTCTTTAAATATATGTCGTTTTAACAAATCGAGGCACTTTTTAACAATATTACCCTTGCATTGGAAATAAAATAGTATTTATAATGAATTTCTATTGGTTTGTGAAGAATTGTATACACAATAAATAAGTGCATTTTTATATTTTAACTACAATAGTTAATGTTTTCTTGGTTTTGATGATTTCTCTCATAAAGAAATATAAAAAAAATGGAGGGAGTATAGTAAAAATTATCCATTTAACTACAATGTTTGATAGTTATTTTTTTTCCAAAAAAAAAAAGAAATGATTTAGGTTGGCCATGGTTCTACTTGCAGCCCGTAACAGCCATCATCCTATTGGTGTAGACCCAAAATTCATAAAAGCCCAGTAAAATGGTTAGGAACCTTTTCATTGTAAGGCGATGTTTTCCGAACAGCCCAGCGTCCGGCCCAGCCTACCAGATAAATCCAAAAACCATGGCGCCTATGTGCATCACTTCGTTCGAATTCCACTTTATCTTAAATCGTTCGGAAGTTTGAACAATTGTTTTAGTCATCGAAATATTTACGATGAGATTATGAGAAGATAATAAAAATTACTGCGGTCGATATGAAAAAAGAAGAAGAAGAAATTCTTACACTTCTTGTTGAGAGTATGAATACACAGAATTTTTATCTTTTGGACAAAATTAAAAGTACTCCATCCGTCCTATAATTATTGTCCAATTTATACTAAAAGTGAAATCTCAAACCGAACAATAATTTTGGGACGGAAGGAGTACCTTTTTTTTCGTGTTTTCCTCGGTTTTCTTTCATTTGGGTGTTTTAGGCCCACGGCGTGCATGATGAGAAGGAATGGGGAACATGTTAATGTCACACACTTGGGGATATATACATGCATGTGTTTGGTTTTTGGTACCACCCACTATATTCTTGTTTTAAATACTCTCCTTTATCTTGGATTAGATGAAACTAGATGAACAACTAAAAAAATTATCATTATTGTAGGAAAAATTATCCAGTTTCCAGATTTTTCGTTTTTGTTATCAACAGCCGTAAGCGTAACACAACAAATGGTTCATGTAAATCGAAACTCTTATTTTCAGCCTCAACAACGTATTTAATTCTTAGAGAGTCCAAATATTTAAATCGAATTAACGGTTCACATCACATCCCTTTTATCCATGTATATAGTTGCGCTAATTGGACCATATAGGTTCTAGTTTAGTCTATGGCCAAAAGGTCGTTTACTTTAAAAACATGTGAAAGTTTGAAAGAAATTTCTTTAAATTATCTTTTATGTGTCCACCATAATTTACTTGTTAAGTTAAACATTTTATTTTTCTTCTGTTCTAAAAAATAATACACTGAGTACGTACAAAAAAAATAGTGCAAATTTTAAAACTGAATGTGGATTATTTTTCTGAGACGGAAAGAATAATAAGTAAAAAATTATTAATTACAAATCTAAAAGTATTTGAAGTTCAAAATGCAGATAAAAACTTACGAGGGAAAATTCCATTACATTCAACCACAACAATTTTGGTAGTCAAAACAAAAGAATGAAAAAATTTCAGCTCTCATGAATGTGATCAATGATAATGATGGCACTGTTGGTCTCATTATTAAAATTTCTTTTACACGGTTGACTGTTGTAGTTGCGTTCTTAGTGGCCCATTAGCATTTAGCAGGAGCAGATGCGTGACACCGGCACGCGGATTTATGGGGCCAAATTATATTACAACCTTAGTGCAAACAATTTGAATTAGAAACAAAATAAGCAAATAATTGTATCTGGTCAGAAATAAGGATCATGTGTCTGAACTCTGAAATAAATGTTGTACTATTCCACACTAACCTTGTTTCCAGAGGACTACAGTAAAAGCAAAAATATAGATCTCGAATTAGTACTCCCTCCGATCCTTATTATAAGACATTTTGATTCCGTTACAGATTTAAGCTAAGATATCTTTTTAATTGAAAAAAATCTTAATTTCACATTCGTTATGTTCTCTTAATTATTATAAAATATTTTAAAGATTTTTATCCAATTAAAAAGACATCACAGGTGAAACGTAGGACGAAATCAAAATGTCTTAAGGACTGGAGAGAGTATTACCGATTATGCAAGTAATGTGTAATACATGGGTGACGGAATAAATGTAATCCCACTGTAGATGAAAAAAATAGTATATATATCTTGGTCGATTAAACGTCACACGAACTAATAATAAGATAATAGGGATTTTCTGGTGCCGAAATATTCGGTGCAGAAACCATCCAGAAATTGTTTTGCCTGGATTTTGGAATGTCTGATGGGGGGGATTTGCTTCAGTGATAATTTCATTAAAAATGTAACCTTAGGTAGATGGGACAAAAATATAATGGACGTACAAATCGACAAAAATACTGCAATTTAGATTCTACTAATCCAAGCGACTAGATAATGATGATTATTTTTTGAAATAAAATAATACTAATCTGCTTTCTCCAAAGATCCCATCCATAAAATCCATAAAAAGCAGCAGCACGATTTGTCTTCCACAGTCCCCAACACTAAAAGCTTTCAAGTGTGAACCTAAAATATTTTTTGCCCAACTCCACAAAAATGATGTTTTCTTTCATCTGGCTACTGATTTTAACCTATGCCGGGCTAGTCAGCCCGGCGGACGTTTATTCGTCTTCTCAGGTCCGCAGCATCTTCATTTTGGCCGGACAGAGCAACATGTCCGGCAGAGGCGGCGTGGTAAACAACACCTGGAACGGGGTGGTTCCAATCCAATCCAAGCCCAATCCAACCAAGATTCTCCGGTTAAACGCCGGTCTTAAATGGGTCGGTGCTCAAGAGCCATTGCACAAGGACATCGATGTGAATGCGACTTGCGGTGTTGGGCCGGGTATGGCTTTTGCCAATTCACTGCTCAATCAGGATCCCAGAATTGGTACCATCGGTTTGGTGCCCTGTGCCGTGGGGAGTTACATGGGCACCAAGATTAGCCAATGGGGCCGTGGGACTTTTCTGTACAGGCAATTGGTGAGGAGGACAAGGGCCGCCGCCGGCGATAATATGGGTAAAATCCGGGCACTTCTGTGGTATCAGGGGGAAAGTGACACCAAAGATCCTCGAGATGCTGTTATGTACAAGAGGAGGTTGGAAAGGATGTTGAATAGTCTGCGGGCTGATTTACAGTTACCTTCGCTTCAGGTTGTCGTTGTAGCAATTACATCGGGACAGGGGCCTTACGTAAATGTGGTAAGAACAGCTCAGTTTGGACTCCAGCTTCCGAATGTGATGGTTGTCGATGCCAAAGGTTTGCCGCTGTCGCCGGATAACTTGCACTTAAGCACTCCGGCACAGGTCCGGCTTGGAGAAATGATCGCCAAGAAAATACCTCCTTCTGATTAGAGAAGACAATAACTTTGTTACATAGCCGAATGAATTGGATTGTCCCGAGTTTTAATAACTTTGGTAGCCTTATGTTGTTTTGTTGTATGCTGTAACCTTTCTTCATCTCTTTGAGATGAATTCAGGACAGTTTGTTTGCTTTAGTTGCAAATACACAATCTTATTGTATTCAAATTTGACCTTTATAAAATCATAACGACCCAATGAAATTGAATAATGTAATTGGAGTAACAGAGTCTTGTTTAACTTTATAAGGCTTTGAAAGCAAAAATGCCATCTTGCTCTTTGTTGGCTCCAGACTTATTATTAGTATTTATATAAATTTATTTTGAAAAAAAAAAAAGAAAAGACAGAAGGAAGAATAGGGAAGCTCAATATCACAGAGAAGTGCAAAACATTTGATGCAAAGGATTTAAATGATCAGAAAAGATCCATTAGTCACTGATTATGAAATACACAGAGCCAGAGTAATCATGTTCCAATGGCCTTTAGAGTTATGCATACAACGTTCCAGAATGATATGATTATACTACATGCTTATGATAGTATCTTCTGACGTTAAGAGCAGCAAATCAGTTTCACGACCATTATCATCACAATGCATCAAGTACCTGCAAGACACAGAAAGATGGTGAGGAATGCTGAATCTTAAGGCTGCGTATGCTGATGTTTTCAAGTATCACAAAGCTTCACAACCAAATGCTGAAGAAGAAATCATGTTCATCAGTGTTAACCAACGGAGCTAAGAATTCAAAGCCAACAAAAGAACCCGATATTCAACAATGGTCACTCAGTTCTATTAAAACTATGCTCTTCTAATTTATAATGATTTATCTTACATTGTATTAGTTGTACCAGCAATTGGCGCAAAGCCAATATACACTGGTGCATGGAAATTTACAGTTTCACAATGCATATAAGTATATGCAAGAGAACCTCGAGAAGAATCTCCTAAAACCTCAAATGTTTTTTTTATAATAGTTCAAAGACAAACAGAGAGTCAACATACTATCCACTAAAACGAAAATTGATGAATGTTTCAATCACTTAAAAGGCAACTCTATATGCTCACAAGGCCAACCAAAATTTTAACCAACAGAATTATTAACCACGTAAACAGTAGTCTAAACAACTGAATCTAATACCATTCAGTATCCAACGTAAACATCAGAACCGTGAAAACAGTCAAATCACCCACCCACCAAACATAACACATCAAAAAAAAAAAAAAAAGTTCCAGACAGGAACAAATAAGATGGTTTCTAAGGGTGTTCGTTGTAATCACATTTTTAAAGCAGCAGGGGATGATAAATCAACAAGGTGATGATATCATGATTCATATTGTACAATCAATTGAAAACATTATAATAATAGCCAAAAAAAAAGAAGCTGAATATCCATACAATCCCCAACCACATAATACAGACCCAACCAGAACTCACAAAGAGATTAGGCTTTGTATGCTGTTTTACAGTACTTGAAAGCCCACAACAGAGAGAATCAACATACCCCTCAATGGCTACTTTCCAATAGTTAAAGGCATACCACTAGATACACTGAGAAGTGATACTATCGACTCCAAACAATGGTAACATGTCAATCACCCTCTAAGGCACTTAATCCCAGCATTTAGCCTCTGAAGGCTCACAAGGCCAACAGAAATTAGACCTAATGGGACGTGCGTAACCATATGAGAACAGAACAGAATACACGATTGAAAATAATACTCAGACTTGGATGCTAACCAGTGAAATGATTAACCCAAAAATGAAGAATAGGTCAATTTGAAGATGGGGAACGCAGAAACACTTGCCACTCTGAAGTCTAAGCTTCAAACCTCTTAGATTTTCGTCATACAATCCCAAACCACATAGTCCATACAGACCAACCAGAAACATCAATCTAATCTCTTCCAAAGAGATAAGGCTTAGAAAGCTGTTTTATGGTAGCTCAAAGCCCACAACAGACAGAGAATCACCATACTATCCAGTATTTACTAAAGCGAAAACTGCAGTATATTTCAATCACTTGTAAGGTAAGTCTACAAGCTCACAAGGCCCAAATTTTAACCAACAGAATTTATGTAACCACAATAACAGTAGTCTGAAAAATAGAATCTGCTACTAGAGAACTTGGTGCCCAGAAAATGGAAAATCCACTCAGTATCTAAACCTTATCTTACACAACAAGCGGATGCCTAAACATCAGAACCATAAAAACAGTCAAATCACCAACCCACCAAACAAGATTTCAGAATAACTAGAAACAGGAACATCATCTTCCTAATTTAATACTTAATACAATTACAATTGATATAATCCCTCAACGGCTACTTTCCAATAGTTAAAGGCATAGCAAAAAAAAAAAAAAAAAGCTGAATATTCAAACAATCCCCAACCACAACCAGAAAATATCTCAACCGTAATTTCTTCTAAAGAGGAAAACTTCAAAAAAAAAAAAAAAAGGAATTCCACAGAATTCACCATGGAATGTAAAGTTATTACACATAATAAAAGTACCAAATCTTCAAACCCTATTAATATATGTCTGTGAAAATCAAATTGGGGAGCTTACGATTACATAGGAGAATCCCATCAATTGTAGTAGAGCTCGAGGCCCATGCCGTCATGAATCTCATAGTCCTTGAGGGTGATATGATCCTTGTAGACGTTGTACCACTTCTGGATACGGATCTTCTCGGCCCGAGTTCCGGTCTGAGCCGCCACCAGCTTCTTCAGGTCACCGATGGTGTCATCCTCGTTGCACTTCACCCGAACCTTCTTCCCCAGCCGATCGTTCAGCACAACCTCAATCATCTTGGCAAATTCTTCGCTTGCCCTAACTTTTTTTCTTGTTCAATCAACCAAAATCTCCTCCTGCTCTATACTGCGCCTAGAATGTTCGGATATATGTATTGGGGGACCTTCTTCTTTTTATATTGGAGGAGGAACAGTAAACCGCCTTCACGACTTTGGAATCTCGGAATATTTTTCCTTTACCTTTTAGGTAAAAACAAAAAGAAAAGAAAGTAGTAAATAAAAATTCTTTACAGGGAAGAAAAGTCAAAAGGTCGTGAGAGACAAGTAAATTGGTGAAAATAATAACCTTTTTTTTTTGGAAATTGCCAAGCAACGAGGCTTTTTCACAAAATCCTTGTTGAAACTGATTCCCATTTGAATTGGTAAAAAATATGAATGGGAATCGTCCTTTTGGACCCTGGATTCAGGACCTATTATTTAAAAGGAAGGTGGGAAGTGCAATTTGCACTGGATGATAATCTTTATGCGGATACCTTGGCAAAAGAAGGTTTAGCTGTAGAGAGTAACGTATATTCTTTTCATGTTGTTCTTAGAGCAAGATTTGAAGGCTTGCAGGTCTTGTACTATGAACTAATGCCGGCTTTCCATCAACAGGAACATCAAGATTCATTTTCCACAAAAAAAAGAGAGATATAATCACCTTTTTTAATTATTATTTCCATCAAGAGGAACAAAAAGCGCTGGTTATTAACGGGGAATTGGAAAAAAAAAATTGACCCAAAATGAAACAAAGTGACAATGGTTATTAAAATAAAACAATTAGTGTGGATGATGAAATGGGTTTTTGAAAATTTTTTGGGTTCAATTGGCCTAGAGGTTGAAGTTTTGGATTGAATCCACGATTTTCTCTTCTTGGGTGCAATTTTATTTTATTCTTTTGGAAAGGTTCATGGAGTTTTTATTGATTAGAGTATCTAAACTATTACATTGCGTTATTCTATATGTTAAATTATGTAATTGACTAATATCTTGCCTACTTATAACTTTAATCAGTTCTCAAATTTTATTACTACACAGAGTTTGCATTTGCATTCGCATATTAAAACTTCATATGAATTTGTGTTCACCAATAGAAATCGACTTACTCTACATGGTCACGTCATAGCATTAACGTTACAACATTGTCGCAACGAGCAAAGGTCCCGATCTTTTTAATATGAAGGCCTATCGTGGGAAGCCTCGTCGCTGGATCAGTGGAAGAAAACTGTTTTTTTTTTTTTTTTTGAAAAGGAAGTTGTTTATTACTACTTTAAACGGAGAACTACTACGCTATTAGCTAGAAGTAATAGAGAGGACGATTTCAATTAGAATGATATGATATGACAAGCATCATCCAAATATATATAATAGAAAGAATGAGCCAAAAATCTTAACTACACGCATCTTCCTGTCGGCTTCGCATATCGCTAATGTCTGATCACTAAATTATACTCCAAGGCGATTGTTCGCTAATGCTTCACAAGGAATCTGATTAGGCTGATTATTGTTTGGCTCCGGTTTGGTGAAAAGATGCATGTTTGAAACTGTTTCAAAGGATTTTTTCTGAGAGCAAACTTGGTTCTCCTTTGATCCCTTCAAATCAACACCGTGAACTTGGGACATGATCTTCAAATTCTTGACGATGAATTCATGATCCAATAACTCCTCAGCAGACCATCTCTCCTTCAGGTTTCTCGCCTAACACCTTGTTAAGGAATCAACACCATCTTTATTAGGAAAACTCCCTGGTATTTGATGCAAAGGATTCAAATGATTAGAACAGATCAATTTGTCACTGATTATGATATACAGAGAGCCACAGTCATGTTCCAATTGGCTTTTGGAGTTGAGCAAACGTGTCAGAATGATATGATATACTACAGGCTTATGATGATATTTTGGTGACGCTAAGACCGCAAACCAATTCCATGATCATTATGATCACAATACATCAAGTACCTACAGACCAGAGAAAGCTGGTGAGGAATGCTGAATCTAAGACTGTATAGATGTTCTAAAGTTTCAGAAAGCTTCACAAACAAATGCTGAAGAAATCATGATCATCAATCAAACAACGGAGCTAAGAAATCAAAACAAACGAAAGAACCGAATATATCCAGAATGGACGACCTTCAACCTCAATTCTAATACAACTATGTTCCCCTAAGATATACTCCCTCCATTTCAAAATGTAAGTCTTTTTAGCCTCTAAACGTAAACTAAGCAGAAAATCATTTAATGATAATTTGAGTGTTAAATGTTTTTTTTGCCCTTCATTAATTGTTTGGAACTATAACCAAAACTAGATGAAAAGTGGTTAGCATCATTTATTGGAGGCAAAGTTGGGAAGTTAGCCTTTAATTTGCCTTGAAGTCCTAAAACGACCTACATTTTGAAATGGAGGGAGTACATGCTAAGACTGATGATCTATCTTACCTGACATCAAATACGTAAATCTATTTGCTTGGGACACCAAAAATCGTAGTAGTTGTAACAGCAACAAGCGCAAAGCCAAGATACATTGGAGAATACAACAGATGCACACAAATTACAGTTTAACAATAGATATGAGTATGCAAGAGAACCTTGAAAAGAACTCCAAACCTCAAATCTTGTTTTACAATTTACAGTAGATCAAAGCCGACAACAGAGAGTCAACATACTACCAACTAAAACAAAGATTGCTGTATGTTTCAATCACTGACAACAAAATAAAACTTAAAAGTCAACTCCACGTGTTCACAAGGCCAACCAATATTTTAATCAACAAGAATTTATGTAACCACACAATCAGAACTAGTCTAAACAATTGAATCTGCTACAAGAGAACAAAGGAAAATCCACTCAGTATCTAAACCTTATCCCACACAATATGTGGATGCCTAAACATCAGAACCATGAATGTAGTCAAATCACCAAACACCAAACGCAACACATCAAAAAAAGGAAATAACCAGACAGAACCGTTTCTAAGATGGTCTCAAAAGTGTTGGGTATAGTTACATTTTTAAAGCAGCAAGGACTGATAAATCCACAAGGTAATGATATCAAATTTCATATTGCTTAATCAATCAACAACATTAAAACAAAAGGATAATAAACTACGACTACACCAAAAGCCCTCAATATAGCCAGACATTAGAACATCATCTTCCAAAGTTAATAAAATTACTATACACATAATCCCTCAATTGCTACTTAGCAATAGTTAAAGGCTTACCACTAGATACACTGAGAAGTGATGCTATTTACTCCAAACGATGGTAAACCGGGCCTAGCTGCACATGACAATCACACAAAGGCACTTGATTCCAGCATTTAACCTCTGAAGGCTCACAAGGCCAACAGATATGTGCCTAACAGGGCGTGCATAACCATATGCGAACAGAACCAGAAAAGACTATTGAATATACTACTCAGACTCAGGATGCTAACCAGTGTAATGATTAACCAAAAAATGAAGAATAGGTCAATTTGATGATGGGGAAAAACACAACACTTGCCACTCTGAAATCTGAACATCATACCACTTAGAACTTTGTGAATGGCCAACTATGGCCAACTATCATATATATTCATATAACATTCAAATCATCAATACACCCAGAAAAAAACACAATTAATAGTATATAGCAAAAAACAAGCTGAATATCCTTACAATCCCCAACCACAGGGTCCATACAGACCAACCAGAAAATATCACAAGAGGAAAATCCCCAAATTATTATTACTTAAAACAAAAAAAAAAACAATTCGCACATGTCACCGTGGGATTGTAAGTTACATATTATAAAGATATCAAATCTTCCAACCCTATCAATAATAAATAGAGTATAAAAGTCGGTGAATATCAAATTGGGAGCTTACGATTACATAGGGCAAACAGAGAGAGAGATTCCATCAATTGTAGTAGAGCTCGAGGCCCATGCCGTCATGAATTTCATAGTCCTTGAGGGTGATGTGATCCTTGTAGACGTTGTACCATTTCTGGATACGGATCTTCTCGGCCCGAGTTCCGGTCTGAGCCGCCACCAGCTTCTTCAGGTCACCGATGGTGTCATCCTCGTTGCACTTCACCCGAACCTTCTTCCCCAGCCGATCGTTCAGCACAACCTCAATCATCTTCTCTTCGCTGCTCAGAAAAATCCTAACCTTCTGCTGTTCAATTAATCTCCTGCTCTATAAGCTCGTAAAAGGTTGCTCCTAGAATGTTCGGATATATGGTTTATATTGGAACAGTAAACCGCCAATCACGACTTCCTTTCTTTATGTGGAATCGGAATATTTTCTTTTCCTTTTTCTTCTTCTTTTTATATTGGTAGTAAATAAAAAATTCTTTCCAGGGAAGAAAAGTCAACATTTCAGGAGAGTTAAATAAATATGTACGTATATAATATTTTCTAAAAATTCTAATCTTTCTTTAAAAATAAAATTAAATTTCACAATCTAATGAAGTCATTCTATTTTAGCTTCTCATTATTGCGTCATAATTGAAAATTTTAGAATTTTCCTTTTTGGAGTCTTCAAAAGAGTTTGGGAAAATTGTTATTTTTTTGCTACAATTTCGTGTTTGTTAAACGCAAGCAGAGGAATCTGGGAGCTTGGCCAGTTCTCCCACTCATCGAGGTGCCTACCATGAACGAAAAAGATTAGTTACTGTTATCGACGGTGAACACCTGCAACATAAAAAAAAAAATAATCTGGGAGCTAACTGCTAAGGTTGATTTCTTGGTCAAGTGTCATGAAGCATGAGAAAGTGGACTTGCTCAAGCTGTAAATTCAGTGAGGACGACACAAACGAGATTGTTGATCTGCGGAATTGGTTTTCTGCCATTAATCCGAAAGCCTGGCTTTATTAAACCTAGGTAACTTACTTTTGGCCTTTTTTAGAACCGAAAAATTAAAAAATCCTATGCGGTTGATAAGTGACAGAGGGTTTTTCCATCTGAAGTTTGGCTTAGTATAGACAGATTGAGAATTATACTGTACTAATTAGCATACCTTAAAGAGTAAACACA